GGAAGTTATCGCAAATTAGGTAATTCAACATTATCCGATATTTTCAGAATATTTAATTTCCTAATATGGGTGTTTGAATATTTCGTGAATATCATGTGGATATTTAGATATCTTAGGATAATGTTCGATATATCCGCAATATTTTTAAATATTCAAAATTAGGAAAACTTCCTAATTTAGCAACGTATACGGACGACTATCCGACCTTATCCCTAAGGTTCGATCGCGGCGATACGGAAAATTATTATCTTATCCATAACCACTTGGGTACGATAATGATTTTTATCCGCTTTCCAAATTTGAATAATCGGCTTTCCGTTGATATCTATAACCCTCTAGATATGACCGATAGTTTGATTTGTATGCCTAATCCGAGTTTGAAACAAATATGGCGGATCGCGTTGACGTTTTGAATGTGGTTGATATCCTTGTTTATTTAATTGCTTTCCTTTTTCAAATAAACAGAAAATTCAAAAAATATTAATTAGATTTGAATTAGAGTTTTTGCATGTCTAGGAATCCTAAATATATCTAGAAGATAGAGTAGTTATTTAATTTAAATTAGGACTTGAGATGATTTATTTCCTAGTTTAAATTAAGTAATATTCTAATCTTAATAGATTATTCAGGTTATTTTATTACTTCGAATTTCCATGAAAATCCCAAGAAAAGAAGAATGAATTGTTTTAGGATAGATTAGGATAGATTGTATTCTTAATTTAAGTAATTCATTATTTCGAATTTTAATAAAAATCCTAAAAAGAAATCATGCTAGGGTAGATTAAGTCATCATAGTTTGCATGTTAATTTAGGCATTTTTATTATTCCGAATTTAAATTGAGAAAATACCAAAAATAATCATTCGTCTTGTCATTAGAAATAGGTCACGTCGTCGCACGACATATAGTTTGCATGCTAGGTTGCATTAATCGCATGTCATTTTCGCATGTCATTGCATATAGGCTAGATTTCATTTAAATAAGTGAAAATTCAAAAAAGAAATTGAGTGAATTGCTTGTTAATTAGAAATCATATTAGGATGTCAATGTGATTTTCTAGCTAACAATGCAAATGCTTGCGTTGCTTCCAGGTAAGTAATTCTTCCAAACTTGCAATTTATTTAATGCTTTCTGGGTGTTAAATTGGTGGTTTGCGCACCCGCATGATCACCTCACATGCTAGTGACTAAGTTAAAATGAATCCAAACGTACGCAAAACATTTTTTTTTTTAAAAGAAAAGGTACCGAAAGGGCGTTAGACTAGACCTAGCGTAACCAAGTCCCGAGCTTAGAATCTACGGTTCGTAGGAATAAAACATATCTCCCTTATGTTTTATTTAGGTTTCTAATCGACCTACCATAAATAGATTAGTGGCGACTCCAAGCATGAAAACTTTTGCATGTTAAAAACTTAAACTCTAAGTTGCGAATTGGTAGGGCTTGGGAGGGCCCGAGTTAGGCTTAGTCTTAATAATCCATTAGCCTGAGAGGAATTTTAGGTCGCGACAAAATGTTAACCAAATAGTGATTTTCACCTTTTAAATCTTTCTCAAATAATGTCATGAAAAGCACATGCGAACATTGAGATGGCAATGGGCTGGACCGGCCCGGGCTAGGCTAGGGTGAGGATCGGTGTTCCCCGTCCTATCTCGCTCAACGTCTTGTCACCTACCCACACCCTATGCAATGCTACTCTAATTTCCCCATTCCCGCCCCCAAATAATTATGCAGAGTTATCCGCCCTGCCCATTGGCCTTGTAGTTTTTTAAGAGAAGTGATTGTGCTTTTTCCAACTCGCTCATTCACTAATGCACTCCCTTTCATAGTTTTCTGGCCATTTCATCCTTTGTGGATCTCGCATTTTTGGCATCCGCAAGGTTCATATGTGGTGGCCTCCTTTAATTTGGTTTCTTCCTTTTCTTTTCGGGTCTCGCTCCTTCTCTTCGTGAGTAGTAGAGGCCCCGTTTTGGCCATTCTCAAGGCAACAGTAACAGCAATGGTAAACAATGACGACCAAGAAAAAAGAAGACAATACCGCCGCATCAAACCAACCAGAGCATCACCACCTCCAATCAATCAACGCCACCATCGCCATCCACTAGCTTCCTTGCCAGGAACTCTCCTTCTAGCTCTGGCCCGCCGCTTACACTCTCCTCCACCTCCTGGGCTCCCACCTTTCCAACCCGGCAGCAAGCTCCCTGTCCACGATCCTCGCCAACCACCGTAAATGGTCGGCTCATCGTGTCGGAGATGAAGGTGGACTCGAAGCCAAGGTATGGAGAGGCTTTCGCCATTAGGGCGGCTTTGGGGGCTGCCCACAATGGGACGGGGAGCCTCATGCCTCGCGTGCCGGAGCTCTCTCTCTCTCTCTCTCTCTCTCTCTCTCTCTCTCTCTCTCTCTCTCTCTCTCTCTCTCTCTCTCTCTCTCTCATACTTGGAGCTCTGTCACCACTCTCCCCAACAATCCTCACCATCACCAATGAAGCAGTTATAGTAGACTAACAAAATTCAGACTCGGACTAATTCTTTTGTTATTGTTGTTGGTTCTTTTTCAATTCCATGGGTCATGTTCAGGGCCAGATAGAGATGGAGGTGAAAACAGAGGGGGCTGGTCTACGTCTGCCTCGGTACCAACCGAGCCACCTAGCCAGTCGTCTCTTGGGCTGTACTTAAAACTAAAATTGGGTGCAATGGATAATAGAGGACTATGAATGCACGCAGAGAGAACATAGAGAAGTAACTAAGAAGAAGAAGAAGAAGAAGATTGAGTGAGATCCGCCAGGAAAGAAACCAAATAAGGAGTGGCACCGCATTTGAACCTTCGGATGCCAAAAGCTTGGGGACCTACGAAGAACAAAATGGTCAAAATACTATGAAAGGAAGTGTAGTAGTGAAAGAGGGAGCGGAAAAAGCGTAGTCCGATTAACTTATTCAATGCAAAATTTCGTGCAATAAAAAATATAAAAAAAACGAATTGTTTAATGATATTGACATCAATGTAATACAAAATCTAAAACTATTAGCTATTTTGACAAAAATCTACCAGATGTCACACAGAAGCTTAGCTTGTAAGACAATTTCGAGATAAGTAACGCTATAATATTATTAGTAGGAGCATAAATTTAAAATAAATTATTTTAATATATTGAAATAATAAAGATTAGGGAAAAAGCTACAAAAGCCCCAAACTATATTCACCCTAACACATTTAATCTAAATTTTTTCTTGTGACATAAAAAACTCCAAACTTGTACTTATATGATACATTTACCTTCCGTTAAAGTTTCGTTAATGATTTTTCGGCCAAAACAACGTCATTTCATATGGACGCCATGTCAACAATGCTTGCTTTTAGTGTTAATGTAGGCAGATTTTTAGTTGTTTTCATTTATAGAATTTTGTCGGGGGATAAATGTGTCACACATGTGCAAATTTGGAATTATTGGTATCACGGAAAAAATTTAGGATAAATATGTCACAATAAGTATAATTTAGGGTTTTTGGTGGTTTTGCACTAAAAATTGAGTAATCAGGATGAGGAGGGTTCAAGGAAGTTTCCTATCCCCACCCGGCCCAACACCCTACCGCAAGCGGGCCGGGCTGCCCCAGTGGAGAATTTAGGATAGTATACCATCGGCCTATGTTTAAATACCATGGATGAGCAAAAATCAGAATTTAGGATTAATCAAGATAATAATTATCATGTAATCCAAGAATTTCTCACGGTCCAATTTTGAATTCTAGATAATTGTAAAGCATTCCATGAATTTCCCTTCGTTTGGTTTTACAGTAACTCAAGCTCCTATTTCGAGATTGAATATTGAATATCATAATTATACCCGACAAATTTATTTATTTTTTATCTATTCCTAGCATAATTAATTAGATAAGATATCGAAGATATATGAGATGATAGGACTTCATTGGTCTCAGCCTTACAGCAAGTTGGGTGTCGGGGAACTTCAACTCGGGAATCGGAGGTCATCTGTCCAAACTCACATCGGCTGCGAGTAAATTGCTTCGAGTTAGGCAAGCTGCACCGGTCAAAAGCTTGGAGTTAATCGATTCGTAGGACATTACAGGGTATTTCAAGGGCCTCCAGAAATGAATGAGCCCTTTTTCTTTACAGGCTTAGTGCAGATCTTCAAGGTGAACGAACCAGATGGCTAAGAAGTTGTCATGCATAGATATATGTATGTGTATATATATGATAAAAAAAAGATACAAGGTATGAATTGCCCTTGTCATGCATAGCATGACCCGGCAAAATTCATTTTATTTTTACTAGCAAATATATGCATCATAGAGATTGAAGTCTGAAAAATGAAGTAAAATCATTTTAATAAAAATCCACAATACGAACGACGCGTATAAATCTTTATGGAAAGAAAAAAATATTTTGGGATTTGAAATATAGTTAGGAAGGTTTTCATGGGATTGAAAATATCTAGATTTTGATTGTCGAAAGATGAGGGAACTGTCCAATCAATCCTTAACATATTGTACGGATGACGATCCAATCGTAAACTTTCCAATTATGCTAATTTATTTCTAAACTTTTGCGCAGAGGTTTAGGACTATATTGGCAAAATTAAAAGGTTTAGGACTGAATTGACATCCGCATAATATGTTTAGGACCCGATTGAGTAATTTTCCCTTCGGAAAAATGCGAGAGATGCAATAAAATTAGCAACTTACGCGTCTCGCCATGGACACGATACTTGCAAAATAAGTAATTAAGAATATTTGGGGAAGAAAAAAAAATTGATGGAAATCCTTATACTTAATGTAGTTACTATAGATAGAGGCTGCATTAGAGCATCGAGGCAAAGTAATTAATTCCTAGTGGGAAGCAATAACTGAGGATTAAGGAATCTGCATCTCCCAGAAAAGGCAACAGCAACGTTTCTCCCAATATGAGAAAACAATCCACATATACAACTAAGAAACGCGTGACTGAACGATTTCTTCCTTTGCATTGCACATTCTTAGCATGATCGGGTCCACAGAACCTTCATGAACTGGGGACATTTATATGACTGAGGCCATCTTCTGTTCATCCTCATTCTCCCTGCAGCAAAATCTTCTTGATTAGAGAGAGAGATAGAGATGTTGGGCTCTGGAGAAAAGGTGGCAATGATTGTGGCAATGCTGGTGATGTTAGTGGGGACAGGTGCAGGGGTTGAAGGGAGAGACCCAGTGCTTCATAGGGTTGGAGGAGGACAGAACACATGGGAACCTGGTGTTAACTTCACTGACTGGTCAAGTCATGAGCAGTTTTATGTGGGTGATTGGCTCTGTAAGTTTCTCTCCTTCTTTCTATGTTTAAAAGCAGTGTTTCCTTTCTTCTGGTCTGCCAGAAAGTCTTTGCAGATGTGTTGTGTTTTGTCTTCTCTGTCATGCAATTCATATTGAGCAAAGTGTTTTGCTTTGTGTTTCCCTGATCAGTCGATGATATGAGAGCTCTCTATTCTAATTGTTGTGCAAGACTGGCAGGGCATAATGAGAGCTATCGCATGAGATCTCTCCAATTAACATTTTGAGTGTAATTGATACTGACAGGGATCAACTACTAGACTTGGTTATTCTTAGGATAAATGGTACGGTACAATATGATTGGTAATTTGGTATGTGAAATGCGAGACATATAGATACTTTAAGTGGTTTGCCGGTATCATGGAGATTTGCGACCGGGTTATATGGTGAACTGATGTGAATTCGGCATCTCGACTTTGGTTATGTATCTTCTACTAAAATACCAATGAAGACGAATTGGAAAATTACTCGTCATGTCAAACCAGATTGTTTATATGGACTGGTTTGTGACACGCAAAACCAAATTAGGTTTCTAGTTTTGCTTTACCAGTTTGAGCAGAAAAATCATCGACTCACTGGACACAAGTTTTAAGTTACATGAATTCAGTTACCTTTTCAATATTTTTTTAAGGTACGGCATTTAACACACTGTGATATAATCTTCATTATTCTTCGTTGATGATGTATTCTAACTTTTAAGTTCTTTGTCACATTTTATCAATCCGAAGTCTTTGGATTTGACAAGACTCAATACAACGTCCTAGAGGTGAACGAGACGAGCTATGACAAGTGCATTGAGACAAACTTCATCACAAACATTACCAAGGGCGGTCGGGACGTGTTCAATCTCACCGAGGCAAAGCCATACTACTTCATCTGCGGCAGAGGTTACTGCTTCAACGGAATGAAGGTCGCCGTCAATGTAACGGAAGCGCCGCCCCCGCCACCCACGCCATCCAAGGATCCGCCCCAGAAAGGCAGTTCTTCTCGTTTAGTCGGCGGTGTGAGTCGAAGGACGATCCTTCTCTCGCTGCTTGCTGCTACATTTCTGTTCTGCTCATGACAAGCTCAGAACCAAAAGGAGTTTATTCAACTAAGCATCTAGTCACTGATTGTAATTTATAAGTTGTGTGTAACAAAGCTTGTGTCTAGCCGGTGCGCTTGCTAGCTCATGGCTTTAGTAGCTGCTGAAAATGGTGTTAGCATACTAATCAGATACCAGACGACATTCAATTTCGGTTAATTTAGGTTTGAGTCGTTGAGCAGAACTCGTCACAATCACTATGTCAAATTTTTCTTGTATCTATGTTCCTAGTTCTGTTTCCTCAGATGTCGTTAGATATCAATCAAGGGTCAATCTCTAGTCTTGCCTTGCTTTGGCTTGCATTCCTTTTAAGCTGACGATACTGGTGGCCCAAATCCATTCAATTGACCTCCATTTATGTGTTCCAGGGCACCCTCTTGAGTTGAAACTTGAAAGATGTTGAAAAGTTTGATCACATTCCCTCTTCAAATGGCAAGTCCAGTGCACTAACCAAGAGGTTTTGCTCGCGAGCGATGCTTGAACTAAGATGGTTCACGAAATCGGTATTCTACATGACACGGCATGATCTAAGTAGATGCCTACAGGAAGCGAGTTCGAAGCAGGGGATAGAAGGATTTTTTTAAGTATCTAATTTGAACATGACGCATCATTTGGTTTGTCGGTTCCTGTAAATTATCTTCGTATACATAACATTGTTCTCATGCGTATGCGTATTTGTGCAAGTAATACAAGGGCCCAACCACTTCCTGGCAAGTTCCAACTTGTAGGGTCAACAGGAATTTCCTGGAACTCGTCCTGTCAAAACCATCTAGAATCAGGAAAGACCATGAGAAAAGTAAACCCAACCGTTTGAAAATCTTGGCACTTCGGAACGTTCTCATGATAAGAATATGCATGTTTGACACGTCCCTGAGAGCTTTTTTCCTCCGCTTTTTCATGGCTAATTGTTCCACTACGGAGACAGTTGATTTCACACCACAACGCGTTTCTTGCAGCCGCCAACTGAGGACCACATCTGCACAGGCCTGAGCTGAGAAACACTGAACACCGTATTTGACCTTGACAAACATAGCAAAGCTTAAAGACAAAGAGCTTCGAGCCTATCTCTCTCTGCTTCACCTTTTGCCTTCTGCCATTTTCTCAAGTAAAAAACGAGAGAGAGTTCACTTCCATTCTGCTACCTGAGAAGTTCTAGGAAAACAGAGCTGAGATGGGTCAAGACTCGCACTACGGAACTCCAGGTAAAAGTCCCTCCTTTCAGGATGCTCCGAGCTGCTCTAAGTTGTCTAATGAGCGTCGAGAACAGATCGCTCAATCAAATCCATCCCCGTAATTCCGCTCTTGAAACCGGTCTACTTTCCAATGTCTTGCTAAATATCGCCGATCGACGGAGTTTTTGCTTTAGTCTCCTTTACGGGGCATCAGGCACAAGGCATCATACCAGAATGTCCTGAGGATAGGAAACTAGAAAACCACTAACACAAATCCTCAATCCAATGTTATATTTTGAGTTTTGAAAAATAGTGTGTAAATTCTCTAGCATGTCCCACTGATGCATAGTGTCTGATTATGGGGTTGGAATTGAACATAATACAGGGATGTATCCTCCTCTGCCCCCTTCAAGTCCTCCCCCATCTGCTCCCGAACTGCCGATGGGCCACATTTATCCTCCGCCGCCGCAGGTCGATCCTCCACGGGCAACGGTACATGTTTACCCTCCACCGCCTCCGCCGCATCAGTTGTATCCAGATGTGTCAACTCCGTCGTATTCATATCCACCCTCAGTCCAAGTGTACCCTCCAGCACCACCACAGGCTCATTCGTATCTGCTGCCGCAGCGGCCGCCAGGTCATGGCTACCCTCATGGCCCTTACGTGGTTCCGCCACCGGTTACTTACCCTTCGAAGGATGGCCGCCAGTACTCGCAGCAAGCGCCGCCGCGGCGGAAGGCGAAAAATAAGAAAAGGGGTCACGGGTTCTGGAGAGGATTGTAAGAGCTCCTCTCTCTCTCTCCGTGTCTCTCTCTAACCCTCACGTGCACGTGCACAGTGTATTACCATTAACCACGTCAAAAAATGACTCGGTATCACGAAATGAAGTTTTTATCGTTCGAAAAACGACTAGACCTAATTGGGTTAGTGATGTCACATAAGCATGTCAAGGCGACATAACAGTCATACAATACACCCCGGAGCGTACACGCTCTTCCTTTCTTTCTCTCTTCACAAACGCATGTTGATCATTCTTGATTAATCAAGATCCCTATGTCCATATGTGCAGTTGTGCTGGGATGTGCTGCTGCTGCTGCTTGGACATATGCTGTTGAAATGCCTTCCATAGTGCGGCTTCCTCATATTGATGTGGATTTCTTTACCCTGCCAAACAGAAACAGAACATTATTTTTTTTTTGCTTTTTGCATGGATCTTGTGTCTCATTTTTGCTTATTCATTTCTTTATTGTTTCTGTTAATGAATTGGACGGGTTGCTGTACACTATCTGTAAGAAAGGTTATATGATAGAGCAGATGTAGTTAAACTAAGCTGGACTGGAGATTCATCCGCTATTTTTGGAGATGTTATGTTACATTATCTTCTTGTAATTATATGGGGTGACCGTGTGAACAGTTTCAGCATATAAGGATTTATGAATCCAAATTTCACATTGCCGTGTTATTCTTCCATGCTTATAGCCGGGACACATTCCGTTTGTTTAGTCGAACAAGCTTGGCCTAAGAACCCGCCGAAAAGAGTGAGCCATCAGAGTCTGTGACCCGAGTAACGCTATCAATTGATTATAAGATATAGTATTGAGAGGAATCCACGACTCGAGAAAGGTATGTACTTCATTTGAATAATAAAGAGAGGTCGAAGACGAACAAATATAGAGAGAATCGATTCCCATTAGACTCGCCTATTCCCACTTTCCAGTTAAGGTATCACAAACCCTCATTTTTTGTTCAGAACATATAGAGCGAAGTACCACTTAATCACTAAACGGGAAAACAAGATTGACGACTCCGTTTTCTTCGACCCCTTATCCCGTTTGACAGGTCGAAACAATACCATTCATTTCCCTCGTACCCTGAAAATACTGTCAAGCCGTATTCAGAGTTACCGACTATACATCAGCTGATGCCAGAGTGACCGACGGTTCACTACCGACCTTGAAGGATAAGAAAGAGAACTTGCAAATGACGTTCCAGATGTGATCCATAAGAAGTTACCCAACCTTCCTGGAAAATGGACTTCTAATAGCACATGTACATTTGTTTTCCATTAATGCATGACGGGTCTTCAATTACGAACCCCAGTACGATCTTTCAACGTTATGTTTCATCAAGGCAATTGCCACCAGTGATACTTATATTTACAAGACAGCACATTTTGTACACGACTGATATACTATACACACAGCGCTACCCCAATTCCGGGCTTTTCTTTCAGAAAATGCAAGTAACTAAATTTAGGCGTCGACAGACACACTCAAGGCATTGAGCTCCACATGTCGCTTACCCTCACTCTGGGGGTCCACGATCACAGTGGCACAAGCCTCGGCCCGAGAAGATTGGTGACCTCCATCTTGAGAGACGGAAATGGCGCTCACCGAGGGCATTATGGTGATCTCTCCTTGGTCATCATTGGCATCTTTTGAAATGATTTCCCACTCCTCTTTAAGTGAAGTCACCTCCATGCCCTTCTCGTGGTGTCTTTCCATCTCGAACGCAGCGGGTAGAATCACGTAGTCGTTGAGCGGGTTGTAGTACGGATCTGAATCTGCATTTAGCCAGTGCTTCAGAATGCGGAAAACATGATGATCGCATAGAATTCCCCGGTGCTCCCCAGGTACTCCAACTCTTGCAACTGCATCAAGCCCATCTGCCTGAATATCAAGAGACCGTTTGTAAGTGGAGAATCTAAAGCAAATTTGGGCATGTTTGCTTAGCCTAGACAAAAATTATCCAAATCAAAGCCAGATAAAAGCCCAGACAAGTTATCTGAGCACTAGGGTGACTATAGACTGTCCCACCCGGCTGTGGCATTGCTACCAACCACTGCACTGTGATCGTTCCTCCTCGCCACCTCTTCTCTCTAGGGTCTCAAACCACTGATGAGACCACCATGATGGCGATCGCTGTAGACTCTCTCTCTCTCTCTCTCTGGTGTACAATGCGACTCCCTCTCTCTGGTGTACAACGCGACTCTCTCTGGTGTCCAACGCGACAAATGCTACCAATGTGGTGGTTGCCTATTGCGGCCAACTAGGTTCAACTGCTGTCGCCCTCAGTTAGATTAGAACTTTGTGGCTATCAGTATAATAACTTGTTATTTACTATTTTCGAAGTATTATCAAATCTTATCCTAGGTCCACCGAACACCAAATAGGCTAGGATAATCTGCTTTCGTATCCGGTGTTTCACTAAACTTGTCCTATCCAAATTTATTTCCCACCAACCAAACAGAGCTTTACATGGAAGAAAAACTTTATTGATACACTCATTACTTAGTTGCAGAGCCTAATCTAAGAGACACAATCACAAACTATATCTGATCTTATAAGAGAAAGTTGCAGCCCAAAATCAGCCAGTAGTTCCATGAAAATTTAGTCAACTTGAAATAAAGAGGGAAAAGCAGATAAGAAGTACAGGTTGCATGAGCTATCCACTAACAGGTCTAGCAATTCAAACTAACAGGTCCAACAGATTGTTAAATCTCCAAATTTATTCCCTAGCAACCAAACAGAGCTTTACATGGAAGAAAAACTTTATTGGTACACTCATTATATAGTTGTAGATCCTAACCTAAGAGGCACAATGACAAATTCTATCTGGTCTTATAAGAGAAAGTTGCAGCCCGAAATCAGCCAGTAGATCCATGAGAATTTTCCCAAGTTCAAACAAAGAGGGAAAAGCAGATGAGAAGTACAGGTCGCATAAGCCATACAGTCAAGCCATCCACTAACAGGTCAAGCAATTCAAACTAACAGGTCCAACAGATTGTTATATCTCCATACCTTAGCTGATTCAGTTGGAACTGTTCCATCACCATCAACACATACATAATTGGGCTGAAATTCAGAAAGCATGAATCAGCTTCTCAACTACTTAAGAGAAAACAGCTATCAAACATGAAGTTCATTATTAGGACATGTTAAGGAAAAAACTAAAATAGGATGGATCCTTCGGGACTCTAGCTGGAGAAAAAGAGATTTGCCTATGTTAGCTACACTCAAATGGGCCAAAGAGTTATGTTCACATCCCCTTTTCACTGACCAGGTAAAATTGAAGTTCTTGCACGTCCGTAACAGGCATCTCCTCACTGCCATAGCTGCATGGAAGCCAACACCATTAAGATAAGGAAAAATGATCTGAAACATGTATCTATCCTATAGATAGTGGCCAATTTCACATGAAAGAGAAATTTTCTAAAAAATCTGTAAGTTGTAGAATTGGTACAGAGAAAGTAGAGATGAAGCATTTCAGCCAAATATTACCAAACACTGTGTGGTGTTTCCAGATTGGTCCCATATATATTGTAGAATTTCACCCCAAGCGGAACTTTAGCACAAGACAAAATCCTGCGGGTCTCATGAGCCCAATTCAAGATTTCCTCGTTAAATGGTAAGGGAATGCTCTCACCATTATAGTCAACCTGTTATTGAGTCCAAATAATGCATTAGTTAACAAACAAAATGAAGTAGACGGTAGCTCATGTCGGACAAAAATATTGGATGATATTACCCCTAAAGTACTATCTATATGAAAATGACGTGTCATAAGAAAAAGAGAACTCTCCTTTTCTTAAAAGTGAACCTAACACAACGTCCAGGCTCAACTTGGTAAGGCTTCTAGTAAACTGATAGGTAGGTTACAATGAAATAAAGTTCATAATGGGGGTAAAATGAATTAAAAACCATATATGGACCTATAGCAGGGCAGACCCAAAGAAATTTTGCACAACTGCCACCCATGAAAATATATAGCAAATATCAAGGGAAAAGGAATTGCAGAAAGGGTTCTTTAGACGAATGAAATATCAACACTCAGTTATGTTTAGCAGCATCTGTAGAGATCTCGGATATCTTAGCAGTTCAGTATACACATTGTCATAATACTTTAGCCCTTCATAAACAAATACCACCGCAATTAAGTGGGACAGCGTATTCCCAAGATAGAATTGGCAGTTTTTCATCCAGACAGAACAAGAAATCCATAGCTTACCGTATTACTTGAAAGTGCTTCAGAGAATATATTCACACTCTCAGAAGGGGTGTAAGACTCAAGGACCATATGGATATCACCACAATCATTAAGCTTCTTCCTCCAGATCTCTAACACCGGGTCATGTTGCCACTTAAAGTTTGGACATGCCATCAATTCATAGATCGATGGGCATTCAATCAGCTGAGATCAACAGCCACAGCATGTTAGTACATACATTTTCAGCTATTTCAGGCATACAAACAGATAAAAGTAGCTTGCATACTAGTTTTCATGAGCAAGCACATGTTCAGACAAAGATGTCCAAATGTGCGAAAATATAATGGGTCGAGGAAGGAAGGGGTTCAGGGTGGGGGGGTGGATGACGTGGAAAACACTGTAATGTACACAGAAATATGAACCACTAACAAGTCATAGGCAAGTCAAAATGCTCAAGGTCCTCTTTTACCCTTCCTACATATAATGCAAGTAATCAATGACCCACTATTACGCACTGCTGCCAGTGCCAGATAATCAACAGCAGCTGCTTCAACCTAAATCACATATGTACCACTAGAACTTGGTCAAGTCTGTTTCCTCATGGGTATAATGACAAAGTATAACCTAACTATTGCGTTCACTAATGGAATTGTGACAACACCCAGAACATTCAAACTTGTCTGTCAAGAATTCAAAATTAATTTCATTCAGTCAACAACTTTAAGTAGGCCCCCTCCTACTTAGTGATTAAGTAACAGTCCTTCGCACATTATTAAAATCAAACGCAGGATACACATAGATATCGTTCTATGTATAATTAGAATACTGAGGATCACTACACAACCCACCAAAGGACATCGAAATGCTAATCCACAAAAAGCGATACAAGAAATTTAAAAGAATTCATATATGGAATGAAGGCGCCCCCGTCAAAAGCAATTAAATTCTGAATTTTTTAAATTTGCAGCACTTCTTAAAGTTATCATACGAACTATTAGTCAAGCAGAAAATATTTGATTTGTCAATGTCTGGCTTAAATTGTAAAAAAGAATATGCTTTGGCGGTATTTAAGTATGCTTTTGTATGTGTATCTCTATGTATTGGTTAGGCAATTATAAAGGGTCTATGCTAGTCAAAATGCACTTTTCATCTTTCACTCCGAGCTTACAAAGTAAAACAAAGAAAAAGAAGGACAGCCCTGAACTGATCATACATTTTCAGTTACATATCAACACCATATACTGTGTTAACCTCGACAAAATAAAGGTCGACAAAACTGATTCGCAGATACATATGCATATAACTGTGAAAACAGCATACCAGCTGATGCATGCTCCACTTTGAAATGAAAAAGTTTTGCTCCCAACCATCCACAAATGACATCCCATTCAGAAAGGTAGATGTGACATATCCGGGGGCACCTGGAATATTTAGATTTTCAGTATGTTCATAAGATGCCAATTCTAACCACTATGTACATTTGGAAACAAAGTATGCCAAGTATTTAATGTTTTTCTTAATTATCCCAATGAAATCCTAAGTTAAACAATAGGACAAGTAGATACACAACTAATTATTTTAACATGAAACATTTTTACTACAAAACAGAGGGTTCACTAGATTCTCTGAACTTGATTATCTATTTTGGGATAAAAACTAGAGAATTTATAATAAATTTACTCGCCTGCTTTCTTATTCGCAGTGATAGACAAGCAGTTTTATAGAAAGCGTGGGAAACCATATCTATAGTAGGTTACGTGTTTTCCACAGGAAATGGGATGAAAGAAAAGGTAGAAAATTTTTCTAACTAACAAAATTTACAAGGGAAACAGATGTATGAGCTTAGTCAGAGCAATGAACAAAAAAGCAGTACAACTCCTAATGATGCTTCTTACCTTGAAAAGGTGCAGCTATAGCAATCCAATTCTTCACATATTTTGCAAAAATCTACAGAAGAGTCAAGTGGCATGTTTTAAGTACTAATTTCTCAATGACAATAGGTAAAAGAGACAAAAGGGAGAAAAAGGAAAAGAGAGATTCAGATTAACAATATATCAATGGTAAAAGCCAAAATAGATTGCATCAGTTTTATAAGTTCCTTACATCACTGTGCAGGCACATAAAGCACTTCACTAAAAGACCCCCCATAGAGTGACTAATAATGGTTATCTTCTTCCCTCCCGCAGCATTATATACAGATTCCAACTTTGCAGCCAAACGCTCCAATGTTTCTTGGAACCTAAACATTGAAGAAAGAGTAAAACAACCCAGAAATGCTAGCGGCTGCATTCACACACACACACACACACACACACACACACACATATATATATATATATAGAGAGAGAGAGAGAGAGAGAGAGAGTAAAGCCCATCCTGAACTTCTATGTATTAGAGTCCAACTCAAAAGCTAAAGTCATTTGATGAAGGGAGATCCCCCCCCCCTTCCCGCACGTGCGCGCGTGCACACACATAAAGCCCTAGACGGCGACCCATCGTGCTACTCCAACCGAAAGCTAAGCCATTAGATGAGGGAAGACCGCATGTTTATAAGAAGACTTAGACAGCCTAGACAAACCTTTTAGAGATTCCTTTTACAAGAACCACCCTCCCGGTTGCAAAACTAAAGATAGTGACAATGGGGATAAGACCAAGAAGAACCACGCGAGTTATGAAATATAATCAATGCATGAAGAAATCGAAGCATGATTAACCTATCATTTCAAAAGATCCAACCCAAAAATTTAAGCCAATGGGTGGAGGCAAACAAGCGATGCACTACTTTGACACTACACACATCACATAAGTTGCCCTACAGATAAAGGAGCAGGATCTACGGTGACATGAAGACAAGAGTCCAAGACACCTCTGGATTTAAAATATACAATATACATGTCAAGTGCTGCTAGCTTGTAAGTCTAACATAAAGGTAAAGAGCTACTATGCATCACATAAATTATCGAGCTAGATGTAGTACTCAATATCACAGATGTATATTCTCCCAATAGACTTAATTGCATGAACAACGACTTCACCATAAGCCCCTACTAGAACAAGATTCAAAGGCTTGAGAACATGACTCGCATACAAATGTCCCAGACAATCTGTCAAATAGAGTACACAAAATCACTTCCATTTCTCACCAACACCTGAAAAGCCAAAGTCATTTGGAGAAATAGTGGAAAGTATTTTGCCAAAATTCTACTTGCAGCTCAAACATGATAAGTTGCAACTATTTGGGGTGGTGATTAGTTGCATTGGAAGTGTTTTAAGGAGTGTATGCGGATAGAATAGTAGGTATGGTGCAAATATAAGTACTGTTATAATTTCTTTTCTTGGTTGGTGGTGGGGTCTATCTGATAACACTATTATAACAGGAGAAGTATGCCATAGACGTACCTGTTACTTTGCCTGAAATCATACCCAAAACCAAATAATGTCTTCCCTTCCTGAAAACCCCATTTGATCATTTCGACTATCATGTCATGGAAATAGGACACACAATCACGGCCAACGACCTGCACGAAAACAAAGTAGGTCAGATTGATACTGCTGAATAGTTTCAACTTCATTTGCAATCCAGTGATAGTCATGATATCTAGCAAAATGAAGAGGAACTCTAATCCTATAACACACTACTAGCTGTAATCTCATTAAAGTCAAAATTTCATCTTAAACTTCAAATCAACGTAAAAGATACATCTCATTGAGAGATGATACATACCATATCAGGGTCCAAAACATCAATTGCAAACAGTCCATATCTGTCTTCAGGAACCACGATGTTTGTTGTAGGATCTAAAGAAACGGTCTTACCTATTTAAAGAACAACATTTAATCATTACATTAGAAAGATAACCTCCAGGGAGGGGAAAATCACAGGCCAATGAGAATAAGTAAATCACTTCAGCTACTTACAAAATCAACTTCGATCAATGTCCGAATTAGACAAAGCAAAATGTATGGAACATGTAGCATACAAACTTTATCAACCAAGCACATATGCTCTCTTTTCATGTATTAATACAAGAGAAACAGGAGCAGGCCAAAGATGCATACAAGCCTGAATATTCACATTAATCGTTCAATTTCTCCTGACAGAGATCAAATCCTCTATAGAAGAAGTCAGAGTTAATCCATTCATTGAATTGAATAACCAGAATGAAGTTCTTGCTCTATTTTATTCGGTAATCCCTGCTAAAGAGCTACAGGAGCCAAAAGAACACAAAAGATTTTACGATACTGGAACATGAGCACCCGCCTTCTTACATATATGAACTGATACTATTAAGTCACATATTTGCAGAACTACCAGGATAGAAGCTTATGAAAATGTCGCTCTCCTGTAAGTTTCTATTTAAAACCCCGGCATTACTTTGAAATTGTCATATTAGTAACAGACCACGAACTAACTCAGTGTAGCTCCATATACTATCTGAAACTTCATAGTGGGCTTTGCTTATCTATAAGGACTGAGGTCAACTCATTCTTTCACCATGACGACATTACCATTAAAGCCGCAGCTAAAGGTATACGAAGCAGCTTAATGTAATTAATCCACACATCAGTCATCCCTCCACTCTTCTTTTCCCAGTCCCACTTCAGCCACAGAAAGTAAATTTCATCATAAAGCTATGATGAGCTGAAAAAAAATCATTTTACAGCAACGAAACACTAGAGAACTCTCTCCGAACCCAAACGCAGCAAGAAATGCTAGAACCTACCGAAATTTATCATCTCCTTTTGCTAATCTACTCAATCGAACTACTTCAATAAAATAACATCTCGAGCAAGCTCATCCACTTAGCCCAGAAATAAACAGGAAAATGCAAAATAATCACGCATCAGTAAGAATCGACAGAGCGAAAATTACCGGTGGCCGGATCGAAGCGGGACCAGAGCTTGTTCCGGAACTTGTAATCTGCCCCGAAAATCCGAACCCACACCCTCTCGCCCCCGCCGTTGCCGCCGCCGCCGCCGTCCACGGCCTGCAGTATCGACCCGGCGACCCCGGGCACCAGGAGGACCGGGTCGAGGTTCGGGTCCACGTAGGGCTCGGGCTTCCTGATCAGCTTCAGCCACAGGTCCATGGACCGCAAGACGTCCTCCAGCAGCACCGCCATCGCCGGCCCCGCCCCAAATCAAAACCCTAATCTAAAGCACGCCCGCTCGGGAAAACCCCGGTCCCAGGTTTCAATCTCGTCCGCCGAGTCGGCGGTCGGCCGGCCGGGGGAATTCCGGTTCGAGCTCGAGTTCCGGAGACGATCGGCGATCGGCGATCGGCGACCGGCGGCGGAAGGACGGAGGCGATCGGCGATCGGCGATCGGGATTGAGGGGGAGAAATCGACGGGAAATTAGGGCTCGAATCAGGTAGGGGCGATGGAGATGGAGAGCCTGAGAGACGTGAAGATAAAGATATAGAGAGAAGAACGACGTAAACGATCATTGCTTATTCTTGACCAAATCGTAATGACTTGCTCTAAAGTACACGATTTGCACGTGTCACGACTCTAGTTTTTTTTCGAAATTTCGAAAACATCCGAAAAATAATGATCGCAGGAATCCGCACATTTATATACAGGAAAAAACGACGCAATTAATCCCTGAACTTTAGCTTAATACGCAACGTGATCCCTGAATTTTAACTCAATGTGCAATGTCATCCATGAACTTTTAATTTGTTCAATGCTGTACTTGAACTTTTGGTACGCGTTCAATTTAGTCTCTGGATTACATGAAAATGTTCGGTGTAAACCTTTTCATCAGTTCAAGTTCAGGGACTGCATTGAATATTTTCATATGGTTTAGAGACTTCATTGAACATGTACCAAATGTCCAGGAATCACATTGCATATTGGGTTAAAGTTCGTGGATCACATTACACATTGGGTTAAAGTTCAGAGGCCGTTTGTGTCATTATCCCTTTATCTGTCCATCCATAAGGTAGATCTTGATACGAAAACAAATACGCATCATTTTCGCTACCGGCGGTAGCTAAATGATCCAAATAAATCCGTCGTAACATGTAAAAAGAGAAATAGATTGAAATGCTTTTAGTATTTCTATCTAGGGGTGTCAAAAGGACTTGACCCGATCCGATCCGATCCGACCCGAAAGTTTCGTGTCTTGTTTCGGGTCGGGTGATATTTAAAAAGCCGGGTATCTTAGTATTTCGGTTTGGATCGGATTGGGTGCCCGAACCGAAACACGTTTCGATTCATTTGCTTCCCAGAATTGATTACCCAAAACCCAAAAAAAGCTTTCTCACTTTCCCATAGTCCATCACTAGTAAGAGACAGAGAAGTGACCAGGAACAATTAACACAGCAACAAAATACTGGTCCACAAGCCCACGAGAGAAATCTCATCTTTCGTCTCTCTCCTGCTTCACGACTCCGCTCGCTTTATGCTCTTTTTCATTTCTTCACCGGTTTCGGCTCCCTTCTGGGGGGAATTGAAATGGGAAATTAGGCTTTCTATTTTAAATAAATAAATGTATTTTTTTTCTATTTTCAAATGGAACCAATCACGTTCCAATGGAACCAATTCCATTTTCCAATGGAACCAAACCTTAAAAAATTGGTAAAGGCAAGAGGGAATAGATTAGGCTTTCTTTTTTCTTCAAAAAATTTAAAAGTAAATATATATATTTATCGGTCCGGTCCGGTCGGTTCCCACCCTAACCGAACCGGACCGCCGGAAAGGTTCCACTTTTGTGAACCGGAACCGACCGATATTGAGAATCGGACCAAACCGGCCGGGTCCGGTCGGTCCGTCCGGTCCCGGTTCGGGTGGTCATCATGCTCACCCCTACTTCTGGGGGAATTGAAATGGGGATTTGAAACCAAAGTTGGGGAAGACAGGGAAGGCATTCTTCTGGTCTTTGGGAGTTTCGCTAAATTCATCGAAGATTTTCTTGCCCTTTGACCCATCACGGCAGGCGCAAATCTTGAAAATTCTGTCGGGCCCCTCTTCATTATTTTACGTCGAAAACGTTACATCAGTACGCAAAAACGGTGCTTTCGCGCTACGACTGATGTTGGCTCGATACACGCGACCAAAGTGAAAGAAATGAAAAAGAGAGCAGAGAGCGAGTGCAATCGTGAAGCAGGGGAGCAAATTACGAAGAAGCAGGGGACCAGCCGGACCTCGACAATACACCTGGACGTCACCTTGTAGAAGAGTTCCAAAAAAACAGATGTGGAAAACCCGAAACCCGACCCGACCCGCGTTTTCGCTTCGGTTCATATGCAATTCGGGTCGGGTTCAGGTCAAATAGAACACATATCTCTTGTGGTTCGGGTTGGGTCGGGTTGGGTAGCGTGGGAACCCGACCCCACCCGATCCATTAACACCCCTAGTATCTAGGGGTGATCGTTTTCCGGTTTGGTTCCGCCCAATGAAATCGGTCACTTTTTTTTTTTCCCCACTACTTGGTGCCATCTCTTCGTGTTCTCCACTACTTTTTTAGAAAAAGATATTAGTAAAAGAAACCTTCATATGTGCTCATATATCTTCTATGATAAACAAAAATTAAAAAGCAGATATATAAATTGCGGATTGAAAACAATGAACTAAACTCACCAATGATCAAGAGATAAGGATTATTTGCAACCATGAATGATTAAACATTAATAATGATCCTTGAATTGAAAAGACGAACAAAAAAATGTACTTCATTTAAGTTTTAATTCATATTTTACTAATTCTTTTGAAGAAATAAATAAATATATATATATAGTCGGTCCGATTCCCATTGGAACCGGGAACCGGATTGCCTGAACACCTTTAGGAACCAAGAATCGGACTAAACAGGCTGGTCCGATCCGGTCCGGTCTGGTCCGATCCAGGTTGTGTGGTTCTCGATTTGAGCAGTCCATTTTGCATACCCCTATTTGTATCTTATGACTAGCAATGGCCATCGTTTGGATTAATGGATTTTTTAATTAATTAGTTGAAGTCTTAATTAATTGAAAAGTATATAAAAAAAAGAAATAAATGAAAACCAAGCCCTCGGATGACATGCTGGCCCAGGTATGGGCCCATACCAGTGCCGTGCTTGGCCCAGCACAGAGATGTGCCGGGGCCTTCATGGGCCGGCCGGCCCGTGGCCATTGCTATCCGAAAAGAAGGATAACTTTATTTTAGAAAAGAGAACCCAAAAAAAATATATATTCCAAAAATGTTTATCTATCTCTTTTCTAATGACTGCTTGCTAATGCTGGCAACTATACTTTGGACTATATTCATCCATCATCATTTAGAGATCTGTCTCTTGGCGACAGATACGCACGGCGATTCCATTAGACAGTTGAAGGCAACTGTATCTGTCTGTTGGCGACATCCAACGACTTTGGAAAATTACAGAGAATCCTGTTTGTTGTCGCAATTTCGATATGTTATTTCGTCTCCTGGTGCTCTGTAGTCGAACCGCTCGAGCTGACCATAACTGGTGAGCAAATTGCTTACCCATTTGAGTATAATTGATCACATCTGTTTGTAGGCTTCAGAAGATCACGACCTTCAAGGTCTCTCTCTCTCTCTCTCTCTCTCATCTGTGTCTGTTTATTGTGACTAGTGTAATTGTTCATCATTTTCAGTTTTTGTGGCTTTGGCCTCTTGATGATCACTGCCTAGAATTTCTCCAATCGTGCTAAATCCTTTGGTCATCCCCGTTTACTCTTGAACTTACGAATCAAGTGCTTTGATTCATGTAATTTATCTTGTAGATGGCTAATGCTGTTGGAAATAGCAGCTGCCTCTGGAGGCAATCTGCTTCCTGGAGTAGAATGTCGTATTAGCGATAGGAACGGAAAGCTGTCGCCATAGACATCCTTACGGACGGCCACTGCAGCTTGCGCAAAAAGGCTCCCATCTTTGGGGACGGCCACTGTTGCCGTCCCAAAAAGGCTCAGCGATGGGCTTCACGTAGCAGTTGCTACTTCTCTTTGTTAGCCAATGTCTAGGCAAAGACAGCTGACGGGCACCTAGCCGTCGCTCATAATCATTAGGGATGTTTTTTTGGGCTTTTACGGACGGTTTTGCCCGTCACCTTTGTCCTCCTTCATTAATGATGGAAAGCGACTTGATCGTCTTCAACATTCGACAGCGATTTTAGTTATGCTATAAAAGAGATAATCTTATTGATGCCATTTTTTGCATATTTCCTGAAAACATAATCTGATTACTGGACTCCATTACGATGTGAATCAGACGGTTTCTCTTGTCCTCGACTGGAGGAAAGCAGTCTTCATATCCATATCATTCTCCATGACATACTTTGGATGATGTAGGAAGATATCTGGGAGTGACCCCTTTTGTTACCACGAGAAGCAGGAAAGAATGCAAAGAAAATTCCTTTCTTGTGTTGACGATAACTGTTGAAGGCAAATGGCACCTTTCCCGATCTCCTACGGAGACTAGGAAGCAAGAAAGGGATCAATTCCCACGTTTCCTTCTTGTGTCGACAAAAGAAAGGAATGTTCTTTGCTTTCTCCATTTAGCGTGCGACGAGGATAAATGGAGGCAGCACTCGAGAGCCATTTCTTCACTGTTTCATATGTTGCCTCCATTTTATCAGGCTCGCCACTGTCAAATTCGGTCCTTCGATATCGCGCGTACTTCTGGTAATCCCGCTCTAAGTTATTTTCACCATGCACACGCATCGGTTAATTGTTTTATCAACTGTAAGTTCAGATATTTATTGAAATCGGTGATCGATTCTCGCAATTTGCAATTTAGTTTAACAAATCTTGATTTACTTTGAGCCGGATCGGTTGATTTCGTATTGCTCGATTGTTGGTTTTAGTTGGTGGTACAAAGGCAATTCAAGAAGAAGGAATTATCAGATCAGAAGTAAAGAGACGAGAAGAACGGTCTTCAAACTAAGTGCACAAGAGAGAAACATAGGAGAGAACAAAGCAACATTTCATCTTGATGCGCACATTCTTCTGTACGCCCCTTACAGCTTTTATCTTCATCACGTATCGACATTCGCAACTACTTGTAACTTCGACTGTGTTTCTTTTTCATGTTTGGTTAGATGATTTGGAGAGAAAGGAAGAGTTTTTGCTAATCGCTAGGGACAAGAAAAGAAAAGAACATAATGGATCTGACTTAACCCCTCTATTTGCACGCTTTCGCATGCTTCAATGCCTTCAAATTTATTTTGCAGCATCAACGATGCTTTCAAATCTTCTCTGATATTTCATGTGCTCATTCGAGCTACTGAATCTGTATGCTTCAGCATCATGAGTCTATCAAAGTCTAGTATTACTACGGAGGCAATTGGCGCAGTGGCGTTTCTTCTTTGGAAAGGGATATATATTAGGTCAAGGATTCAAATCTTGATGTCTAGGTGCTGTTGGACAGAAGTGTTTTTGAAGGGAACCCACAAAGCCAATCTCATAGTTAGCCAAAAAGGGGATAGTCGAGCAAATTATAAACCGAAATCGAACCAACTTTCGCGTAGAGTACTAACATGGTGGCCACGTTTCGGCGGCCACATTTCGGCGGCCATCTGCATATTTCACTTGTCGAATAATGGCTAACAAAATCCCCTAATTACACCTATGATTGCCAAATTTGTACATTATTTTCTACGGTAAATGTCTGAAATTCGTCGAGTCTACATTGATGAAACTCAATAGCGAGGCTAGAATAGCCGCGAAAGAGTATTTTTGCAGAAGGCAACCTCTCATTGCGTATCATACTAGTGGGTCAAGCAACAAGTATAGAATTAGAAGCATCTCTATGCAAAAGACAATTGGCCTAGAATTTAAGACCAACGTTAAGCGGAGATGGAGAACTCTACATAGATAAGATTGACACTCATTATCTCCCTGGAAAATTTCCACATAGATCTGCTAAAGCAACAGCACAAAAAAAACCACAACTTATCGTTGATCATTCTTTTCGGTTTCCTTCCTGCAGATTTTAACACGGATCTAACTTTCGGTGCCACAGGGCCTACAATTTGGCATGAAAGAGCGGGTGCGAAAGAGCAGGTGCATTTGTGGATAGGGTTTCGTTATAATGACTTGAAGCAGATCTCGGCATCTGCTTCTGATAGAAATTAGCCTTGCCATGCCTTGCTATAATGACTCAGAACTTATCTCTACGTTTTCTTCTAGCAGAAATTAGCGTCAACCTCCTGCACGTGGTTATCATTTTCGGGTAATATTTTAAATCCTTGTTGCACGGAGAATTTGCACGAACCTTTGCGGTTGAACTTTGCATTGACAGTAGTTGCTACTCTTTTTTCTGTCTTGTGTGCTGAATGCGCAGCCTTACAAGGAGAGCGCGTACAGAGAACAAATAATTGTGTTGAGCGTCTCTTCTAGTAATCAGGAAATGGAGAAGTTAACAGGATATGATTACGAAGTATTTTTGAGCTTCAGAGGACCAGATACCCGTAGGGACATTACCGATTTCCTTTACACCAGCATGATTGGCGCTGGAATTCGAGCATACAGAGACGATGAAGAGCTCCGCGTCAGTGAGGAGATCGGCGGCCAGCTTCTCCAAGCGATTGAGCAGTCAAAGATCTCAATACTAATCTTTTCTAAAGGATATGCTGATAGTACTTGGTGCCTTAGGGAGTTGGTCAAGATGGTGGAGAGCAAGAGCACGAGGAGGCATAAGATCATGCCCATTTTTTACGATGTCGCACCATCCGAGGTAAAATACCAGACTGAGCACTTTGGCAAGGCCATTGTTTCTCATGCAAACAAGAAGCGGTTCGATGACAAGACTATCGGCAAGTGGAAGGCTGCTCTCACTGAGGTTGGAGCACTAAAGGGATGGGACCTCCATAGCAATCCATACAGGTATTTAATTATATCATGTACGGTCTAATTGTTCCAGATGCATTATTTTGTTTCAGCTCAGTCTAATCTTTTGATGCTTTTTCCTCCAAATAACATCAGAGGCAAAGGTGAATTCGTGAAAGAAGTTGTCAGTAACGTTTTGACTGAGTTGAAAACTGCCTACTTGGAAGTATCTGATTGCTTAGTCGAAGTCGACCATCACGTGGATGAAATCATGAGGATAATAGGTACACACAACTATCAAACAAAGATTGTTGGAATCCATGGTATGGGTGGCGTGGGAAAGACGACCGTTGCCAAAATAGTGTACAATCAACTTTCTAATGATTATGTTGATTGTTGCTTTCTTTCCGACATCAGCAAAATAGAGATTACGCGCTTGCAAAATCAGCTCATATCGAACATCCTTAAGATGAAATGGCCTGATATCAATACTATCATGGAAGGGAAAAAGGTAATCCGGGAAAGGTTAAGCTCTAAAAAAGTGCTTCTTCTACTTGATGATGTGGACAAAGGAAGTCAACTTGATGCGCTCGTGCAGAATCGTGAATGGTTCGGTAATGGAAGCAAGATTATCATTACTACTAGAGATCAGGGAATTCTCAAAGTGCCTACACTTGTTGATGGGACTTACGAACTTACTGGCATGGATCTTGATCATTCTCTTCTACTTTTTAGCAAACATGCCTTTAGAAGAGATTATCCATTAAAAGAATACAGAGTTCACTCTGCAAGAGCAATTAATATTTGTGGTGGTCTTCCTTTAGCTCTTGAGATTATAGGTTCTCTTTTATCGGGAAAAAGAGTAGAGGAGTGGGATGCCACATTGAAGGAGCTAGAAGAATCTCCTCAAGAGGATGTTGGAAAGAAGTTGATGATCAGCATTGAGGCATTAAATGAAGAGCAAAGAAAAATATTTCTCGATGTTGCCTGTTTTTTCATTGGGTATGATAAAAGAATTGCGATTCACATGTGGGAAAGCTGTAAATTTCTTCCTCATCAATCTCTTGGAATCCTTCAGCAAAGATCTTTGATAAAGATTAGAGATGATAACCAACTATGGATGCATGATTGGTTAAGAGATATTGGAAGAAATTTTGTACAACAGGGAAGTGGGAAGAAACCAGAGAAGCAAGAATGGGTGTGGACTCATGCGCAAGCACTAGAGGTTTTGGAGAAAATGCAGGTATAAATGTTTTCCCCTCTACAGAATATCAACGAGGTATATCATGGTTGTTTTTCTAACTTCCGTTTTCTGTTTTTCATTTTGGCAGATAGGAGGTGATGTTCCCAGAATCATAAGTATCGAAACGATATGTTTCAAGTTTGAGAATCTATCTCAATACTCCTCGATAAAAGAATGCCTCGCAAGTCTTTTGAATCTAAGGTTCCTTCAAGTGGATAGCAAAGGCTTCGGAAACACAAAGTCTATCTTTACTCAATTGGGTCGTTTGATATATTACCGGTGGTCAAATTTTCTAGAAACCCCATATAGCCCACTTATCCTTCCGGAGTTGAGATGGCTTTCATGGCATTACTTTCCTATGGATTTTAAGCTGACCAAAATCTCCCTAAGGAAGCTAGTAATCCTTGATCTCTCAAAGAGTAAAATCACGGAAAAATGGGATGGTTGGAGCCACATCAAGGTATGATTTCAAATAGGTCAATGTGAGTTCTTTTGTTTTAGTTTATCTTAATTTAACCTAAAGGGCTATACGATGTCTTCTTTTCAGTTGGCTGAGAATTTGAAGGTCCTAAATTTGACCGAATGCATTAAATTGCGTAGAACTCCAGACTTGTCTTTTCAAGTGAATTTAGAGCGACTGATTCTTGAAAGATGCGTGAGTTTGCTTCAAATTGATCCATCCATTAGTCACCTTAAGAAGTTAGTCTTCTTAAACTTGAAGTATTGTGAAGGTCTCCGAGAGCTTCCGGACGAGTTGGGGGAACTGGAATCTTTAATGGAACTTCTTCTAGACAACACATCTATAGAAGAGATCCCTGAATGGAGAAGGATGAAGAAACTGGAAATTCTCAGCTTGGTCGAATGTGAATCATTGAGTAAATTTAGTTTTATCGGTTGTGCAGCATCAACATCGAGGCTTTCATCGGTGGGTGACCCTTCGGCTCAACTGCCTAAGTTGATCGAAAATTCCAATTCACTAATTGAATTGGATCTAGCAGGTACAAAACTCAAGGAGTTACCCGATTCAATTGGGAACATGAAGAATTTGAAAGTACTAACAATGCATAACACCTCTGTATGGAAACAACTTAGTACCATTGGAAAGTCGGTGAACCTCGAGATGCTACAGTTAGCGGGACTTTTATTACGATTGGGAGGAGAAACTCCCCGTAATATTTTTAAGCAAACATGTCTAAGAATCCTGGAAATGGTTGGCACTACAATTTCGGTGGTGCCTCGGCTTCCAGAAAGTCTGATCACTCTTTCTATCGCTACAGTCTCAATGGAGACGTTTCCCGACCTCTCGAACCTATTAAATTTGAGAACTTTGCGTTTGTATTTGTGGGGATCACTCGAGGATCCTTACAAACTCGAAGAAACCACGAGTCTTTGGTGGATTGGAAGATTACGCGCACTTGAGGTCTTGGACTTGTGTTCTCCTTATATTGCCACCCTATCTTCCGATCTCGTTCTCCTCTCTCAGCTGAAGCAACTCAAGCTCTTATGCATTAATTTGCAATGCCTACCTAGGCTTCCGACAAACTTGTCCTACTTGGGCATCCAATTTTGCAAGAGAATAAAGACAACGAATGATCTCTCGACTTTGAAAGTGTTATCAGATTTGGAAGTTACTCATTGTGAGAAGCTAACGGAGATTCAAGGCCTTGAATGTTTGGAGAACCTGAGAACATTAGAGCTCGTGAATCTTCCCTCGCTGACGAAGTTGCCTGATCTGACTACCTTGAAGAAGCTCAAGAAGATACTTCTATGGTATTGTGCCCAGCTGTTTGAGATTCGAGGTAGCCCGGAATCGTTGGAGATGCTGGACATCTGGCACTGTTGGAAACTGCAAAAGTTGCCCGACCCATCAAGCTTCAAGAATCTAAAATCTTGGATTCAAGATGGAAGGAGCATGATTTGATTACAACTTGCAAACGCTCCCTTCTTTCTTTTTTTTTCCGGTAATGTTTGCGTTTTTCTTTTGGGCATCCCTAATTATGGTATCATGCATTATATGGCCTTTAATGAGTGTTGTCTCTCCAGCTTGGTAATGTGATTTTGGTTACCGAAAACTAAAATCTGCCATGCTCACCACCAAAATGAATCAGGATCATTCGTCGATGTGAATCGAACGGGATAAAACCGGGTTTCTTGTTAGTCTGTGTCTGGGCAAAACCTAGAGTGAAATTTCAGATGAATTGAGAAATCTTCGAGTGTCTGAGGAGCGCTGAATTGAAATTTCCCCTGATTTCGAAGCGAAAGCGAGGTAAAACCATTCAACCTAATGTCCGGACTCCGGTCCGCTCTCGAAAAATCATGTAACATAAAAGCTTATTGATTTTTCATCTGAGCAAACAGCAATCGCGATTATCCTTTCAATCGACAAGCATATATGTGGGTTCGAAATTGCACCCGTTGAAACAAAGTTTTATCTTCTTTTTTAGTTTTTGGGATGCTTTGAAGTCCTAAAACTTGTCATTAAAATGCAATCGAGTCCTAAAACTTTCAAAAAGTACAGTTAAGTCCTAAAACTTGTCACGATAGTGCAATTGAGTCTTAAATCTTTAAAATAAAGTGCAATCGGGTCCTGAAACTTATTACGAAAATATAATCGAGATCTAAAACTTTCAAAAAATGCAATTAATGGAAATGCTCGATTAGACCAATTTGACAAGTTTCGGGACTCGATTGCACGTTTTGAAATTTTTTAGACTCGACTGCATTTTCATGACAAGTTTAAGGATATAATTGCATTTTTGAAAGTTTTAAGCACTTTTGTTTTAGACTTCCAAGACTTTTTATTTTTATAATTTTGTTCATAAAGTTGTACCTTCGTTCGTATAGAAATTTGTATGTGCGTGTCTATATATATATTTTTTTTGGTAAGGGTGCGTGTCTATATTTATATCGGGCTAATTCCAAAAAAAAAATACAAACTTTATCTTGAGCGATAATTTTGGCCCGAATTTGTTTTGTCTCAATAAAAAACATACTTTTACTAGAGTCCCAAATTTGGCTCCTGTGATGTGAAATTTTTAAATTATTCGGGCAAGATTTGGGATTTAATTGAAAGTTGGGTGATTTTTTAGGAGACCAAAAAAAGTTCGGACCAGAATTGTCACTCGAGATAAAATTGGCGCTTTTTTTTTTTTTTTAATTAGTCCTCTGTATATATATATATGTTCTAGTTGTCGTCCTTTCTTCGTGACTCGAGAGACTTGAGAGAGAGAGATGCAGCTTCTTCAATGCCTCTCGTTTGGTTCTGCCAACATCACTTCTCGTTTCCTCGCGAACAAGGTAAAGCGGCTGCTGCTGCTGCTTCTTCTTCTTCTTCTTCTTCCCTCGCTTTGCTTATCGCCTCGGCAAACCTCCACCGCTCGACGGTGACGTGCTCGCCTCGCGCAGCGCGATGCGGTGACCGCCGCAGGAACGCGGGGAGGAGGAGGAGGAGGAGGAGGGGGAGGGCCGGGACGGGACGCGGGCGGAGCTTCCCCTCGGGACCTCCAGCGGGCTGGTTTCCTCGCCGCCGCCGCCGCCGTTGCTCCGCCTCTGGCCGCCGCGCTCGTCGCCTTGTCTCCACTCTGCGTCGCTCCAGGTGCGCCGCTTTCCGCGTTCCTTGACTCTGCCGTGTGGCGCCGTTGCCTTTGCGCTCTCCGTGTGCGGGAATGGCGCGGTCTTGTCGAACGCGTTTGAGCTTCGCGTGGAATTTGTCGGAGTGGATGGCCGTGTTCTGGTGCTATCTGTTAGGTTGCGTTAGTTGGCTCGTGACCGCGGAAGTGCGCCGGAGACATGCTTCCGATTCGTTTTTTTTTTCTTTTTTTTTTTTTGATGAACTCGAAAAGCTGAGAAGGAAATAGAAGGAGGATGATTTGTTGTTGTTAGAGAAGGAGCAATTTGGTTAGCTTTGCATGATTACGTACATCGCAAGGCTAATTCCCCGCTGCAGGAACAGAGAATTGCGCCTGGTTTAGTGGTTTACTGATTCTAAAAAATGCTCGGGCTAGATTGCAGGTGGATGAGTTGCTCATTTGTCTGTTTTGTCATCCGGAATAGGTGACGGGTAGTAGTGTATCGTGTGATTTTTACTTCTAATCAATGTGCCGGTTCGTATCATTATTGTAAACTTACTGTGAAGTGGCCGGCAATGGTGCTGCAGTTAGCTTCTAGCGTTATTCTCTTATGATATATAGTACAGTGAGACCATGATGAGCGATCAATTGCCTTCTCTCAAGTTGGAGGTGTGAAGGTTTCTTTCCACCCTATTCGTGAGCTTACCCGTGGTTATCCAGATTCTATGAAATTCGTGCTTTATAGTGATATTTATCTGATACTTGAGTGTGTTACCGCGCTCAAATATTCCTGACATGTGGTAATGTGAAGTGGGTTTTCAGAGGAATGAGAAATGATGTTGATCCACTACCTACCTAACTTTTTTCTGCGAGCACTTTGAGAGTGGCCCAGAGAATTTGTTGGAGGGTCTTAGGTTTGCACTCATTGGCTTTCAAGTATACTTATCACCATCTTATTTTCTTTTGCAATCTTCCTGTCTGTGTATATTCTTAGGAGATGGGAAGTTCCTGCAGATCCTTTCAGGAGAGGGAGAGTTCATTTTCCTGGTTGAGGTTAAGAACCGAATGAAAATCTTTGGGTGTGTTTTGTGCTTTTTTCCCCCCTTTGAGAGGCAAATTAATTTTCCTCAATAACAAGAAATGAGCAGTACAAACTTTCAGAACCAAAACAAGTCAATATTGTCCGACTCCCCTGCAGTCCTCCCTTTTGCCAATTCATCTGCTGGAAAGTTTGCTCTCTAAAAACATGAGCGAAGGTTATAATCCCGCAGGTATAACTGGTTGAGTTCCAGGTTTATCATGTAGGGGAGTTAAGGGCACACTGTCGTTAGAAGTTATGAACTTTAGATTGTTGCTCCAAATGTTATTGACAGATATGGAATAGATGTTTCATTACATGCATACAGCAGTGATTACTTGTTGAGATTGTTTGTCGTTTAACTTGTCTGCCCGCTGCAGTGTCACTTGGTCAAACTGTAGATGTCCAAAGAGGAGCAGTATTGTTTCGTCGGGCATGCATTGGATGTCATGATGCTGGCGGAAACATAATACAGCCAGTGAGTTCCCTTTAATTCTTACATGCATGTTTCCTTCTTGGCTGATAACTCATGCAAAATTTTGTTGTCTTCTGGCTAGGGTGCCACACTGTTCATGAAAGAGTTACAAAGGTATGAAACATTGCAAAATGGCCTCTACCGATTGAGAGTCTATGCTATCAGAAATTCACTTTCTTATTTGATACCTTCATTAATTAGATGTCAAAGTTTTGCTTCCCATGGCATTTAGGCTCGATAATATTGCTCATTTTCCCGTTTGGCCCAATTATATATGCCCTTAGTCTAATTTTTTACAGTGATCTCCAACTGGATACTTTCTTCCCTTGATCATATCACAGTACATACGCAATCTATACCTGAAAAATGATTTAGTTGCTACAACTATAGAAACGGAGTCGACACGGAAGAGGAGATCTACCGAGTTACCTACTTTGGCAAAGGAAGAATGCCAGTAAGACCAATAGAAATCTTATTCTTTTTCTCTTGATATATGAGATTAATTTACCATCATTTCTGTTTGAGGCTTTTCAGCTCTTAAACTTGTGAAAGAAACACACCTGATTTCTGATTCAGGGCTTTGGTGAGAACTGCACCCCAAGAGGCCAATGCACGTTTGGACCACGGTTGCAGGAGGATGAGATCAAGGAACTAGCAAAGTTTGTAAAGTTACAGGCTGATCAAGGTTGGCCTAAGATAGAAATTGAAGATTGATTGGTACGTGATGTATTATTTAGTAAGATGACCGACCATTATTTAGGCCAATGTGTTGAGTTCAAGCCTTTTTTTTTCCCTTCTCCCTGTTGCCCAACCAAGAAGTGTAAAAAAAAATGTTCGATTCGGTATTCTTGCTTCCACAAAATTGAAAAGAGAAGTATGTCATAGTTAAATGGCGAAAGATATATCATGTCAAGATAGCTGACGGACAAATCGGATAAGATGGTCACCCGTCTCATGGTTTCTTCAATTTGATAGTCTTTCTAACTTACATTGATCTTTAAGATGGCCAAAAGACTCGAAGCAATCGGAGAGTCCGTGTCAGGTTCGCATTCAGATGGCCCAGTATGAGGTGCTTGTCGCCTGTAATGAATGGATGGACTGTGTACTCCATGAACGGAGCTCTTTGCCGACGTTTCTGCTTTCATTCTTTCACAAGTAATGGCATGAATCAGTGCATCTGAGACAGTGCATGGGGTCATCTTCACGGCGTTCACTTTTTCCCGAATCGGTACAGTTAAGCCGAAAACGTTGCTTGATAGTCTGTCTCTCTTGATACAGAATCTCTGATGCTTTAATCCTTTGAACTATGTTCATCAACCTTGTGGCCATCTTTTGTACCTGTTATATTCCAACACATCGTTCGTCTTCCAAGCTAGGGGGCTCAACTCAAACCGACGGATACAAGATATATGAGCAAGAGGCCCAAAAATAAGCCTCCAAGTACAAAATGTAGTGTATATGCATGTCGAAAATAAATCTCCAAGTACAAAAATGTATACGCAAGTGTGGGATCTAAATTAATCTAAGGTAAATGCGATGGGAAAGCAATTTTTTCGAAGATGGATGGGGTGTGTGTAGGTGTGTAAAAAGCGTGCCAGCTCGAGAGAGCGAAAGCGATGTAAAAACTACTTCTTAGATCTAAAACGGCAAGGAACTCAAGAGCTTGTGCGTGAAATCTAAAGCAAATTGCACACATTCAACAGCAACACGCCCCTCTCAATGTCTGGGCTATAAGCTGCCGCTACCAACATCTGCCACCCCCCCACCCAAAAGACTTCATCAATTTTAACACTTCCTGAAATTTTGTTTGGTGCGGCGTTTCTAATTTGACTTTTGTTGGCCCAGATTTATTGAACTTGCACAATCTCAGCCCATTTGTCTGGTATTGGCTCATGATGGATCTTCACTACTACATACATATTCCTTCATGAGTTTCAACCATAATCAGCCTTGACTCGTGTTTATCAACCCATTTCAACAAAACTGACCAAAGTGCTTTCCTATACAGTGCACCATCTAGAATGGTATAATGAATGGCTTTGAACCGTGTTTTTCGTCTTTGCCCCTTGCGAGGTCCGTACCAATCTTCTTTCACTATCTATCACCATGACACATTCAGCGTTCGATTGGCTCTAGGAAGGCTGGGATTTCTCAACTAGTGGCCTCTCGAAGTCTGATGTCAACATACTCGATGCTACTGGAGCAAGTTCTTATGCTTCCTGATTTTTATTCCGAGGAATGTACTCTAGGAATTGATAATCAAAATGGCTGATCAATTCTGATGCCACGTGATAATATTGGTTCATGATTTCATTCACATATATGTACTCACCTTGTAATTGCTTAATTACTAGTTGTGAGTCACCTTTTGGCCTTGCTTTGATCGAGGTGACCATCGGCTTTTCCTAGACCGAAGTCGAGCTGTTCATTCTTAGATCAAAATCAATCTAGATAATCTCTAGATTGAGGCTGAATTTGACCTGACTTGACTCTTCATTCCTTGAGTCACTCCTTTTGCCATATCTTAACAACGAGACTCTTCTCAATAACTATACCATAAACATCTGCTACCAGCAAGAAGCTTCTTTGCTTTCTTTACTGTTTTCCTTTTGAGAAATGGTTTTGTACTGTGAACAACATGCGCCATCAGCTCGGACAAGAGCCATCTAGCTCCTGACCTTTGCAGGGCAACGTTTTCGCAGTTCACCAGTCACTCGCGTGCAGTCTAATCTGTATTTTGTCATTACTTTGTAACCATCAATCACAGTTCATGAAAGGAGCTTCTAGCTCTGGCTAGGTTGGACTTGAAAGGGATGTTGATAAGATGAGATTCCACTCTGCCACACATTCCAAATCGTGGAAAAGCTCAAATTTGTTGAAGCTGTAGGTTGAAACTGGTTTTTGCTGCTTATAATTTGAGAATACTGAGGTTTTGAGTCGTGATATGAATATGGGTCTGCTGTATGAAGCCTTAGGCTACTGGATTAAATTATATGCCCTAATTTCTTGTTGGAGACATGAAAGAAATGAGTAAAGCACAGTAATTTCACAATTGAAAATTGCAAAAGTCACCCATTCGAATACATAAAACTCGTTAGCGTTGCTTATGCAACATCTTAAGGCGATTCATTACAATATCTCGCACACAATATCAATTCATATCATACTTATTTGTGGAATGATGCTTGTGTCACTGTCCGATTTTTACCCCGGCCAAGTAAGCTTAAAAACGAGGTTTCATGGCATCGAGGTCCAGTGGGAGGTACGCAAAAGGGATGATGCAGGTGGATCCTGTAAGTGATGATTATCTTCTCGGGAGGTTTTCTGAAGGCGGGGTCGGCCACAATCGAAAAGTACCCTTACATAAAAGGCATGAGACAAAGAGCAAGACTTTGTAACACCCAAAAGAAAAACCCTAATTCCAGTTCTGTTCCCCCAAAAATCCTCATTCGGTTAGAAACACTGAATTAGGCACCTTTAGGGATTGGAAAGATTTCTTTGACATTCTTTAGAAGGCTCACAGAAACACAGTGTGACCTTGTAAATCTTTTCTTAACCACATGTGTCAAGTAATGGTTTGAAGGGCAGAAAAACTTTTGGAAACTGCCAAGCAGTCATCGTGGATTGATAGGTTCAGCTGTGTCTCTTAATCATTGTCTCTAGATGTGGAATTGGAACTAAACGTGTTTGCCATGATCACCATGCACAAGCTAAAAATCTTCAGGACATATGTCACATGGATGCTCAACATGGGAAACATGAAGACATAATCACATTACAGTGGACCCTCCAAAGTACTCTAATTAGGTTAATCAAGGCTCATTAAAGGCTCCCAACATTGGTCCATGTCTCTGATAGGTATTTGCCAACTGTGGATGGCTCATGGCTACCAGTGCTTTTCCACCATGAACTTGCTCAAATCTCCAATCGATTCTGCACCGCTCGGTATGCTTGCAAGTAATTAGAAGGGGAGAGACAGCATCTCATGAATAATGTTGTTTACACGTGGGTGTACCTTGGATAATCCACGTGTTAAGGTGGAGAAAGCGTGTTATGCGGGTAATTTACAGGTCTCAAGGTCAACGCTCATAAGCATATTGAGCTCTTCATGTGGCCAGATGGTGATTCAAATATGTGACATGACACTCCGTCCTCTCTCATCTTCACTTTACTTTTTAAATTCAATTTCCTTATCAACGCCAAAAACTCTGTTGTTGAAGGGCGGAGTTCCCAAGAAATATGAACAAGTGTATATAGGGTTGAGATTAATTAAAGTCCCGTACCGAATACATATGGATGAGTTGAGTGGTTTCTAACTTTATTTCATGCTTCTTCAAATTGACTCTTTTGAAATTGACACGCTGCACTTTATAAATTCTTTACCCATTTTGTGTGTTCAAGCGAGCTTCTCTCAATAAACTCACTTTCCTCTTATTTTTCACTTTCATACTCAATCTTTTGGAGGCGCCAACAACAGAGTTTCTAATCAGATAATAAAAAATAGTTCAAAAGATTTCTTTGGTCACAAAGGGCTGGTGGAGAGTCCCATGGGAGCTATACAAAATATTACTGTCAGCTGTAACAGGATAAACTAAACTAATAATCTCCATCCTTCACCACCCCTTTCATTAAAGTAATTCAAAAATCATAAGGGTGGTTTCAAAAATTGGAAAGCCAAGTTTTTCAAATCAATCGGTGGTAGTTGCACCAACCCACGCAAGGGTTCGTATTAGCAAGAAAAGAACAAAAAGGAAAAGCCTTTATAGGCTGTCTTATTAATTATCTCTTTGGAATTTCATTAATTTAATCAAAGTTGATGGTGATCTAACCTAGCTTTACCCTGACGACAAGGTAATTGCTGAGACACTGATCTATTTCCTTTTTCCTCTTTTTTATAATTTTTTTAAGGTGAAACCCTAGAGAAAAGAGCATTGAAAAATGGGGAATCTTGACTAATCTTTCCCCCTTCAAATTTTTCATTTTTATCGTTGGTGAAAAGAAGGGTTGCTCCCGATGTTTAGGTAGGCTTTAATGGGGTCGAATTGAAACTATATAACTAATCTATCTAGCGTTAGTTGCTCCTACTTTTTTATGCAGGAAAGTGAAAAGATTCCTAAGGACCCAATGGTTCTATCAAGTGTTACTTATTTTTCTATCTATTTATTTAATTTCGTGTGTGATGTGAGGTGGACATGAGAACCAACCGATCCATTTCCCAATGACCAAAAATGAATAGAAAGGTCAAAGGGGGGACAAGTTGAGAACTACCCATTGAACAACTTGTTACCACCCTCTTGTTTTTAGTCTTGCCACTTGACCTTTAATATATTTTATTCATATATTTCTTTAAAAATTGATCAGCAATCAACTTGGAGTTGAAAAGGATGTGCACAGAGATTTGTCGAATTAGGCAGGGTTCCGATCAACTTCTCTTTTCTAAATGCTAAAGCAAAATTCACAATATTGCATAGGATTGGAGATATAAAGAACGATTTGCGAATATTGCTTATGAAGAGGTATTTGAAAACCCAATTTGGAGTTTGCCACATCACCAAATCAATTTTTTTTCACCCCTAATATTGCTCACTTTGAAAATATTCCGATGGTTTAATTAGTAATTCATCGAGAAAGACTGATACTAAGATAAATATTTGAAAGTGCATTCAACCTAGTAGGCCATATTCAACACTTCAATAAAAATTTGCATATTACCATGTAAAGTCAATTGTAGTTTAAGTAAGCTTTTGTAATTCAAGCATAATTTATGGTGAGAAAACATCTTGGGGATCCAACTAATATATGAGTGTCATTAAACATATGTCAACAATTTCCAAAGTAGAACTTGCATGTATTAAAATTGCAGTACTAACATCCACAAAATTACCTGCATTGCTATCATATTTAGATTTTGAACATCTCTTTTTCTTTATCCATGGTTTGGAAAGTATTAGAAGGAAATTCTTTCTCAAAACCCTCAGTTTATAGGTGAAAGACTCATCCTTCTAAATTCCATTAGCAGTTAAATATCCTTTAGAACGTGCATAGTGACATACTAACTTGTTCGTTCTTCTTATTAGAAATAAGCAAGAAAAGAACATCGAGAGTTCAGCATCTCCAGACAGATCAAGAGCTTGAACTACGGTTTGTAGATTAATTAGTGAAGTCAGCAAACATAGATCATAAATGTGGCTAGAGAGGACTTCTTCAATATTCTGGCAATAAGGACAATGGATTCATCTAAATGATTTTGCACCACTCCTAATTAATCAACAGAAGAGATGGTGGATGATGAGGGACAAACAAAAGGCATCTGAAAACCTTATCTATAAAGAAAAGATAATAACCAAAGAAATAAAAAAACCAGCACATCAAGTGGGGCCTCAAGGAAGAGGAAGGAAAGAAAAAACGCTTAAGCAGTCTCTAAAAGAAAACCCTAATTTGGATTGCTTTATTCACAACCACCACTACCACCAACCTTAATCAAATGGGGGGAGATTCAGCTCTTTGAGCTACAATACAAAGCAAAGCCATGTGAGTCTCCTATCCCCTTGATCAACTAATTAAACAATGATAAAGTTGTGGTCCATTTCTCCTTCCATTAGGGCTTTGTCCAGATGTCATTGTTTGTCAAAGCCACTGGACACCACAGACAGGCACAAGGACCACCCAAAGCTAAAGACAAAAGGATGCCCCTCAACTGATTCCACCAAACTGGCCAGGGTTAACAGTCTTCTCTCATAAATTGTGATGCTAATGTGATGCATTTGCTCAATGGGGCTGATTATTCTTGTGCATTATTGCTGGAGATAACTATTTTCAGAGATGGTGTCAGATCAATAACATGCTCATGTGTGTATTTCTGAAATGACCCACAAAAAAATCTTCAGAGTTAATTGGCATGTGCCAAGCATACATTTCAAACGAGAAGACATAAACTATGCTGAAAAGAAACAAGGGAAGGCTGGCGAAATGTTAATTTCTGAGATGATCCATGAAACTTTTCATCATTAATTGCAGATGTATGCTTGACAAGCATAAATTAACAAATTGAGAAGAAATAAAGCAAGTTAAAGCTCCAGGGAGGACTTGGGTCAATTTATTAACCTCTCATGATATCTCTTCACTAGTAATGATAATGTCTCTCCTACATACATTTTGTTCTTCATGATGAATTTATAGGAGCTCTCGTGCCTTTCTTTACAGCAATACACGCCTTCAATTACTACTTTTTCATCCCTCAATCAATTTTAACCAAACTGCTTAAACCGTTTCTTAATGTCTACAGAGAGACCCAAGTGGTCCCCCTTTTTATACATATTTACATATTATTTTGTACTCATATTAAGACGCCCGAGAGAGAGAGAGAGTCAGCATCAATAGCTGTAATGACCTAAACTTGCCATTGAATACACCATCTACAATGTCTTAGAGAGAGAAATTTTTTAGGAACTCTTGAAAGACGACATATATGTGTTTGGCTATACCAATCATCGTTCTTGAAGTATTATCATTTCGTTAGATTCTTTTTTCTAAATCGATAAAGCTAGTCGAACGTGCACTGATTGATTTGGGTGGACAAGAACACTATGTCTCGTGAGCAAGTAAAAAAAAAAAATCTCTTTCTGACATTAATAAAATAATGCTTTTTTTATATATATGTACAAAGGGAAAAAAGAGTCACGAGGGTTTCCAACCAAAGACATGCACGCCTCGTGCCTTCTTTTGTCAATCCTTAGGTATCATAAATCAATCTCTCTCTCTCTCGTGCCTTCTTTTGTCAATCCTTAGGTATCATAAATCTCTCTCTCTCTCTCTCTCTGGGAAGGTTTCCTTTAAAGGCTTTCCAACAGAGAGCTAAGACGCTTCATCACTCCTTCGATTCCTCGTTTATGGGTTTGGTCTCTCTGGGGGACTGGTCTTGTGGGCATACATGTGTGTTGGTTTGAGAGGTTGAAGCTGCCAGCATGATCTGGTAATTAACTCATAATTTAAAACCTGTTCCTTGTTTTTGTTCCCCCTTTTCTCTCTTTCAATTTAGTCTTTCCGTCTGCATATATACCTGCAAAGTCTGGATTTCTAAGCTTATCTATCCATGGACAGTTTGACTTTGCGTTGTCTTTGCAAATGATGCTTTTTCGGTCGATCCAGTGAAGTTTGCACGAATCCTTGCTATTAGAATCGGTAAGAGTCGAATCATAACGACTCATTTCGATTTCATTCAGTGAACTCGATTGACTACAATCTATTGCGCATAAAACAAAGGTATGGCTGGCTTGGTGTAAAAAGATTTTAACTTTGGTTGAATCAAGCAACGGATGCACAGATCGCATCCTAGGCATCGTGATGCAATCATATCGCATCTCAAACGGGTTTTTACATACCCCAAGCTTGCATAGTTCTGGTTTTTTTTCGAAAATACATGAGAATGCATATCATGTATGTTCTTTAAAGTTTCAAGGGTCTCAATTTTTACTCACCCAAACAAACTTTTACCTAGCAAGCTAGGTCAAGAAACTTGTTTCAAAATTAGCTACATTAAGATGAAATTAGAGGGCATCATATCAGGTCATCTTGCAGCTTCAATCACTCATTCACCAACAAAAAGGGGACTCCTTGTTCAATGGCTTGTCTCCCCCAATACTTAGCCCAGGTAATTCTCTGTTATTTCCCCCCTCAAATTCACTATATTTTTAGCCAATGATAGTGATGACATTCTTTTGTCATGGACCAATATGTCTCATTTTCTTGGGTTCATTTGAATTTGATGGTAATGGATGATTTCAGTCATACAAATTCAAAATCTCCAAAGAATTTCTCCCGTCCACATAATTAAAAAGAGAAAAAAAAACACAAAATTAGGGGACATGCAAGGCCACATACGGTATGAGAAATTGACAATACATGTGCGGATACGCCAATCAAAGTCAATGCTTTGTTTGTGCTCTTTTTTCCTTTTTCCCATGTAAATAATACCTAATTCACACATCTCCACATATGACACATGAACATGGCATCTCTCTCTCTCTCTCTCTCTCTCTCTCTCTGTGTTGTAGTGTCAATTGTTTTTTGTCTATCTTGGGGGTGTGTGTACTGGGGAATCAACATGTAAAACAAAATCACAAGACACAAGAAAGGCAAAGCAAATGCATGCTGGGGACTATATTATTTGCCTTGTCGCAGCTTTCTCGTGGTTAAAAATAGGTACACACACTACACTACACCACATTGTACCATTCGTTAGCGTGTCTCCTACTAGCACACCATCACAATGCCCCAAAGGAGATGAATGATTTGGTTCTCTTCTTAAATTTCCCGTGATTTCTAAAAAAAAGAAAGAAAAACGAATCACTTTATCGACAGATTTTTAAGTGCTTCCGAAAGAAGTTTCTACAAGCAAGTATTGGGTGTACCCATATTATGTGAGTCTCGCTAGGGACCTACCTCATCTAATAGTACATTTGAGTTGGATTCACATGCACAATATGTAGTAAACTTTTTTTCCGTTTCTAGTCACTCAACTCAACCTTGATTTGTGAAATTGTCATCATTTTGGGAAGTGAAAAAAGAATTTCATACCATTTAAAATGGGACCATTGATTTGGTTGGATAGAGATTCATACTATGAAAACATCGTGCTGTTTCATAGTTTAGGGTTTAAGTTATCATATTTTTGCAACTGAGGGCTATAATGATTAGATGTGTGTAATTAGAGGTGAGCAACCGGGCATGTTCAACCCGGGAATCGGCTCAAATCGATCCTTATCCAATCGATTCAAGGCCAGTTTATATAAAGACCGATTCAATTCCTGATTCCAGAAATTGCGAACCGGTTCCCAGTTCGGGGCCCTGAACCATCGTTTCTACCAAGGCCGGTTCTAAGGTAGAACCGGATCAAACTGATTTTCAACTGGGACCTAATCGGTTTTGTTGAGTGATGAAGGCCGTTTTCTCTTCCATTGCTAATTATTGGCAACAAACAAGCGTCTTTCAATTGTCATGTTGAAAATCAATGTCTGGATGGGACCAACCTTTCTTTATATAGTATAAATATGTAGCTTGGGTTGACAGATTGTGAAGGCATGTTGTCTTTAATTTTCTTGTCTGTTCACCAACTATCTTGTCCAAAATGTTTCTTATTCTTACGTTATTCAGTTGTGAAATGGAGAAGCTGGTATTCTGCTGTGGTTGTTTCCATAACTTCACTGAGATTTGTTATATTTACTCGATTTGAGTACTGGCTGGTTTACTAGGCCGGTTCCAGGGTTAATAGGGACGGTTCCCAATTCCAAAAATGGGAAACTGATCTTGACAAGGTAGGTTCCCCTTATTTGGAATCTACCCAAATTGAAACCGATCACCCTTAGTGTGCATATATCATTATTGATATTTATTAGTATTTGATTTTTAGTATCCGATCAAAGTTGAATATGTGAAATCATCACATTTGTGGCTATATATATGGAATCACCCCATTTCCAAATTAACAACTAAATTCCATAATTTTTTGGCAACATTTTTCAATTTCTCTTTCCTTAAATTCATAATAACTTGAAAATGGTATCTCCTCTGTGCCTACATTATTGATATGGATTTGCTTCCATCTAGTTACAAATAAATTGGCCGATAAAACTATGTAGATTAATGCAATTTAGACCACAAAAACATCCAGTGATTCAGTTATGTAAGTATCAATGTAATTGAAAATCATGAACCAAAATACTCAATTAGAAGCCTTTTTTTTTAGATACCAAAAAGGAGTTCAGCTCGACAAAAAAAAAAAAATTGAATCGCAAAATCGAAGTTACGAAGTTCAATTTTAATCATAGCATTAAATTGGCTTCGCAGTAATGAATCGGTTAGTGCAATTTTTTTTGTATTTACCCAACCCGTCCATCAAATTATTGGTGATGTGGGTTGCGTCAGAAAATGAGTACGCAGGCTGTGTACCATATAAAAATCTTGTACCATGCTTATCATGTTTGATTTAGTTGCTCCTCATCATATCTGATCCTTGTATCCTCAGCGCTTAAATCATTATCAGTCGTTTTCAAAGGGGATTGTAGTGGGATTACTCCCCCACATCTTAGAAATTTTGCAATGAGCAGTCGATCTACTATTGATTTGTCTTGGAGATCACAAAGTGAATAGGTGATTCCATAGTCACGAGTCAAATGCAGACAGCATAGGTATTTCCGACGACCGTTGTTGCCTCTTTGGTCTAATCATGCTGGCCTTTTGGAGAACATTTTCATCAGCTTTACAAGAAATTTGTAGCAAATTCATCAAGGCACAATGTTTATAATGAATGGGGCAATGTGATATGAACATTACATAGGTAAAGCAATGTTGAGCGTTTGTAAATGATCCCTTATATACCTCGGTCTTATGCATGTACCGAAGAATTTACCTAATTGAGAAGGGTGTTTTATGTTCTTCCCCTTAATAGATGGCTTTTTTGGTTGATAAAGTGGAGTAGATATCTGGCAACAAACGGGTTTTCGAATTTGTCTCGATTGTGGCACTCGGGTGGCTAAGGTTCCATGGTGACAATGATAGTCATTCAATCAGGGCCACGCGTTCAAATCCCACGAATTGCATGCAAATTGTTGGTCATAGTCACTTGTACAAGCCAAATGTGTGGTTAGTGTTCCATGGGTTTCCAAGTAACCGGGTCTCCATGCTCGTGCTTCTGCGTAATGAAAAAAGAAAGTTGATTCAATCAATCAAGCTGATTTTTTTTAAAAAAAAATTGATCTAAGTGCTTTATGTTCTTAAAGTAAGGGGAAGTTGCTGCCATTGGATTGGACCCTTTGTGAATTTAGTGATATGTGCAATTTTGCATGATAATGGATGGAGTTCGTCTCGCACCTTTATTGCATTGAGATTTGTTGGCAAGTTATTCACATGCGAGCAATGACTTACTTCATGCTTAGAAGAAAGGGATAGGTGATGTGCGTCCTCTTCTTTCATAATCTTTGAATTCATCATATTCGAGGTCAATCATATAATGATGAGACAAGAATCATATGAGGCGAGTGAATGGTTGTGCATAAGTGCGCTCTACTCATGATTAAGTGTCCATCTCAATTCACCGATAAATCTATTTGAACTGTCGACAAATTCCTAGAAATTTTAAGCACGATAAGGATTGCAATTCTTTCTACTTCTCGAGGTATAATGACAGACCAAGAGGCTTGACTCGAAGGAATGGGTGGAGAAATTTAGTTTCATATATGGTAAATACATTTATTGTCTCACTCGCCGACTCCAATTGATCAAGATTGCGGTACCAAAAGTTGCTCAAGCAGCTAAATTAGCAAAAAGATGCGTTGGGATATGCTGTGGGGTTCTTATTTTATGTGAACAACTAATCATTGTTTGATGTAACTTGTTCATGCTTTAACATCATTAATGATGAAACCTCTACTAGGCAAACGAGTCTAACCATAAGTTTATAGAAACCTAATGGACGAGCGTGATATAATAAATGCACGGTCAGACTATCTTTGGTGGACTGTGATCCATCACAAGAACATGTTTTCGGATGTTACTAAATTAATATGTGAGCACGACTCAATGCACGATCAAAACTATTGATATGAACATAATTATAAGATGGGCATAATTTATGTTCTCGCGGGGAGGTCGCGGCACCATGTATTTCATAGCATGAAAACAATTACACAAGTATAGAGATAATATAATTTATGAATAAGATAAGATGAGATTAAAAATGTCAATTTGTACCAATTGTACTAGGCATTGGATAATCTTGTAGGAAGTAAGCGTTTGCTCATTGTAAAATTAAAACACTAGCTTTTCGATGGCGTGCACGAAGAAAAGATAAAAACAGAAAGAAGCACATATTTCTTATTCAAAACATGTAACATGCACACTTGATGAAGCATAAACACTAGATCGATTAGTTTAACATCATACACCGGACCGGGAAAATAATAAGTCTGGTTTCAGTTCGCTGGACACTCAGATTGAACCGCCGAGTCGATAAAGTCAGAAACTCTACTAATAAAAGCACGATTATTTCATTATTGCACCTAAAGTGTCATTTGGATGAGGAAAATAATGAAATGTGATAAACGCCATGATTTGAGCAGAACTTACTCCTCGAATCATGGTCATTACAGATAGTTAATATAGTAATAAAACTTTTATAAGTTCAATAGATGTAATCTTACCATGCTTTTGTTGAGGCTTTCATGGAAAATTCAGAAGTGAGAGAAACTCATATTTGACCCTTGTATATACCAACATGAGCGCACCACTTTGGTGGATGCTCTTTTATCTGCAAGAGATTGAAGATAAACAAAGAATTGAGTTAATGAAGTACGCTGATTTCATTGATGCTTTCTCCGATATGAATAGAGAGATATCACCTTAATAATCTTTTTAGAAGTTAAACATAAAGATAACGATTTGATCTAACTGGAAATTGAATAAAAACAAATCAAGAAAAAATCTCCTAATGATTAGCTTGTGGATGCTCTGCTTCATGTGTTTTCTCCATGCTGATTTTGTAGAATATTCTGCACTATAATCATACTGATTTTTTACTACTTGATTTGTTACTTTCAATACTCCCCTTCAAGCCGGTTAATGGGGAGGACCAGAGACCAAGTTTGATTCACATATTGACAAAACTAACTCGAGTCAATGGTTTAGTGAAAATATCAACAGCTTGTGAGGAAGACGGAACTCATTGAGTCACTATAGATTGAGAACAATCTTTTACAAAATGACGATTGATCTCAATATGATTTGTTAGAGCATGAAAAACTAAATTAGTTGTGAGACTTAACGCTAACATGTTGTCCAAGAAAAGTTACAAAGGCCGCGGTTGGTAGATCTCAACATCATGCAATATGTATGAATCCAAATGAGTATTGTGGTTGTCGAAGCAAGAGCCCATATTTCACTTCAATTGTGCGGCAGGCCACAATGAGTTGTTTCTTGGCACACAATGAAATACACTTTGAGCCGAGAAAAGTACAAAAACCAGAAGTAGAACGTTAGGGTGAGTTTGCACCTAGCGTAGTATGTATCGACAAAGCCAATTAAATAAAGAGAACCACAAGACAAAATACGGAGGCCATGGTGCAAAGTTCTGCAAACATATCGAAGAATATGTTTGACCATCTGATAGTAAGCAACAGGTATGGCATGCATATGTTGGCCAACGATGTTTACCATAAGGAGAGATTCGGACGAGTGAGGGTAAAGTATTGAAGAGAGCCTACAATGCTTCGAAAATGAGATGAATAAGCATACAGCTTATCACTGTGTTTTAGTGTTGGGCAACTTAGTAGTTATGGCAGTAGCAATTGGCTTGCATTGCGTCATGGATGCTCAACTCAAATGTTCCAAGGCATATATTCATTACGAGAGAAAGAGTCCATTGGTGGAGCGATTGACTTCGTTGCTCAATACATAATGAAGAGTATTGAGGTCTTTCATGGAAAACATTTGATTAAGTGCATGCTAGGGGTGATCGGTTCCCGGTTCGGTCCGGTTCCAAGGTGGAACCGGGAACCGGACCGAGAGAACCGGTTCCCAATTTTGGGAACCGCGGACCGGACCGGACCGCCGGTCCGATCCAATGGAACCGGTCACTTAGAGTTTAGTTTTTTTTTTGGGTTAAACACTTAAGGTTTGGTTCACATTTTACTAATTTTTGTCAATGAATCTATGTCAATGAAGTTCACTTAGGGTTTAATTCACATTTTACTAATTTTTATCAATGAATTTATGATAATGAAGTTCACTTAGAGTTTAGTTCACATTTTATTAATTTTTTTAAAGAAAAAAATAACAAAAATATATATTAAATAGTCGGTCCGGTCCAGTCCGGTTCCCCCTTGGAACCGGGAACCGGACTGCCCGAAAACCAGTTCCGCTTTTAGGAACCGAGAACCGGACCGATAGTCTCGAGAACCGGACCAAACCCGTCGGTCCGGTCCAGTCCGGTCCGATCCCGGTTTGGGCGGTCCAAGTTGCTCACCCCTAGTGCATGCACAAGATGGTTCAATAATTGTTAGGTGGGACTATAGCATCTATGTAGAGCAAAATATAACCATGATGATGATAGACAAATAGTGATGGATCAACAGTGTTGTAAAAGAATTCATACTCAAAAAGAAAGTTGTTGAATTTGTTGAACCATACTCTAGGAGGTTGTTTGAGCCCATATGGCAAGCCGTAGTAAGCAGACATGATTAGAATGAGATGAACCACAGAAGCTATGTGGTCGTTCCATATAGATAGGAATATTGAGACTATTGCGTAGGAAGGCATTCTAAAAATCTATTTGGCGAATTTCCCAACTCTAAACAATGGCAATGGATAGAACAGTGCAAATGGTGGCTTGTTTTGACTATTGGACTAAAATTTTCTAGGAAATCATCGCCCTCCTCTTAATGGAAGCCTTTTGCAACAAGTCGGGCTCTAAGTTGATCAAGTGAACCATCTGCATCTAGCTTTGCTTAGGACAACCATTTACATCCAACCACATTCATTGATGGATGATAGGGAATAAGTTTTCATGTTTTGTTGATTGCAAGAGTATTCAAATCCTCAAGCATAGCGATCATCCAACTGGAGTGTTTTAAGGCTGAATGGATAGTGCATGGCTTAGGAGGGATAGATGATACTGCCAGATTGACATGCCCTGAATTTAGCTTCATGAGGTGTTAGAACCAGTTATCGTGGGATGTATTGAGGATGTGGCAGCTTCATTTTGAGACTAAACTAAGATCCCCTCTCCACTGGTTGTGGAATATGATTAGAGATGGTAGTAAATGAAGCATTTGAGTCCGGTTCTATTTCAGCAGATAGATTTGAACGTTCTCGTGTAGAGTCGAGATTTGTTGGAGAACAATCCTCGGAACAAATTCTGGACTAGATTGGGGCATAGTCCAATGATCCCTACATCTTTTGTTTGTCATGGACTTGAAGTTAAAATTCCATTGCAATAGCTCCCTTTCAATCGTAGCAATAACTTGAGAAGCGGAGGCAAAAGGAAAATAATACCCATTAAAAACATGTCGAGATATATAAACACTGCTAGTGATTGGTGAAGACAATAGCATCCTTTATGTTTTTCACTATAACCCAAAAAAACACACATCAAAGAGTACTTGACAAATTTGTTCATGTGGTTGCATAAATATAAATAACAATGAGAGCCAAATACTCGGAGCAATGATCAATCAAGGTCCTTCTTGAATAAGACCGAGTATGGGCTTTGGTTGCCCATTTAAGTAGAAGGAAGCCGATTTATCAAATAATTCGTTATTGTAAAAGTTTTCACCCAATAATTGAGTGGCATAGAAGCTTCAAATAAAGCAAGCATGAGTTTGATAATGTGTCAATGTTTCCTCTCAATAACACCATTTTGGTCTAGTGTACCTAGACAAGAGAGTTGCCGTTGTATGCCACATTCATGAAGATATGTGAGAAAATTATTGCTTGTGAATTCACCCCTTCATGAGATTAAAAAGTTCAAATTTTACTATCAAGTCGATTTTCTAACAATTTCTAAAAAGATAGGAAAATCCCAAAAAACTAGAACTTTAGCTGCAGTGCATACAACCAACAATAATGAGAGAAATCATCAATAATACAGCATAACATCAAAATTTTTGTATGGAAGGAATTGGGCTCGGTCTCCAAGTATCACCATGTATTTACTCCAATGGATGGGAGCATCGAGAATCAGATAAAGAAAATGACAATCTTGAACTTTTGCTAATTTGACAAGTTGTACATAAAGTGTCAGTTAATTTTTATGCTAAAATCAAATCATCACACCACAAAAGCTGTAAATCATGATTGTTTAGATGGCCAAATTAATGATGTCACATAAGTTCGTCCACAACTTTTTTTCTATGAGAAATGCGGGTCTTTATTAGTATATAGGCCTTGATGATTAGTTCACGTTAACGTCACTTGCTGTCTCCTGGAGTCCTTGATTAAAAAACCAAAGGCATCAAACTCAAAATGGCAAGTATAATCTATTGTCAATTGAGAAAAATGATAAGAGCTCTTTCTTCAATTGTATAAAGTCAAAAGTGACCAGTTTCATTACCAAATCAACTAGTCCCAACATGAGTAAACGAGAGTGATGTACCACTATGAATTATCACATTATCGCGGCCGTGGTAAGGAATTGTGTTCACAAGATTACTTGGATTATTAGCCATACGAGCATCCGCTCTAGTGTTTGGATGCCATTTTCATCTCGTGAGTTTGAAATTATTAACATCCGATATGAATTTACCAATGGAAAAATTAATCACAAATAAATTTAAAGTAGCAAAGATAAATAGATAAGGACTTTTTTTCTTCCCCTACGTATTAAAGTTTTCCAAGGAGATCAAGTTCATGAGTCATCGAACTTTGCTTGAAATGATTGCCGAGAGCTTTCCATACTTATGCTATCGTTCGAAGTCCAACAGCATTTCCAAGAACCTCTTCTAAGAGTGTGCCGATGATCCGAGATGAGGCGGTCACTATGCATACTTGATGTAAATTTTTGGACTATGGATTTTGGTTGCATTTTCTGACGTTTGAATCTGCAATGATGCGACAATTTCTCCTGTACTCAAGTAAGACCTGACTTTCAATCAAAGACAACACTTATGTCTCTCAAAGTAAAAAGTCGTTTTTATTGAGCTTCAATGTAACCAAGTTTGCCACATTGGTTTTGAATGAAATGGGAATTTCAGGATTGAAGAAGGAGACCACACGGTTCAACTGAATTTTTTTTAACAAGAAAATATAACCGTGCATTTGTATGGCTCTGATACCATGAAGATAAACAAAGTAATGAGTCAATGAAGCAGACTAATTTCTTTGATATTTTGTACATAATATAGAGATATCACCTCCTATAATCTTAATGAAAGTTAAACCAAAAGATAACACTAGGATCTACATGGAAATTGAATAAAACAAGTCAGGAAAAATCTTTAAATGATCCCTCACGGATGCTCTGCTTGATATGTTACTCTTATTATGATTTGTAGAGAGTTCTGCATTATAATCATGCTGATTTTTTGCTATTTGATTTGTTACTTCAATCTAGATCAGGCCATCCCCAACTACCTCGATTTCTCGTCAAAGTACAAAATTTGGTCAAGAAACGGTCAAACCTTGTGTTATTCAACCGCTCAACCGGGTGATTGATAAAAACCGGACCATGCCGTTTGAATTGGCTGGTCAACTGATGCTGAAGTAATTGTTGGGCACAAACTCTTTGGCATAAACTCTTTATGATGCTGTTTATGCCAAATTGCGGTGCAGATTTTCACCAAATACTTAGTTAGGAACAGTATAGTGCAAAAGAAGAATAAAAAACAATCAAGAGCGGTCCTCTATACCACGCAGATCTAGTAACAACTTATGAATGCATGTCCCTAACGAGTAGATGAGGGAAGAACAGGCATTTGTCTAGATGAAGTTGGGGATAACACAAAACCCGCAAAGAAGCAACAAAGAAACTTTCCAAGCAAGATCCAGTGACCGATAAATAGGGGATCGAGGATAACTAGGACTGACTTTCTTAAGGTGACTGCCAGAATACAGTTATCTCTGGTTTGTTTCTTCACAACACATGGAACCAAACGTCAAAACCTTGAACTTCCTTAGATGTTATCATTTTGATAGAGAGAACCTTCCTCTGTCATGAGAAGAAAAATAATCAATGTTGGGGCCAATAGGGATAACACCCAATGGATCCATTGAAGGATGGCTTCCGTAATAGTTGAGCTTGATGTGATCCATGTTGATGGTGCTACTCATGCCTGGGATTTGAAAGATGTCCTTTGTGTAGTTGAACAAATTCGGATACTCCCGTATAAGTTTTTTGTTACACTTGAAAAGAACTGCATAGACCTGTTGTCATGACAAAAGTTAAAACTTCAGGAAATAGGTGTGATGAATGAGTAAATCAGAATAGCACAAGAGAGATTTCATGTGATAATTTAAATTATCTTTCTCATGATGTGGGCTTTGCTCCAACTTTTCAATACTATGCAGCATCAGGAACAAAGAAGCAGTATGTCCATACTAGTGTAATGTGAGGGAGTGAGCAGATGCACATTAGAGTTCCTTTCAGCACAATAGATGTATGTCATAAACATTTCTCTGAATATAAACCACATGCAAGAGACCTTGACTAGTGCATGCCTGCTAGACCCACTTAAATCTATATCTGTGTGATTAAAATTTTCCTCTGATTGAATTATTTAACAATAGGTATGCTCCTAACACGGACATGTTCAGAATACAGGTATCACACGATCATGTAAAAGCAGACACATGAAGACTCATATATGCAGCTCAAGCCAAACAGTATAGACAATCTTACCCTCGAATATGGTGCAGAACTGGTATTTATGATTCTGTATAGAGTCAACAACTCCAACTAATAAAGCAGAGTCAAGACAGTATTTTCCTAAACATTCCATCTGGAGGGTTTCGGTAGGTATTATGAAACTATTGGTAGAGCATTGTGACCATTGGCAATGATCAAAGATGTAAAATCTCTAGGAAGTATAGATATTCATAGATTTTTGAGATTTCCATCACACTGCAGATGGAAAAACAAGTACTGGGACTGCACTACTGCAGCGAAAAGATCATAGGTGGGTGGTCTGTTCATTTCTACAGATTATCATTATCCAATAACCCATTACCTTATCACCCACTTCTTTTATTATACCTCTTCTGGAATGGAAAGCACCTCTTGTACCATCAAAGATAAATACATAGATGGTTAAATTTCTGGTAATAGTGGACAATTCATTTGTATATAGCAATGTTCATTAGAATGTCGTTGAACATATAGAACGGTCATTTTAGCATTGACCTTGTAAATGGCTTTTCATGCTCTTGCTGCTCCATGGCATTACCTTACCGAAAGAGCTCACTTGCAAATGAGGTCCGGTCAGAATGACCAATTAAAACGAGAGTTCTTGGGTTTCTTTTCTTTCCTTTCTTCTTTTTTGTATGAAAGATCTGTCTGAACCCTTCATCAATTTGTTTGGACTGCCCCATCCTTGGAGACTACACGATTTACTCTTCATAACTAGTACAAAGTTGTTTACCGTTAATCCTAAGACAAATTTAGACATAAAATGCGCAAATCTTTAAAACTCTGTTTCGTCCTAATCCTCAAACTGAAAAGTCCATACATCTATACCAAAGTCTATTCCTTCCTTCCATGGAAGTCCTCAGGATGGCCACCAACATAACAGCAGAACTACAGAAAAAGGGATTTTAATAGCTGGCACCAATGAAAAGAGGAAGATGAATTAGTGACTTATCGATTGTTAAATATTTCCAGAAGTGATCGATTTATGATTTCGATGCTGCAAAATAATGAAAAGAGTAAAACACATAAGATGTAATTTCAGGTCAGTTGTTGAAACATTGTCAGTGGCAAAAGCAGTGTTAACCAATATATATAATGGGGAAATCATTGCAATTCACCCTGGAAGTTTGACTCCGGGCTTTCCGGGTTGATTCCTGATTCCCATACATGCAGAACCATTTTGCATAAGATAGGTTAAACTAGAAAGTTCTTACCTAGCTCTAATAGTATATAAAACCCAGAGTCTCATTTTTCTATGAAGACAGATGTTTCCAATCGACTATCTTGACAATGATTAAAAAATGATAGATGATAAATGTCATCCTTTTGTTTTTTAGGTTTAAGCTGGCATCTCCTTATTTCCATGTCTTCTCCTCACTTTAGAACAAACAGCTTTTAGCAAAATTGATAGCATTATTGCATTTAAAGTTGACAAGTGGGGCCAACATTTGTGATTCAAGCATTTATCCATGGCAAAGATGCCTAGATAACTCAAAGTTCTCACCCTTTAAAAGAAAAATCAAAGCACTACCAGATTTTGTAAAAGACCACAAACAAGTTAAAGGTTCTACTCTGGAACTAAGAGCCTAAGTCCTGGCCCAACTCTGTTTCCGACAACTAGGTTGCATGTCAAAAACCTTGCAAACTTACGGTTAGTTCAAGCCTTTTATTAGAAACTACCCATGCAAACTAAGTTCATCCCCAAGCTTGCAGGGACATCTATGCATAATAATGGGAAGAAAGGAAATGGTTGATGTGTCTCACTGTGATTCTGGCTTGTCCAGTAGAAGTTAAGACAGAACAGCCTCCTAGGAATTGCTTTCTAGACAGCAATTAATATGTTTGAGGTCCTCGAAATTCTGATGTAGAAAAGAGTAATCCTTGTTATGCACAATTAGCCATTTATGGATTTTTTCAATGATATTTTATCTTTTTCAGGAAAAAGAAAAAGAAAACCAATGCCCTTATCTTTATCAGGAAGAGAAAAGGACAAAGAAAGACAATTGAATCTAAATGATTAGTAATGCAAGTAGCTGCACCTTTTCGTGGTGAACTCTATTCATAGCTTCTCTACTTTAGGCAGAAGTCTATATGAAGACTTCTAATGTCTGTTCATCAGGTTTCTCTCCAACATCTTCTCCGCCAATAATACATTTTCAGTGTTAGGTCAGAGATTACGATACAACTACATCTTTAAAAAAGCCTTAAATCACCATAAAAACCATTATTCCATGGCAGGCTACCTAGGGGTAATCCCCCAATTTTTTAAACCCCATAGAAATGCAGCTGGTGGCCAACCTATTTTCCCTAGTCAGATAGATTGATATACTAATTCCTAATAGTTGATCTTCCCCCCACTCTCTAATTATACATACATACAAACATATATATATATATATATATATATGGAGAGAGAGAGAAAGAGAAGAAAGGAAGATGGATAGACTATTAGTCGTAGGATCGATTCCATTCCTTCCTCATTCCAGTCCAGTTTACAGCTACAAGAAAGGAAAAGGCGCTTGTCTCTGTGGTATGGAAGACCAACACAAGCATACTTCAACAGCAAAAAGAAATAAAATTGAGCCCCCCTTGTAGATGATAGAATTATCATAGAGAGAATGCTCATAGCTCTCACAGACATCACAAATTGGGTACCTCAAGAGACACGGCTGAACCACCTAAACTTTGCCAGTGACTTTTGCATATGCATTTACTTCTATACAATACTACTTCATTGACTGTAAGCCACATAGTCCAAACCCTTATGTCAACTTGACCAACAGAAAAGGAAACAAATTTTTTAGGTAAGGAAACTGTTCTGTTCAAAATAGAAAAGGTTTCCTCCGAGTGTCAAACAAGACCAGTGATTTCCGCAAATGTACTTACTTGTCACTATAAAACCACATAGTCCAAAGCCTTATGTCAACTTGACATAGAAAGGTTTCCTCTGAGTGTCTAGCACGACCAAATCTTAGACACAAGTCAATTTTTACTTTAATTTCCATCTTGTATTTCAATAATATCTTCAAGAGTAAGCGATTTTCTTAGTCAATAGAAAATCTAAATGTTTACCAATCCAAACCAATTGAATTATAGGTGCACCCTAAAAGTTCTGATATTTATGGTTTAATGCTGAAAGTACAGTATTGTATGAATTAGTAAACCAAAAGAAAGAGTGCATTGGAGAATCAATCATACCTCATCAAATCTTATAAGTGTGACGAACAACCGGATATCCGTCTCGGTTAGTATATTGCCACAAATATAGTGCTGCTTGCTAAGTATTTGTTCGCATTTGTCCAGAGCTTTGTATAACTTCTCCACAGCCTGCAAGAATGGAATGGAATCAACTAGAACGTTTTTTTTCTTGTTTTATTAATAGAAAAAAGTAAACCTTCGCAAGAGCGCACCAAGGAGGTGTAGCCTTATAAAGAATTTGGTTTAAGGTGGGCTCTTAAAAAATATCCTATTTTTATTGGTTAGAAAACGAAATTACAAGGAAAGATCCAGAAAGTCGAAGAAAGGGAGTGTATCAAGTTGAGAGACGGTAAAGACCCAAGGAATCCAATTTTGGTGAGTTTGAATCAATTTGCCATTAGCACGAATTACTTGTGGAAGTCTACCATTCTCGTAAAGAAAGCAGAAAAATTACTTTCACGCTGGCGGATTCTCGGATGATATTTCTTTTGAAATGATTAGGATGCTTGGTTTTTCCTTTAAACTTTTGGTTTAGTGGTCGTGCTACCCATGACCTTTTCAATGCTCAAGAGGTGTTAAAATCCCTCTCTTGCATGAGATGGTTTATAAGTTACCACCCTTGGCGCTCTATCAATTATTTTTTTTATCATGTAAAAGAATCTGATCATCCAAGCCATCTCCTAGAGAGAGAAGTTCATCTTCAGCAAGGTTGACTTTAAACCCCAAATACGCCTCTAAGCAAGAAAAACTGATCTATACAATAAACTGATCTTTTGTTGTCAGCAAAAGTACATAATCATTGTAACGTGGAATAGTTAGATACATTAACCCATTCAGAAATCAATCTTTGCAGCCAATCTGGAGAGGCACGGCATTTTGCTTAATACGTCCATCACTATAGTGAAAGTAAGGGCTAAAGGGGGTCGCTTTGTTTGGATCCCAGAAAAATTGAACAAACCATCTGTGACTCCATCTATCAATTAGGGCAGGGAGATTGAAACCATTATCTGATGCAACGTTTAATACCAAAACCTTATTTTCCAGTTAAATGAAGGAAGAACTCCTAGAAAACCCAGTCAATTAAAGCATCTTCCTCATACCTATTCTTACTCTATGGGTACCAACCCAGCTAATAATTGAGGAGACAGTAAAACATCTAAAGAAATACTGTTATGTGGGCTGCCCCCAAAAATTTCAAAGAATGAAGCCACCCACTCTATAGAAGAAATAGGGTAGTATCAACAGTCCAGAGAATTTTTCCCTACAAATGATCCAAAACAAAGGATGCACGCAAGAATCTACATTAATCAGATTATCTTTTTTATAACATTTTTCAATTAGCCGTCAGAGAATTACCTTCAGCAAGTTATTTTTCACCTCATTCATTTCCACATTATCACTCTGTCATAGAACATATTTGACATTCCTATCTCTGATATCAGATGTCATTTGCTAGTCTATATGTTGTCTACGTCAAACAACAGTGATGTTCTACCACTGTAATGAGAATTATTCAAAAGCATACAAGTGGCAATTTTTGCATATAACATTAGTGACAATTCACAGTAGTGAAGATATTACCTCTTCGTAAGGCTCCTGCTGTTTGGCAAACCCACATTTATAAACTCCATTGTTTATACAGTCGTATATCCATCCATTAGCTTCGTCTATCTGGGCTTGCAAGTGAGGAGGATAAAGGTTGAGATCAGCATTCTCTGCTAAACCATTGAACTCAGAATTAAGCATGCGAATGATCTCTGAGCTCTCATTGTTGACGATTGTCTTCAGATTCTTATCCCACAGAACCTATCATAATGCGCAATACATATGTTGTGAGCACTGGCAACTTGCAAACTTAAGACTCACGGAGCAGTAATGGAAATAGAGTAACCACTTCACAGAAATGCCACTTACAGGAACTGAATATTTTCCAGAGTAGACCGTACTTGCAATCTCATAAAGTTCTCTCACACTTCCAGCTCCATTTATAGGGTCAGGCTCTGCTCCAGGTTCTTCAGTTTTGGAAGCTGGGAAGACCCATCCAATATGTGTGTCACCATCTTTTGTTCTCTCCCACTTCGATTTGACTACCTGCATGAAACAAATAACTTAAAGCTGATCAAATACCATTAGCATGAGCTAACTAAAAACACTATGCCCATTACCGTATGGCCAATGATCTTGTCAAGCCCTTTAATCTTCAAGTATGCAAGGCACCTGCATGCCCAGGGACAAGCAAATGACACATAAAGATGGTATCTTCCGGATTCGGCAGGGAAAGGAGAACTTGGATCCTGAGAAATAAAATTATGGAATGCGGAAGGCGTTCTAACAAAAGCACCGGATTCAGAGACCTCGTCGATTGAGGAACGAGCCATTCTTATTGTGAGCTGAGGAAGAAATCATGAGGAGAACATTAATCACTTCCATCATTTAACAATAAAGTCAAGGCATTATCATGCAATGCCATCTTGATCAGATTCAAAGAGCAGATCAAGCGTGTACCAAAGGAAAAGATCAGTCAAAACTTTTTTTAGCAAAGGAACTAACAGGAAGTGATGGAAGCATCGCATTGTTTAAGCTGAACCTTATTGAGCTAGAGGCAAAGAAATACTTTAGAGGACAAAATCGAAGACACAACATGACTTGGATGACACCTACAGGTCCTACCCTACTGAAGAAAATCTAACAAAGGCCCCATGATTCATGCAGTAAAAAAATTTACTTTACGGAGAAGTAGCAGGGTTGGTAATAAGGTTCTTGGTGAGAACAAAACCGACCTAGGAAACTTAGATGAAAGTGACCAATAGGTCCAAATCAGCATCATCATATCCTAAACATACCTATGAGGATTTATCTACTAAGGGTCGCATGGAGAGCATTGCCATCCACAACCAAAATACAACAAAAGGAAAACAAGAATTTGTCTGATAGAAGTACTGAACAATGCCACACTGCAATACGGTGATTTAATCTGGAACAGGATTCAAGAATTACTAAAGAAAGCCAGTTTAGCAAGGAGGATCCATCCCATCAACGGAATCACAGTCCCTAACACGGGATTCACAAATTGTATTGATTCTGGAGTCATTCGAACTTTTCTTATACATGGAACTGGCGTACATCTAACATGTCAAATTGTCAAAGAATCATCATGTCTGGATGGAGGGTTCCAAGTTAGAAACCTGAACCCAAGACTATCAGCCCACTTTGCAATGTTCTTTCGTGTTTCAAATGTGAAAGGGAAAAGAAGCAGAAACTCTCGGTAACCAAACCTTCATTTCGAAAGATGATAATTACCAATCATAGGAAAAAACGACCACTGCCCATCAACCGCTACACACTATCAGCAAAACGGATTAACTTTCCAGAATCAACAACGCACGGAAGAGGCACATGAACTTCTATATCAGTTCGAAGACGACAAATACTCATGATCAACCAAGAACTGAAACGAGGGTCACAGGCTTCAAGTGAGAACAGTACTGGAAATGCAAACAACTTGCAGAGAGAGAGGGTAGAGAGAGAGAGAGATGAGACCTTACTAGGAGATGGGGAGAGTGCGAAACATCTCTGCTTGTGCCCGTGAGCTGGGGAGGACAAGCATGGCCTGGGAAGGCCCGACAGGGACATGGTTCTGTCGTCTTCCTCTGTTTTTGCGCTTTTCGAGCATTAGACTCGCAGTACTTGGGCGAATTTCCAATTTTAGGCCCCAATAATTTTCTTCGTTCAAGTTTGGGAATAGGAGGCCACCGGAGTCGGAATTTCTGAACAATTATTACAAAATGTTCAAATCGATCTTTTGCTATGCTTAAAAAAAAATAGTAATTGGGCTCTTAAACTATATAATTTCGTTTTTCAAATTGATCCTTCCATCAAAATTATGGATGGAAAGTCACTGATCAAGACCGACGCGATATTTTCCCACCAAAAAGAAAAATACTGACGCGATATTCTCACTTGACGTTTAGAAAGAAAATAGAGAATTCAAATATAGGGAAATGTCAATATATATGTATTAAAATTTAAGCAATTCGAAAAAGAAAAAATATAGAGAGAAGGCTGGGGTCGGGAATTGGGGAGGGACACGATGCTCCCCATGGGGGTTGTGCTACCTCAAGGGCTACTGGCTAGGGATCACGGGACCCGAACGACGACCGGTAAGGGCTCGATGGCCCTCACTTGGTGTGTGGCAGGCCTCCGTCTCTCTCTCTCTCTCTCTCTCTCTCTCTCTCTCTCTCTCTCTCTCTCTCTCTCTCTCTCTCTCTCTCTCTCTCTCTCTCTCTCTCCCCGTTTGGTCTTTCTTAAGTTTAAAATATTTTCTCTAGCTAGCACAAGGAGCATACATGTAACACTAATTTGTCCTATCCACTCTAATGTGGCGTTGATTTTTGAGTCTGTGTGAGCATTTTCATTATCTTTTTAACGGAAGGACCAATCCGAACAAAAAAAAATGTATAATTTAAGGACCCAAATGAGAAATAAAATTTTTTGAAGAACTAGGTTGAGCATTTTGCAATAATTTCGGGGATTTTGAATCCATGATCTGTACTCCGATTGTCAAAATGTAAGTTACAAATATAATGACAGTTACTTTAGAGAATATAAAAAGTCTCTAAATCATGTATATATTACTCATATAGTCTCTATATCACATGTGAATTGTTTATAATGGACATCTATTAAGAATGAAGATAGAACTTTGTTTCAGTGAGTACGATTTTGAAAACACACACACACACACATATATATATTATATGTATGTATATATGCTAATTATTTAAAAGAGAAATATGATCGCTATTTGTTCATTGAAAATCAATAAATTTTATATTACACGATTCTGAAGATCAGGCTGGAGTCTCGACATTAGGTTAGACAATCTCATTAGGAAAATATTTTCCTCACTAAAAGTTTTACCTTGCTTTCACTCCAAAATCAGCCAAACTTGATTTAGTGCTCTTTGAATGATTAAAGATTTCTTGATTTATCTGAATTTCATTCAAATTTGCCTAAGATGAAGAAATAACTTCTTTCATTTTCTCCCTTTCTCCACATATTTTACTATTACATTAGTCCAACCTTAATAATTAGATTTCTTTTTACTCATGCTTAGGCTTTTCAATCTCTAATCTTGTGAAATTTGTGATATAAAATCTAGTGGGATCGAAGCCCTTAGTTTATAGGGGTCCACATATGTGATGTTCATTAAAAAACTGTATAATGAAGAAATGCAAAGTTCAATGCCTAAGATGAAGAAATAACTTCGTTGATCTATACGAGAGTCGTCCCATACTAGTAGATAGTTTCTTATTCTGAAAACTTACTTTTCACTTGAAAAAGACCATCTACTACCACTAAGGTAGTTGGCCAAATGATAAAGGAGGCGCTGTTGTCCATTAGATCACAAGTTTCATTCATATCAAGAGCAAATCTCTAAAAGGCTCGTGTTTTATTGTCTAATTGCTCCATATCTTGTGTGGAGAGACTTTTTGATTAAGACGATGGGCTCGCCGGTCTCGAACATCCAAGTTGCTAATCATGTGTAGTCAAGACTCAAATTGCCTTTAATCTCATGCGATGTAGTTAGTAAATATACTCAAACACGTTAATATACTCTGTACATTGGAGGTCGTTAGAAGCTGGTTGCCTCTCCCTCACCTTTTTCACTCATAATAGAAAAGGCTATCACTTATAAAAAAATCCAATATAAAACTTCAATGGCCAATTAAAATCACCTATTATTTCAAAATTTCGTGTTCAATTCTTTTTTCTAAAAAAAAACCTGACCCAATAATAACTTGGATCTCTGACATCAACAAGCGTAAGCGAAGAATACAAAATAGCCACAACCTCAAATACGGCAGAATGGAATTGGTGATGGTGAAAGACTCAAATTTAAATAGGATTTGATTGCCAGATAATAAGCAGAGTTATTTAGTTTGTGGTTAGTAAAATCAAACACGTATTCATTCATATTGTATTCACTTGTTGATATATATATATATATATATATATATATATATATATATATATTATATTAATAAAAGATTCTCCTTCATTTTGTTAGTAAGCATGACAGATTTATTTTTCAGTAACCAAAATCACATTACAAAGCCGGAGAGATCGCACTTATTGAGGGCTTAATGCATGTATAATCCCAAACATTCAAAAGAAAAACACGAACATTACATAAACAAAAGATCGTCTCGAATCGAAACTTTCAAATTCTTGAAGCTTGATGGATCAGGCCACTTTTGTAGTTTAAAACAGTTCTTGATCTTAAGCATCTCCAACGATTCTGAACAATATGGAATATCAAATAGCATATAGTACAATAGCTTAGATGAATTTTCTTAAGCTTCTTCAAGTTTGTCAGATTAGGCAATTTTGCCAATGATGGAAGTTTCACGAGCTTTAATGTTCTCGGGTTCTCCAAACCCTCAAGGCCTTCAATCTCTGTTAGCTTGTCACAAAAATGCATGTCCAAATGTGATAACGCTTTCAAATTGGAAATGGCATTCGTTGCTTTTATGTATTTGCAATGGTCGATGTGTAAGTATAACAAATTTGTCGGAAGCCTTGGTAGGAATTGCAAATCAGGGCACCTGAGATGGAGTTCCTTCAGCTGAGAAAGTAGAACAAGATCGGAAGATAAGGTGCCGATCTCAGCACAAAACAAGTCCAAGACCTCAAGCCTACGTAATCTTCCAATCCCCCAAGAACTTCGAACTGCTTCAAGTTTTAAAGGAAGCTTGAAACATAAATACAATTCCAAAATTCTCAAATTTAATAGGTTAAAGAGGTCCGGCATTGTCTCCATTGATGATGATTCATAGGATGGAGTGACAGGCATTCTGGAAGATGAGGCACTGCTGAAATTGCACAAGGATATGACAACAATATTCTAAAAAATGGTGGCTTCCCAATCTTACGGCAAATTTTTCCTCTCAACCATCCCCCTACCTCTAGCTGTTCGATCTTCTCCAACATTCCAATGGTGCTAGGTAGTTTTCTTACGGAGCTTTCGCACATCTTTAGCACCTTCAAATGCTTCATGTATCCAATTGAATCTTGTAACTCCCTAATACCAGAGCTCGATAGATCTAACTCAATCAATGAGTTGAACTTTTCGATCAACTTAGGCAGTTGAGTCAACTGGTTATCCACAAGTGAAAGCTCTGCTGGTGATACTGCAGTACCGAGGAAACCGAATTTTTCCAATGATTTACATTTAACCAAGCTGAGAATTTCCAGTTTCTTCGTCTTTCTCCCTTCGCGGATCTCTTCTATAGATGTAGAGTCCAAACGAAGTTCCCTCAAAGATTCCAGTTCCCCCATCTCATCTGGTAGCTTGCGGAGACGATAACAATCCTTCAAGTTTAAGAAGACTAACCTCTTAAGGTGACTAATGGATGGATCAATTTGAACCAAACTCCTACATCTTTCGAGAATCAGCCGCCCTAGATTCACAAGAAAAGATAAGTCTAGAGTTTTACGTAAATTTTTGTATCCAGTCAAATTTAGGACCTTCAAATTCTTAGCCAACTGAAAAGAAAACATATTGCTCTTCAAGTTAAAATAAGATAACCTACAACAAAAGAAAACACATTGATTTTATTTGAAAAATCGGACCTTGATGTGACTCCATCCATCCCGTTCTTCTGTGATTTCACTCCTAGAGAAATCAAGGATTACTAGCTTCCTCGGGAGAAATTGGTCAGCTCAAAATCCATAGGAAAGGAACTTCATGAAAGCCATCTCAACTCTGGAAGGATAAGCGGGCCAAATGCGCTTTGAAGAAAATTTGACTTCTGGTAATATTGGAAACGACCCACTTAAGTAAGGATAGACACCGAGTCTCCGTTGAAGTCTTTGCTATCCACTTGACAAATTCTGAACTTTTTGTCCACCTGAAGGAACCTTAGATTTGAAAGACTTGCCAAGAATTCTTTTATCAAGGAGTATCGAGATAGTTCATCAAACTCAAGACATATTGCTTCAATGCTTCCAGTTCCATGAACACCACCTCCTATCTGCCAAAATAAAAACAGAAAACGGAAATAGAAAAAAAACTATTACTTACTGCGTTGATATCCTTCAAGTAGAAAACAATTAAATCTTCTTCTAACATCGAAAACGATTGATAAACCACTTCGATAAGTGCATTGGCATAATAAATAACTTAATAGAAACGGAAACCAAAATGAATATGCTGGTGACCAATCTTATTTTAAAGGAATGAAGCTGTGGATTTACCTGCGTTTTCTCCGGAACATCCAATGCTTGCGCATGAGTCCACACCCATTGTTGCTTCTCTGGTTTAATGCCACTTGTATAATATTTCTTCCAATATCTCTTAACCAATCATGCATCCAAAGTTGGTTATCTTTTCTAATCTTTAACAGAGATCTTTGCTGGAGGATTCCAAGAGATTGATGAGGAAGAAATTTACAGCTTTCCCACATGTGAATCACAATTCTTTTATCATACCCAATGAAAAAACAAGCAACACCGAGAAATAATTTTCTTTGGTTTTCATTTAATACCTTGATGCTGATCATCAACTTCTTTCCAACATCCTCTTAAGGAGATTCTTCGAGCTCCTTTAATGTGGCTTCCCTCTCCTCTATGCTTTTTTTCCGGATAAAAGAGAACCTATAACCTCAAGAGTTAGAGGAAGACCACAACAAGTATTTATTTATTTATTTTTGGTAAGGTCACAACAAGTATTTACGCCTCTTTTAGAGTGCGAGATGTATTGCTTTGAGGGATAATCTCTTCTAAATGCATGTTTGCTAAAAAGCTTAAGAGAATAATCAAAATCCATGCCAGTAAGTTCATAAGTCCCATCAACAAGTGTAGGCACTTTGAGAATTCCCCGATCTCTAGTTGTAATGATAATCTTGCTTCCCTTGCCAAACGACTTATGCTTATGCATGAGTGCATCAAGTTGACTTACATCACCAGCATCATCAAATAGAAGAACAATCCTATTCCCAGTCAACAATGTTCGCAAGTATAATAATCCTATTCCCATATTCTTCAGTGATTAACAGACGATTAACCCAGATATTGAATCATCAATAAGGCACGAACCAGGCAGTGATCATCAGGAGGCCAAAGCCACAAAAACTGAAAATGCAAAGCTAATTCACTAATCACAACAGAGAGAGAGAGAGAGAGAGAGAGAGAGAGAGAGAGAGAGAGAGAGAGAGAGAGAGAGAGACCTTGAAGGACATGATCTTTGGGAGCTGATAGTTCTAAAAGAAGAAAGGGATATGTTCGCTAGAATTCCTAAAACTTGTTATCAAAGTGTAATTGAGTCCTAAAACTTACAAAAGGTACAACTGAATCCTAAAACTTGTCAAATTGATTCAATAAAGTCCTAAAGTTAACACCGTCCAATTTGACTAACGGAAAATGTTGACTTGTCTTTTTTATTATTTTTTCTATCCCACGTGGCGATGACGTAGATTTTTTAAATTATTTTTATTTAAATTAAAATTTAAAAAATAAGCTAAAATTCGAAAAAAAAAAAAGAGGAGGAGGAGGACAGGCGGGGAGGGAGGGCTTGCCGTCGCCGCTACCTCCCCACCATTGCCAGCAGGCGGGGGTTGCCGGGACCTGACCAGGGGCTGGCGACCCTCACCAACAGTAGGCGAGGGCCTGTGAGCCCTCCCCTAGATCGGGCGAGGGTCACTGACCCTCACCTAGACTTGGCTAAGGGTCGCTGGTGGTGGCTGACCCCCACCGGTGGCGACCCTCCCCCAGATTGGGCGAGCGTCGGCCACTACTGGCAACCCTCGGCTAGGTCTAGGTGAAGGTCGGCGACCCTTGCCCGATCTGGGGGAGGGCCGCGACCCCTTGCCTGCCATCAGCAATGGTCATCGGCCCTTGGCCAGGGCCCGGTGACTCTCGCCTACCGTTACCCCACCCTCGCCGGTCGCTCCCGGCGATGGTGGGGCGGCGGCGGGGAGGGCAAGCCCCCCCTTCCCGCTTGTCCTCCTCCTCTTCCTTTTTTTTAGCTTATTTTTAAATTTAATTTAAATAAAAGTATATTAAAAATCAAATTCGGGCCAAAACGACGTCATTTTAGTCACGTCATCGCCACGTAGGAGAGAGAAAATATCAAAATAAGTCACGTCAGCATTTTCCGTTAGTAAGTTTGACGGTATTAACTTTAGGACTCATTTGAACCAATATGACAAGTTTTTAGACTTGATTGCACTTTTTGCAAGTTTTATGACTCAATTGCGCTTTGGTGATAAGTTTTAGGACTTCTAGTGAATATATCCCGAAAAGAAATTATCATTAAAGCATATGAGAGTGCAAAGAAAATTAAATTGCAAGATAAGAAGCAGAGTTGTAGTATTCCATGGCAAATCACTGTCATTTTGTCTGAAGTAATATCAAACATGTATTTGTTCACATTGTACATTAAACGGAGAAAGTGGCAAAAAAATAAAAAGACCGACTCCTTTCTTATGTCAAGATAAAGAAGGAATTTCTTACATTCTTGTGCTGACATAGAAGAGTTTTTCTGTCTCATTCGACAAAGATTACTAATTCTAACTGGCAAAGAAGAAAATAAAGTCACGTCACAATACCTTGTAATCTTGTAAAACCACGGTTTTATCGATAATGATTTATGTCAATTGAAGATTCTCATTCATTTTGCTAGTAAGCATGACAGATTTACTTTTCAGATCCAAAATCAGATTACAAATAAGAGACGGTACCTATTAAAGGCCTTTATACATATATAACTCTAAATATTCAAAAGAAAAATGTCAACAATACCAAAAAAATGCTTGTATGTAAATTGTAATCAAATCTAATCCATTTCATGGATTGCAAACTTTCAAATTCGTGAAGCTTGATGGATCAGGCAACATTTGCAGTTTTGAACAGTTCACAATGTGAAGTATCTCCAACGAATCTGGACTACCTCGAATCTCAAACAACTTAGTACAATCCTTTAGATGCATTTTCTTGAGTTTCTTCAAGTTAGTCAAATCTGGCAACTTTGCCAATGATGGAAGCCTTGCAAGCTCTAACGTTCTCAGGTTCTCCAAATCTTCAAGGCCTTGAATCTCTGTTAGCCTGTCACAATCAATAATGTACAATTCTGATAACGCTTTCAAATTCGAAAGATCATTTGTTGTTTTTATTCTCCTGCAAAGCTTGATATGTAAGTATGACAAACTTGTAGGAAGCCTAGGTAGGCATTGCAAATTACGGCAGTGAAGCTTGAGTTGCTTCAGCTGAGAAAGGAGAATGAGATCGGAAGATAGGGTGGCAATATAAGGAGAATACAAGTCCAAGAACTCGAGCATGCGTAATCTTCCAATCCACCAAGGACTTGGAGCTGCTTCAAGTTCAGAAGGATTTGAGAGATTACCCCGCAATTGCAACCTCAAAGTTTTCAAATATAATAGGTTTGAGAGGTCGGGCAACGTCTCTAATGAGTATGTATAAATACATAGAGTGATCAGACTTTCCGGAAGCGGAGGCACAGCCCAAAATCCCGTGCCTGTCAATACCAAGATTCTTAGAATTGGTAACTTCCCAATGTTATCAGGAATTTCCCCTCCCAAACATGGACCCCCTGCCTCTAGCTTTTCGAGCTTCTTTAACATTCCCATGGTGCTAGGTAGTTTTCTTATTGAGCTGCGGCGCATCTTTAATACTTTCAAATACTTCATATTTCCAATTGAATCAGGCAATTCCTGAATTGTTGAACCCGATAAATCCAACTCAATTAGTGAATTGAAATTTTCGATCGACTTGGGTAGCTGAGTCAAATGGCTATCCACTAATGAAAGCTTCACTATTGATGTTGCGCAACCAACCAAACTGAATTTGTTCAGTGATCTACATCCAACTAAGCTGAGAAATTCCAGTTTCTGCATCCTTCTCCATTCACGGATCTCTTCTATAGGTGTAGAGTCAAGAAGAAGTTCCTTTAAAGATTCGAGTGCACCCATCTCGTCCGGTAGCTCTCGGAGACTTTTACAATACTTCAAGTTTAAGAAGACTAACTTCTTAAGGTAACTAATGGACCGATCAATTTGAACCAAATTCCCACATTTTTCGAGAATCAGTTGCTCTAAATTCACAAGAAGAGACAAGTCTGGAGTTTTATGCAATTCTTCGCATTCAGTCAGATTTAGGACCTTCAAATTCTTAGCCAACTGAAAAGAAGACAACATATTTATCTTCATGTTAAATTAAGATAATCCACAACAAAATAACTCACATTGATTTTACCTGAAATCATACCTTGATGCAGCCCCATCCATCCCATTTCTCCGTGATTTTACTCATCGAGAGATCAAGGATTACAAGCTTCCTGAGGGAGAAATTGGTGAGCTTCATACTGATAGGAAAGTAATTCCATGAAAGCCATCTCAGCTCTGGAAGGATAAGTGGGCCAAATGTGGTTTGACGAAAATTTGACCTCTGGTAACATAATAAACGACCCACTTGAGTAAGGATGGGCTTTGTGTCTCCGTTGAAGTCTTTGCTATCTACTTGAAGGAACCTTAGATTTGAAAGACTTGCTAGGCATTCCTTTATCAAGTAGTATTGACATAGTTTGTCAAGCTTGAGACATAATGCTTCAATACTTCCAATTCCACGAACATCACCTCCTATCTGCCAAAATAAAAAAAGAAATCGAAAGTTAGAAAAAACCAAGATTTATTGCGTTGATCTTCTTCAAGGGGAAAACAATTATATCTTTTCTTTTTAGTGTTGAAACCGATTGATAAACCACATACTTAAGTGCTCGGGACATAAACACTGATAGGAATGAAAACCGAAACGAATATCCTGGTGACCAATGTCATTAAAAAGGAATGAAGCTGTATGATTTACCGGGGCTTTTTCCAGAACCTCCAATGCTTGTGCATGATTCCACAACCATTGTCGCTTCTCTGGCTTGTTGCTGCTTCCATGTTGTATATAGTATCTTCCTATGTCTCTTAACCAATCATGCATCCACAGTCGGTTACCTTCTCTAATCTTTATCAAAGATCTTTGCTGGAGGATTCCAAGAGATTGATGAGGAAGAAATTTACAGCTTTCCCACATGTGAATCACAATTCTTTTATCATACCCAATGAAAAAACAAGCAACATCGAGAAATATTTTTCTTTGGTTTTCATTTAATGCCTCAATGCTGACCATCAACTTCTTTCCAACGTCCTCTTGAGGAGATTCTTCTAGCTCCTTTAATGTGGCATTCCACTCCTCTACGCTTTTTCCAGATAAAAGAGAACCTATAACTTCAAGAGCCAATGGAAGACCGCCACAAATATTTACTGCTCTTTCAGAGTGAGAGATGTATTGCTCAACGGGATAATCTCTTCTAAAGGCATGTTTGCTAAAAAGTTGAAGAGAATGATGAAAATCCATGCCACTAAGTTCGTAAGTCCCATCAACAAGTGTGGGCACTTTGAGAATTCCCCAATCTCTTGTTGTAATGATAATCTTGCTTCCGTTGCCAAACCACTCACGCTTCTGCACGAGCGCATCAAGTTGGCTTGCATCATCAACATCATCAAGTAGAAGAAGCACTTTTTTGAAGCACAACCTTTCCTTGATCGCCTTTTTCCCTTCCATGACATTATTGATATCAGGCCATTTCATTTTAAGGATGTTCGACAAGAGCTGATTCTGCAAGCGCGTAATCTCTGTCTTTCGGATGTCACAAAGGAAGCAACAATCAACAAAATTATTAGAAAGTTGATTGTACACTGTTTTGGCAAGAGTCGTCTTTCCCACGCCACCCATACCATGGATTCCAACAATCATTGTTTCATCATTGTGTGAACCTATCATACTCATGATTTCATCCACATGATTGTCTACTTCGACAAAGCAATCAAATACTTCCAAGTAGGCAGTTTTCAACTCAGTCAAAACATTATTGACAACTTCTTTCACAAATTCACCTTTGCCTCTGAAAATATTCGAGGAAAAAGCATCAAGACATTAAGTTTGGCTAAAAAAAATAACGCATCTGGAACAACTAGACCATACACATTATAATTAAATACCTGTTTGGCATGCTTTGGAGATCCCATCCCTTCAGTGTTCCGACCTCATTGAGAGCAGCCTTCCACTTGTAGATAGTCTCATCATCAAACTGCCTCTTCTTTGCATGAGAAACAATGGCCTTGTCGTAGTGCTCAGTCTGGTTTTTTACCTCGGATGGTGTGACATCATAGAAAATGGGCATGATCTTTTGTCTCCTTCTGTTCTTGCTCTCCACCATCTTGACCAACTCCCTAAGGCACCATGTACTGTCAGCATATCCTTCAGAAAATATTGGTATTGAGATCTTTGATTGCTCAATCGCTTGGAGAAGCTCATTGCCGATCTCCTTCCCGATGCGGAGCTCTTCATCGTCTCTATATACCCGAATTCCAGCATCAATCATGCTGGTGTAAAGGTAATCAGTAATGTCTCTACGGGTATCTGGTCCTCTAAAGCTCAAAAATACTTCATAATCATATCCTGATGACTTCTCCATTTCCTGATTATCAGAAGAGGCGTTCAACATAGTTATTGTTCTCTGAGCATGGTCTCCTTGAAAGGCTACATTTTGTGCAAAAGATAAAATTGTAGCAAATACTGTCGATGCGAAGTTCAACCACAAAGGTTGGTGCAAATTCCCTGTGCAAATACTGTCATTGTAACAAGGTAAGGCGAGGCTAAGTTTTATCAAAAGCAATTGTAGAGATCTGCTTTCATTAATTTTTACGAAACCCTATCGACAAATGCATATGCTCTTTCATGGCAAATTTTTTTAGACCCTGTAGCAGCGAAATTTACATTCTTCTAAATTCTTTCAGAAGGAAACCAGAAAGAACGCTTTATTATAAGTTGTGGTTCACAAAATACTTTTCTTGTGTTGTTTCTTAAGCAGATCTATGTGAAATTTTTTTAGGGAGATAATGAGTGTCAATCTTATCTATGTAGAGTTCTCCATTTCCAGTTAACGTTTATCGTAAATTCACGGTCAATTGTCTTTTGCATAGAGATGCCTCTAATTCTTTACTTGTTGCTTGACTCATTAGTTTATTATGCCATGAGAGATTGTCTTTTGCAAAAATACTCTTTTGCAGCTATCCTGGCCTCTCTTTTTAGTTTTATCCATGTATTTTTCACATATTGCAGAAACTTACCACAGAATATAAAGTAAAGGCTTTGCAATCAAAGGTGCTATATTGGATCAATTTGTTAGCCATTATTTGTGGAGTGAAATCCACCCGATGGCCACTGAAACGTGGCCGCCAATAGCGTGCTCTTTAAGAAAATTGGTCGGATTTTGGTTAAACCTTATCAATTGCCAAAAAAAAAAAATTTCATAGTGCGTTGACGAGTGAAATCGAATATCACTTTCAGTTAGGTAATTGCAAAACGTAGCGAATTTCAACAATCATCAGTGAAGTTTACAATCTTTATATTTCGCTAGACTTTCCTTTCTTTGGCTAACCAAAAGATCGGCCCTGTTAGTCCCACAAAAACACCTTTTTTTTTCCATCATCACCTAAACTTCAAGATTTGAATCCTTGACCCATATAACCCCTTCCAAAGAAGAGAAGTCGATGCGCCAATTGCCTCAGTAGTAATACTAGACTTTGATAGATTCATGATGCAAAAGCATAAATATTCAGCAGCTTGGACGTAGCTCAAATTAGCTCATGAAATATCACAGAAGATTCGAAAGCTTGGTTGAAGCTGCGAAAAAAATTGAAAGGATTGAAGTATGTGAAAGCGTGCAAGTAGATGGGATAAGTCCATCATTATGTTCTCTTCGTTTTTTTCTCCCAAGAGATTGGCAAAAACTCTTCCTTTTCTCTCCAAAGCAATCAATCCAAACATGAAAGACACTGTCAAAGTTATCAAGTAGTTGCGAACGTTGCTATGTGATGAATACAAAAGTTGTAACTGCCGCACGGAAGAATGTGTGCGCATCCAAATCAAATGTTTCTCTGTCCTCTCCTATGTTTCTCTCTCGTACGTGTACTTAAGTTTTAAGGCCGTGCTCTCTTGTCTCTTTGCTTTGCTCTGATAATTCGTTCTTCTTGAATTGCTTATGTACCCCCGACTAAAAACAAGAATCAAGCAAAATGAAATCAACTAATCCCACTCGAAGTAAATCAAGATTTAACGTGTTAAACTACATCATAGATAGCGAGAATCAATCACTGATTACAGTAAATCTCCGATCTTACACTTTATAAAACAATAAACCGATGCATGCATGGCGAAAATAACCTAAGAGAGAAATTACCAGGAGTAGTGGTGATACTGAAGGACGGAATTTGACAGTGGCGAGCCTGAATAAGATGGAGGCAACAAGATAAGAAGCAATGAAGAAATGGGTCTTGAGTGAAGAAATGGTTCTTGAGTGCTGCCTGCACTTATCCTCGTCGTACATCAAATGGAGAAAAAGAAGAGAGGAACATCCCATTCTTATGTGGACCCGACAAGGAAATGTGGGAAGGTCCAAGGAAATGTGGGATGCTCCCCTTTTCTTGCTTTCACACGAGAAGCAGGTCTTTCGCATTTCTTTCTTGCTTTTGTAAATTTCCTATCGCACCACCAAGTGTTGACTCCATAAGTTTTGTCGTAGGCAAACGCAGTGCGTCATCGCTTATGGTCCATACCCGTGTTCACACTCGCGCTTTATCAACACGGCTAACAAAAGGAGGTGAAGGCGAAAGGAAGACAACACACTTTATCAACATGGCCGGAAAGATTAAATTAACAAATCGTGAAAAAATTTAGAATTAAATTAGTCAAATTAAAATATGTAGGACTTATTGGCGAAATAGGTTTATGACTTCTTTTGGTAATTTCCCCTTCTCTACAGCTTTGCAAATATGGGATGGAATCAACTAGAACCTTTTTTTTTTCTTTTTTTATTTTATAAAAAAGTAAATCTTCACTAGAGTACAGCAAGGAGGTGCAGCCCACATATAGAACTTGGTTTAAGATGGGCTATTAAAATATTCCATTTTTTTTTGTTAGAAAACGAAATTACAAGGGAAAAGATCCAGAAAGTCCAAGAAAGAGAGTGTACCAAGTTTAGAGACTATAACACCCAGGGCACACTCATAACGATATTGTCCACTTTGGACCAGAGCCCGCACGATTTTATTCTTCTGGGCTTCGCCCAGAAAAGGCCTCATTACAAGTTAGGATGCCAACAACCGCTCCTTGTTCAAGCCCCTCTGTCCCCGGCAACCACTTCCCACCCTCGCAAGACCGGGTCGTTACAGGCCCATCAGTTTCCGCCTGGTTTATCCTCGAACCACACACTTTTGGCTGGGCCTGGCTCTGATACCACTGTGACGCCCATGGCCTACTCGTAATGATACTGTCCGCTTTGGACCGGAGGCCGCACAGTTTTAGCCCAGAAAAAGCCTCGTTACAAGTTAGAACAAGTGTCACCACATATATGGCACTTCACCTCACCACACCTAGGCGATGTGGGATTCGGTTCATTCCTATCTCCTTCGCCATCCTCGAAGCCTGCTAGAAGCCTGCTAGAAGCCGCTCCTTGCCCAGGCTCTTTAGCCCTAGCGATCACTCTTCACCCTCGTAGGACCGAATCGTTACAGAGACGGCAAAGACTCAAGAAAAGACCCAAGAAAAGACCCAATTTCACTTAAATCAATTTTCCATCAGAACGAATTATTTGTGGGGGTCTACCAGTATTGGAAAGAAAGCAGAAAAATAATTTTCATAAAAGCTCTGGCAGATTCTCGGATGATGTTTCATTTGTAATGATTAGGATGCTTGAACTTTTTCCTTGAACTTTTGGTTTGGTGGTCGTACTACCCAAGCCAAGACCTTTTCAATGTTCGAGAGGGGTTAGAATCCCTCTCTCGCAAGAGTTTGTTTGTAGGTTATCACCCTTGGTGCTCGACCAATTAAGCATTATTTCCTTATCATGTAAAAGAATCTGATCATCCATGGCGTCCCCGGAGAGATAAGTTCATCTTCAGCAAGGTTGACTTGAAGCCCCAAATATGCCTCTAAGCAAGACACAATGTCCCGGGTGCACAGGATCAATTTGTTGTCAGCAAAAGTTGATATGATCATTGTAACATGGAATAATAAGATACGCAAACCCGTTCCGACAACCAATCTTTGCAGCCTATCTGGATTAGCATGGCGTTTTGCTTGATACGTCCATAGCTAGAGTGAACAGTATGGGGTAAAAGGGGCACCCTTGTTTGGTTCCCGGAAAAATTGAATAGACCATCTGCGACTCCATTCATCAATTAGGGCAGAGAGGTTGAAACCATTATCTGATGCAACGTTTAATACCAGAACCTTATTTTCGAGTTAAATGAAGGAAGAACTCCTAGGAAACCTAGTCAATTAGAGCATCTTCCTCGTACGTTTTCTAACTCTTTGTAAATGTTCGGTGTGACCAGGTTGCGGAGGTCCGACAAATTCTTTTTTTTTTTGTTTTTTTTTTTTGGGGGGGGCGGGGGGTGTTGCTGGTTGCTGGTGTTTGAATGGGTACCAACCCAGCTAATAATTGAGAAGAAACTAAAACATCTAAAGAAATACTATCATGTGGGCTGCCCCCGAAAATTTCAAAGAAGGAAGCCACCCACTCTATAGAACAAATAGGGTAGTATCAACAGTCCAGAGAAATTTTCCGTACAAATGATCCAAAACAAAGGAAAACATCTGTTATGGATTATTTCCCTCCGCTCGAGGAGACATTATCATTTTCACACAGAGTAGATGCAGTCTCCATTTACGAAAATTTACTTTCACGGATGCATGCAAGAATCTGCGTTAATCAGATTCTCTTTTCTGTAACATTTTTCAATTAGCCGTCAGAGAATTCCCTTCAGCAAGTTGTTTTTCACCTCATTCATTTCCACATTATCACTCTGTCATCGAACATATTTGACATTCCTGTCTCTGTTATCAGAAGAGGAGGGGAAGTACGTCCACCATGTCATTTGCTAGTCTATATGTTGTCTACGTCAAACAAAAGCGATGTTCTACCACTGTAATGAGTATTATTCAAAAGCATACAAGCGGCAATTTTTGCATATAACATTAGTGACAATTCTCAGTAGTGAAGATAGGTACCTCTTCGTAAGGCTCCTGCTGTTTGGCAAACCCACATTTATAAACTCCATTGTTTGTACAGTCATATATCCATCCATTAGCTTCGTCTATCTGGGCTTGCAAGTGAGGAGGATAAAGGTCAAGATCAGCATTCTCTGCTAAATCATTGAACTCATAATTAAGCATGCGAATGATCTCTGAGCTCTCGTTGTTGACGATTGTCTTCAGATTCTTATTCCACAGAACCTATCATAATGCGCAATACATATTTTGTGAGCACTGGCAACTTGCAAGCTTAAGACACATGGAGCAGTAATGGAAATAGAATAACCACTTCACAGAAATGTCACATACAGGAACTGAATATTTTCCAGAGTAGACCGTACTTGCAATCTCATAAAGTTCTCTCACACTTTCAGCTCCATTTATAGGGTCAGGCTCTGCTCCAGGTTCTTCAGTGTTGGAAACAGGGAAGACCCATCCAATATGTGTTTCGCCATCTTTTGTTCTCTCCCACTTCGATTTGACTACCTGCATGAAATAAATAACTTAAAGCTGATCGAATACCATTAGCATGAGCTAACTAAAAACACTATGCCCATTACCGTATGGCCAATGATCTTGTCAAGTCCTTTAATCTTCAAGTACGCAAGGCATCTGCATGCCCAGGGACAAGCAAACGACACATTAAGATGGCATCTTCCGGATTCAACAGGGAAAGGAAAGCTTGGATCTGAGAAATAGAATTATGGAATGCGGAAGGGGTTCTAACAAATGCACCAGATTCAGAGACCTCGTCGATTGAGGAACGAGCCATTCTTATTGTGAGCCGTGGAAGAAATCATGAGGAGAACATTAATCACTTCCATCATTTAACAATAAAGTCAAGGCATTATCATGCAATGCCATCTTGATCAGATTCAAAGAGCAGATCAAGCGCATACCAAAGGAAAAGATCAGTCAAAATTTTATTAGCAAAGGCACTAGCAGGAAGTGATGGAAGCATCGCATTGTTTAAGCTAAACCTTATTGAGCTAGAGGCAAAGAAAAACGTTGGATGAAATCGAAGACACAACATGAGTTGGATGACACCTACAGGTCCTACCCTACTGAAGAAAATCTAACAAAGGCCCCATGATTCATGCAGTAAAACAACTTTACTTTACCGAGAAGTAGCAAGGTTGGTAACAAGGTTCTTGGTGAGAACAAAACTGACCTAGGATACTTAGATGAAAGTGATCAATAGGTCCAAATCAGCATCATCATATCCTAAACATACCTATGAGGATTTATCTACTAAGGGTCACATGGAGAGCATTGCCACCCACAACCAAAATACAACAAAAGGAAAACAAGAATTTGTCTGATAGAAGTACTGAACATTGCCACACTGCAATACGGTGATTTAATCTGGAACAGGGTTCAAGAATTACTAAAGAAAGCCAGTTTAGCAATGAGGATCCATCCCGTCAACGGAATCACAGTCCCTAACACGGGATTCACAAATTGTATTGATTCTGGAGTCATTCGAACTTTTCTTATACATGGAACTAGCTTACATCTAACATGTCAAATTGTCAAAGAATCATCATGTCTGGAGGGTTCCAAGTTAGAAACCTGAACCCAAGACTATCAGCCCACTTCGCAATGTTCTTTCGTATTTCAGATGTGAAAGGGAAAAGAAGCAGAAACTCTCAGTAACCAAACCTTCATTTCGAAAGATGATAATTACCAATCATAGGAAAAAACGACCACTGCCCATCAACCGCTACACACTATCAGCAAAACGGATTAACTTTCCAGAATCAACAACGCACGGAAGAGGCACATGAACTTCTATATCAGTTCAAAGATGACAAATACTCATGATCAACCAAGAACTGAAACGATGGTCACAGGCTTCAAGTGAGAACTGTACTGGAAATGCAAACAACTTGCAGAGAGAGAGGGTAGAGAGAGAGATGAGACCTTACTAGGAGATGGGGAGAGTGCGAAACATCTCTGCCAGTGCCCGTGAGCTGGGGTGGACAAGCATGGCCTGGGAAGGGCCGACAGGGAATGGTTCTGTCGTCTTCCTCTGTTTTTGCGCTTTCGAGCATTAGACTCGCATTACTTGGGCGAATTTCCAATTTTAGCCCCCAATAATTTTCTTCATTCAAATTTGGGAATAGAAGGCCACCGGGAGTCGGAATTTCCGAACTATTATTACAAAATGTTCAAACCGATCTTTGGCTATGCTTTTTAAAAAAAAAAGAAAGTAATTGTGCTCTTAAACTATATAATTTCGTTTTTCAAATTAATCCTTCCATCAAAATTATGGATGGAAAGTCACTAATCAAGATTGACGCGATATCTTCCCACCAAAAAAAATAAAAAAAACTGGCGTGATATTCTCACTTGACGTTTAGAAAGAAAATAGAGAATTCAAATATAGGGAAATGTCAATATATATGTATTAAGGTAGTTGGCCTAATGATAAAGGAGACCATTAGATCACAAGTTCCATTCATATCGACAGCAAATCTCTAAAAGGCTTGTGCATTATTGTCTAGTTGCGGCATATCAATTAATGAATCATAGTCATTAGGAAGGGGAGATGATCAAAATGCATGAAAGGCAAAGGCTAATCCCGAAGCCAATTCATTGCTTTGATGATTGGGTGTTATTGTTTTGCCTTGCTTGTTTGCCTGCATTGGAATGTATCAGTCAATCAAAAACCGATACCACCGAGGTGGTCCATGGAGGAGGCAGCCAAGGGTCATGAAGTGGGAGGCCAAAGACCGATGTCTAATCCTATCTCATTTTGTATTCCATTCGATACATGACCATGTCTCGGGTTTTCAATTAGTTTGTACTAAACAGCCGACAAATTGTGGGTTTTCCTTCATTACACTTAGATTAGCTCGTCTTTCAACTTAATTGGATGTTTACTTACCACATCGCATTTTCAATACAATTGCTTGTTAATTTCTTTTTTTTAGGATTAGCTTAGATTTGCAAACGAACCAACCCACAAGCATGTTACATGATCACCTAGTGGATTAGGATTTTGACATGAAATTGATAATTCAAAATTATATGGCCATATTAGAAAACAACCAACTAGTTAGTGGTACCTAAATGACGTTAGTGGAAACATTAACATAAGCACGTCCCCATACCTAGACATCTCTAGTTCTGTAGAAATCAAAATGAAATTCCCACATTTTGATTGGGTATTCTAGCCAATCCCTAATAAAGGCTAGTGACGACTCCTAGAAATATATGTAGGTTGATAAAGAACATAAAAACAATCCCATGTCATGCAAGGTATGGACCAAGGAAGAGTTCACATTCAAGATTGATGGACTTTATGGATGAACTTAGGCTACGTTTGATAGTCGAGATAAAATTCGGGATATGATAAATTTTATCCTATCCCGTGTTGGGTGATTGCTCAAGATATGATAAAGTCGGATATAGGAGGGATATAGCCCAGATAAAATTATTCCATGAGAGAGGTAGGATAAAAGTGGATAGGATTTCTTATATCCATAATATACAACTTATTTTTCTCGAATAATAAACTTGTTAAATTAATAAAATTAAAATAATATTTGAATATAAATAATATTTGAATTTTAATATAAAAAATTCAAAATAACGAAAAGATAACAATAAATTCGTTTTTATTTATTCTTATTTTTATTTATGTATTCAAATTTCTTTCTATCTTATGATATAAATTTCATATATATATATGTATATATATATACACACACATTTAGTATATATATTTATTACATATTTTAAGGCATATTTGTATAGTTTACTATTTAATAAAATTGAATGATGGAAGGGGAAGAAATAAAAAAGAAAATAATAAAAAAAGAGAAGGAAAATAATAAAAATGAAACAAAAATAAAATAGGTAAGAGTGTCGTGATAAATTTTTATAATCTCCGTTTGTGCAATTTTTAGGTTCATTTACACTGATATAATATTCATAGCAAATAATGGACACGGTAATATGTGAAAATATTTAGTTTTATTACTGCGATTCACCAAACAATAGATAGGGTATAGTAAATCCCTTGAATTTTATATCATATCTTATCAAATCTTATCCTGGTTAGAAATCCAAACGACCAAATGTAGCCTTAAAGTAAGGAAGTAGCTGCCGTTGGACGGGAAACTGTTTCTCAAAATGCATCCTATGTGAAATTGGTGATATGGGCAATTTTGCATCGTAATGGATGGAGTTCATCCTGAGTGCGTTATCTACAAGAAAACTCTACATGTATAAAAGCACTTGACTCGTAAGTTTAAGACTAGAAGGCATGACATTTGGCACGATTAAAGAATTTCTAATCCTTATAACGTACTCCTTGCAGCCTGTAATGCTTCTTTAAAGAATGGATCAACATCGTTCACAAGTAGAATAATCCTATTCTCAGATTCTAAAGTGAATAACAGGCATTTAACCCAGAGATTGAATAAAGCATGAACTAGGCAGTGATCATCAGTAGGCCAAAGCCACGAGAGAGAGCCACGAGAGAGAGAGAGAGAGATTGAATAAACTTATCTTCGGGAGCTGATAGTTCTGAAGCAGATAAGATGGGAAAACTGTCATAAAAGTCCTAAACCTTTTGTATTAGTGCCAATTTAGTCCTAAACTTTTTTTTTGTGCCAATTTAGTCCTAAACCTTTTTTTGATGTCAATTCAGTCCTAAATCTTTTAAATTGGTGCCAATTCAGTCCTAAACCTTTTGTTTTTGTGCCAATTTTGACTGAAATTTGCCGACGTGGACACCTGCCGGCCAGCGACCGGTCAGCGGCGCCGATGTGGTGCTGACGTGGACAAATTAAATAATATTTTAATATTTTTTGAATTTTTATTTTTTTCCACTTTTTTTTTGGGTTTCTCCTTCCTCTGGTTGGTCGCCGGTCCGGCGACCGGCCAGAGGCTAGAGGCTGGCGAGCTCGACCTTGCTGGCCACTGGGGAGGGCGGCCTCGCCTTGGTCGGGCGAGGCTCGACCTCGCTAGATACGGCGAGGTCGGGCCTCCCCCGACCATGGCGAGGCTCGAGCCCTCGCCGGAGGCCGCGACGAGGGCGAGCCTCGCCCGGCCGCCGGCGAGGCCCGACCTCGCCGGATCCGACGAGGTCGGGCCTCGCCCAACCATGGCGAGGCTCGCCCTCGCCGCGGCCTCCGGCGAGGGCTCAAGCCTCGCCATGGTCGAGCGAGGCCCGACCTCGCCGGCGGCTGGGCAAGGCTCAACCTCGCCAGATCCGGTGAGGTCGGGCCTCGCCAAATCCGGCGAGGTCGGGCGACGAGGCTCGGCCTCGCCGGGCGAGGCCGCCCTCCCTAGTGGCCGGCGAGGTCAAGCTTGCCGGCCTCTGGCCTCTGGCCGGTCGCCGGACCGGCGACCGGCCAGAGGAAGGAGAAACCAAAAAAAAAAAAAGTGGAAAAAAAAGAAAAAAAAGGAAAAAAATAAAAATTCAGAAAAATATTAAAATATTATTTAATTTATCCATGTCAACGCCACGTCGGCGCCGGTGACCGGTCGCCGGCCGGCAGGCGTCCACGTCGGCAAATTCCGGTCAAAATTGGCCGGAAGGACTAAATTGGCACAAAAATAAAAGGTTTAGGACTGAATTGGCACCAAAAAAAGGTTTATGACTAAATTGGCATAAATGTAAAAGGTTTATGACTGAATTGGCACAAAAAAAAGGTTTAGGACTAAATTGGTACTAATGCAAAAGGTTTAGGACTTTTATGGCTCTTTTCCCTAGATAAGATCATTTACACTGAAATGGGTGTGCAATTTGCTAATTAGTTATGATCAGCTCATGCAGTTTGAGTCCTGGGCACCAGAAGATAATACGACATACTGAAATTGGGACAACAAACAGGATCCTTTACAGCGTTCCAAAGTCGTTGGATGTCACCAAGAGACAAATATAGTTTCCTTCAACTGTCTAATTGAATCACGATGTACTTCTGTCACCAAGAGACAGATCTAAATGATCATTGATGAATGTGGAACAAAGTGTCATTGCTAACAAGCATTCAGTAAGATCGCTTCCCTCAAATTCAGCGGCAAGCTTGATGAAAAAAATATTTCAAAATTCGACACAACATATGGTCAATCAGTTGTTGTCAACAAAACTTTAAGTGGTGAACTTAGTTACGTAGTTTCAAAGAGAAATGAAAACAAAAATTAAAGAACCTAATCCTAAGGGATGTGGCTCGTCCCATAAGAAACCATCATCACATCTAGAGAAAATTACCAAAAAAGTCATAAACCTATTGCAATTGTGCTAATTTAGTTTTAAACATTTTTAATTTGGCTAATTTAATTATAAACCTTTTGACAATTTATCAATTTAGTCCATCAGCCTATTTTTTATCAGAAATTGATGACATGGATGCCGGTCATCCTACGTGACAAGGCCGGTGCTAACGTGGAAATTTTTTAAGTTTTAATTTTAAGTTTTCTAAATTTTTTATTAATTTTTTCTTTTCTTTTCTTTTCTTTTTTTATTGTTAACGGCTGGTAGGGGGCCGCTGGGTGAGGTCTCGCAGGCCCTCCCCTGGTGGGTGGCGAGGGTCGTCGGGCCTGAGCCGGAGGGCGGTGGCCCCCTGCCAGTCCTTAACAATAAAAAACAAAAAAGAAAAAAATTAACAAAAAATTTAAAAATAAAATAAAACAAAATTTCACGTGAGTGCCAGCCCTGTCACGTTGGACGGCTCACGCCCATGTCCACGTCATCAAGTTCCGGCCAAAATTGACCAGATAGACTGAATTGGTAAATTGTCAAAAGGTTTAGGACTACATTGGCAAAAATAAAAGGTTTTGATTGAATTGATACAATTAAAATAGGTTTAGGAATTTTTGGGTAATTTTTCCTCACATCTAGGGAAACTGTGGGTATCAAACAAACTGCAGACGCCTTAAGGACATGAAACAATGCAAAGCATTGCCGAGGCCTGCAAGTTAGAGGAACAGCCACAACCAAGAAGACATGAAAGGATGCAAAGCATTGCAGGGCCACAAACACATTACAAATAACTAGCACGGGAATCTCCATCTTGAAGTTTAAGAAGAACAACTAACTTGACGAAGACATTTGAGTCTTTATGCCTCTGTTCTGGAACGAAAAAGGCACAATATTATATGACAGATGGTGCAATCCAGAAGAGCAAGTGCTTGTTAAATCTATCATTAAAACCATGCTTCTTGTATTCAGCCCGTTCATTGGATGTTTCTTAGCTAGTTCTTACACAGCATTCTAAGGCCTTATTGGTGCTCTGTTTCCACATATGACACATGAACATGGCATATTCTCTCTCTCTCTCTCTCTCTCTCTCTCTCTCTCTCTCTCTCTCTCTCTCTCTCTCTCTCTCAGTGTCAATTTTTTGTTGGGGATATATGGAATCACTCCTTTTTCAAGTTGGTAAGTCATTTCTATAATTTTAGGTGTCTTTGTTGAATTAATCTTTTCTTAAATTCATCATATTTTGGAGAAATGAACTAGGAAACGGTTTCTCCTCTGTGCCGACATTATTGACATGGATTTGCGTCCATCTCGTTACAAGTAAAGCATCTGATAAAACTATGTAAATTAGCATAGCTAAGTACCCAAAACTCATTTGATTTAAGTGTACGTACTTCAAATCACTGACAATGTAATTGAAAATGATTAGCGAAAAGAACTCAATTAGATTCTTTCTGTCAGATAAGCCAAATAAGAGTTAAGTTTGAAAAAGAAACATGGATCACAAAGTAAGAGCAAAGATTCTCTGCTAAACCATTGAACTCGGAATTAAGCATGCGATGGATCTCTGAGCTCTCGTTGTTGACGATTGTCTTCAGCTTCTTATTCCATAGATAGAACCTATAACAATGCGCAATACATATGTCGTGTAATTTCAAATCACTGACATATAGCGACCACTATGCTTTTATTCTACTAATCTACCCCAGATTTGTTCTAAGTTTCAAATCACTAACTTGTTCAATAATGAAAGAGTGGCGGACACTACGTGTGGGGCAGCAAAAAATGATGTTATTGTAACTGGAATGGATCAGTAGGAAAAGCGGTTTAGGGGGTGCTCTCTCCGGCTTTGTAATGTGATTCTGGTTTCTGCAAAATAAATCCGTGATGCTCACCGGCAAAATGAATGAGAATCTTTTTATTGATATCAATCCATATGGGAAAAGTCGTGCTTTTGCTAGGCTAAAAGAAGGTACTGTGACATAACTCTATCTTCTTCTTCGCTCATTAGGATTAGTAATCTTTGTCGAACGAGATAGAAAAAAATTGTTCTTTTCATGATGGGCCTCACAAACATTATGAATTGGAAACGGGTATCTAACCATAGGGTGCATACCGTCATGAATTATAAGCCATTTCTCCAGAATAATTACAATCTCTAATTCTAACATAACCAAGAAATCCATTTCAGACAGATATGCCCATAAACACACACCAGATGGCTACATTAGTCAAAACCGATCTCTCTCTCGGGTGCGTTTACCTACCAAACTTTTAGATTCTTGAAGCTTGATTGATCTGGCAAGTTCTGTAGTTTAAAACACTTCGTAATGTCTATCATCTCCAATGATTCCGGACACCTTGAATCTCTGACAGCTTAGTACAATCATTTAGATCAATTTTCTCGAGCTTCTTCAAGTTAGTTAGATTGGGCAACTTTGTCAATGATGGAAGTGTCAAGAGCTTTAATGTTCTCAGGTTCTCCAAACCTTCAAAGCCTTGAATATCTGTTAGCTCGTCACAATCAAGAATTTCCAAATCTGATAATGCTTTCAAATTAGAAAGACCATTCGTAGTTTATATTTTCCTGCAGAACTTTATACCTAAGTATGACAAATTTGTCGGGAGCCTAGGTAGGCATTGCAAAATTTGGCACTGGAGCAAGAGTTGCTTCAGCTGAGAAAGAAGAACGAGATTAGAAAATAGGGCGGCGATACGACAAGTATACAAATCCAAGAACTTGAGCATTTGTAATCTTCCAATCCACCAAAGACTTGGAGATCCTTCGAGTTTAGAGGAACCCACACAAAAAACTGGCAACTGCAAAGTTCTCAAATTTTATAGGTTCGAGAGGTCGGGCATTGTCTCCATTGAGAATGTATAAAAGTATAGAGTGACCAAACTTTCTGGAAGCTGAGGCACTATCGAAATTCCAAATTCTTTCAATACCAAGATTCTTAGAAATTGCAGTTTCCCAATATTACCAGGGATTTCTCCTCCAAAATATGGATCCCCTTACCTCTAGCTTTTCAAGCTTCTCCAACATTTCAATGGCGCTAGGTAGTTTTTTAACAGAGCTGTTGCCCATCTTGAGTACTGTCAAATTCTTCTCGTTACCAACTGAATTAGGTAACTCCTCAATTCTAGACCGCGGTATATCCAACTCAATCAGCGAATTGAAATCTTGGCAACTGAATTAGGTAACTCGTCAATTCTGGACCGCGATATATCCAACTCAATCAGTGAACTGAAATCTTCGATTGACTTAGGCAGTTGAGTAAGATGGTTATCCACTAATGAAGGCTTTGCTGCCGATGCTGTGCAACCAACTAAACTGAATCAATTCAGTTATGTACATGTGTCCAAGCTGAGAATTTCCAATTTCTTCATACCAAATTTGGTATGAGGATGACTATTATAAGCTTGAGATTGAATCGCTAAATTCCGAGGACATCCCCTGGTTTACTTCAGGTATCCATACAAACTTGCTCAAGACAATAAGTTCGACCATTTCCACGGTCCAATCTAAGCTCGACCATGTCCATCAGAATGTGGACCAGGTAGCAGAAGTCTCCAATAGCACAAATGGGTTACTATGTAATCTACAGGAAAAATTCAAAAGGATGGAAACAGGACTCACTCCTCGACATTATTTGGACGACCCGTCCAAAGAGATTGAGAAACTATTAAGACAAATCAAAACACTTCTTCAAGAACAAAAACCAGTTCGTCTTTTGAATCATCCTTTTTCCCCTAATGGAGACAACCAAAAAATCAGCAGTTCCCCTTCAAAAACATCCATCTTCTCTGCCCTGCAAGCAGAAGATTCAGGTCCTGAAGGGTCAGTCCTAAGCGTACAGACATTGTGACACTTCAGGACCAAATCAAAGAGTCCGCAAGAAAAGGAAAAGAGAACGAGGAACAGGATCAAATCCCATTGAATCATTCTTGAGAAATCATCATCGAAAGACGCTGCCAGCCATAACTACTATGGGCCCAGCAAAATCTTCTGACGAGCAAAACCCAGATCAGACTGAGTTTTCTGATTCTCAAACAGAAGAAGTTTCTGATAGTTCCTTAGAATCCACCATTCCTGTCTCAGATAAAAAATTACTTCTAGCAAACTTCATGATGAATGAAGATGAAGAGATGGGATTTACAACCACTGATCACAGAGAAGGAACCAAGAGGCAACCCCACAATCCCACCTCATCAGGTGTAGCCTTTACACTTGATGATCTTCCCAATAGACTCCAAGAATTCTATGCTTAGATGACTACCAGAAGATTAATCCGAACAATAGCCACTGTGAAGTCACTTCAGAATTTGCTAGCAGATTAACTGGAAGCCTCCGATACTTGTGGATATCTCTTCCTGATTAAGACCATACAACCTTTCCTCTGCTTACTGATTTCAATCAAGTGATTCTGCTACTTCATCAGTTCTTCACTGGTAGCCCTGAAAAACCTGAAAGAACTTAAGAGGACAGAATACTATGACAGAAAGTGCATTCCAATGGGAAAGATCTCAACAAACATTTCAAGGAAATGTTGAAGCTGTTCTATGCTACCGGAGCTGACCCAAGCCTGAAGCCAGCCTTCTTATCATCCATCCCGAAGCAGATTGCCACAGCGGTTGAACGATTTCTTCAAAATAAGAACAGAAGAGTTGTGGATGCCACGCTTGGAGCAAGCAGTCCCTATTGCCATAGAAGAAATGTGCCTGCAAAGATAATCATTCAATGATTATTTGCAAGTTAATCAGGAATTTGACAAAGCTTGCCAAAAACCTGGCTTGCAGATTGCCTATTTGCACATGTCCTGGTAGAAAGAAAACACACTTTAGGATCATTCTAATCCAAGCCTTCCAAACAAATAAGAAGAAAATGGAAATTTCTTCGTATAGAGGATTTCCAAGATAAAACAAAAAAGACAGACGCTTTGTTTGTGTATGCAAAAGCCACTTTGCAAAAAAGGTTTTACAATCTACACCAGGTCATCGTACTTTCAAATCACCGTACATCTTATTTGGACAGTGTTATTCTTCTAAAATCACCGACTTGTGGTGGACACTATATGTGGGGCTGAGAGTTTACTGAATAATATAATCTTCGTACGTGCTGAGTCTGAATACTTTAGATTGCATGATAGGCAGCAGAGTTCTTGATTACCATGGCAAATCACAGTCATTTAGTCTGTGGTTAGTAAAATCAAACATGTATTCATTCTCATTGTACATTAAGAAGAGAACGGGGGGCAAAAAAAGAAAGACGAACTCCCTTCTTATGTCAACACAAAAAGGAACTTTTTACGTTCTTGTATTGACATGGAACAATTTTTCTATCTCATCGATCAAAGATTACTCATCCGAGTGATCAAACAAGAAAATAGAGTTACGTCAAATTACTTCTTTTAATCTTGTTAAAGCACGATTTCATCCATACTGAGTTACATCAATTAAAAGATTCTCATTCATTTTGTTGCTATGTATTACAGATTTATTTTTTGGTAACCAAAATCACATTACAGTGCTAGAGAGACATGGGCCTTAATACATATATAATTCGAAATACTCAAAAGAAGAATGTGCACATTACAAAAAGGAGTGTTTGTAAATTGTAAATAAATCAAGTCCATTTCATTGAATCAAAACTTTTACATTCTTGAAACTTGATGAATCAGGCAACTTTTGCAGATTTAAACAGTTCTCAATGTGAAGTATCTCCAAAGATCCTGGACAACCTTGGATCTCACTCAGCTTAGGACAAGACCTTAGATAAATTTTCTTGAGCTTCCTCAAGTTAGTCAGATTAGGCAACTTTGCCAACGATGGAAGTTTCACAAACTCTAATGTTCTCAGGTTCTCCAAACCTTCAAGGCCTTGAATCTCTATTAGCTCATCACAACCAGATACTTCCAAATATGATAAAGCTTTCAAATTCGAAAGATCATTGGTTGTTTTTATTCTCCCACAATGCTGGATAAGTAAGTATGACAAATTTGTCGGGAGCCTAGGTAGGCATTGCAAATTAGGGCACTGGAGCTCCAGTTGCTTCAGCTGAGAAAGAAGAACAACATCAGAAGAGAGGGTGGCGATACAAGGAGAACCCAAGTCCAAGACCTCTAGCATGTGTAATCTTCCAATCCACCAAGGACTTGGAGCGTTTTCAAGTTCAGAAGGATCCTTGAGATTACCCCACAATTGCAAACTCAAAGTTCTCAAATTTACTAGGTTCGAGAGGTCGGGCAACGTCTCCATTGAGTGTGTATAAAAACATAGAGTGATCAGACTTTCTGGAAGCCTAGGCACCGCTGAAATTCTGGTGGCAGACAGTATCAAGGTTTTTAGAGATGGTAGCTTTCCAATACTACCAGGAATTTCTCCTCCCAAATATAGACCCCCAGCCTCGAGCTTTTCAAGCTTCTCCAACATTCCAATGGTGTCAGGTAGTTTTCTTACAAGGCTGAAGTTCATCTTTAGTATTTTCAAATTCTTCATATTCACAATTGAATCAGGTAAATCCTGATTAGTGAAATTTTTATCCACAGATGAAAGCTTCCCTGTTGATGCTGCGAGACCTATGAAACTGTATTTATTAAGTGATTTCCATCTGACCAAGCTAAGACTTTCCAGCTTCTTCATCCTTCTCCATTCAGGGATCTCTTTTACAGATGTGTAGTCAAGAAGAAGTTCCCTTAAAGATTCCAGTGCCCATATCTCGTTTGGTAGCTTTTGGAGACTATTACAATACTTCAAGTTTAAGAAGACTAACTTCTTAAGGTTACTAATGGAGGGAGCAATTTGAACCAAACTCTCACATCTTTCAAGAATCAGACGCTCTAAATTCACATGAAAAGACAAGTCCGGAGTTTTATACAATTTTTGGCATCCAGTCAGATTTATGACCTTCAAATTCTTAGCCACCTGAAAAGAAGACAACACGTTGCTCTTCAAGTTAAATCAAGATAACCTACAACAAAACAACTCACATTGATTTCATTTGAAATCGTACCTTGATGTGACTCCATCCATCCCAATTTTCCGTAATGTCACTCATTGAGAGATCAAGGATTACTAGCTTCCTTAGAGAGAAATTGGTCAGGTTAAAAACCATAGGGAAGTAATGCCATGAAAGGTATCTCAACTCTAGGCCAAATTTGGTTGGAAGAAAATTTGACCACTGGTAACATAGAAAACGACCCACTTGAGTAAGGATAAACTCTTTGTTTCCATTGAAGTCTTGGCTATCCACTTGAAGGAACCTTAGATTTGAAAAACTTGCCAGGCATTCTTTTATCAAGGAGTATTGAGATAGTTTATCAAGCTTGAGACATATTGCTTCAATACTTCCAATTCCATGATTGTCCCCTCCCATCTGCCAAAATAAATAAATAAAGAAAACGAAAGGAAAAATCATGATTTACCATATTGATCTTCTTCATGGGGAAAACAATTATATCTTTTCTCCTAATATTGAAAACGACTGATAAACCACATATGTAAGTGCAGAGGAAATAAGCCAACTCTAATAGAAGAAGAAAACAAAAACGAATATGCTGGTGATTAATCTCCTTAAAAAGGACTGAAGCTGTACAATTTACCTGCATTTTCTCTAGAACCTCCAATGTTTGCCCATGAGTCCACAACCATTGTTGCTTCTCTGGTTTCTTACCACTTCCTTGTTGTATAAGATTTCTGCCAATGTCTCTCAACCAATCATGCATCCACAGTTCGTTATCTTCTCTAATCTTTATTAAAGATCTTTGCTGGAGGATTCCAAGAGATTGATGAGGACAAAGTTTACAACTTTCCCACACGTGAATCACGATTCTCTCATCCAACCCAATGAAAAAACAAGCAACATCGAGAAATATTTTTCTTAGATCTTCATTTAATGCCTCAATGCTAATCATCAACTTCCTTTGAACATCCTCTTGAGGAAATTCTTCTAGCTCCTTTAATATGGTATCCCACTCCTCTATGCTTTTTCCAGACAAAAGAGAACCTATAACCTCAAGAGCTAAAGGAAGACCGCCACAAATATTTACTGCTCTTTGGGAGTAAAAGATGTATTGCTCTAAGGGATAATCTCTTCTAAAGGCATGTTTGCTAAAAAGCTGAAGAGAATGATCAAAACCCATGCCAGTAAGTTCATAACTCCCATCAACAAGTGTAGGCACATTGAGAATCCCTTGATCTCTAGTGGTAATAATGATCTTGCTTCCCTTACCCAACCACTCACGCTTCTGCAAGAGCGCATCAAGTTGACTTGCTTCGTCAACATCATCAAGTAAAAGAAGCACCATTTTAGAGCATAACCTTTCCTTGATCACCTTTTTTCCTTCCATGATATTGTTGATATCAGGCCATCTTATTTTCAGAATATTCGATATGAGCTGATTCTGCAAGCGCGTAATCTCTGTTTCTCGGATGTTAGAAAGGAAGTAACAATTGACAAAATCATTAGAGAGTTGATTGTACACTATTTTGGCAAGAGTCGTCTTTCCCATGCCACCCATACCATGGATTCCAACAATCTTTGTTTCAGGGTCGTGTGCACCTATCATCCTCATGATTTCATACACATGATTGTCTACTTCGACTAAGCAATCAGATACTTCCAAGTAGACAGTTTTCAACTCAGTCAAAACATTGTCGATAACTTCTTTAACAAATTCACCTTTGCCTCTGATAGTATTGGACGAAAACACATCAAGACATTAGGTTCAGCTGAACAAAATAATGCATCTGGAACAACTAGACCATACTTTAAATACCTGTTTGGCATGCTTTGGAGGTCCCATCCCTTTAGTGCTCCAACCTCATTGAGAGCCACCTTCCACTTGTTGATAGACTCATCACCAAATCGCTTCTTGTTTGCATGAGATACAATGGCATTGCCGTAGTGGTCAGTCTGGTATTTTACCTCAGACGGTGCAACATCGTAGAAAATGGGCATGATCTTTTGTCTCCTTGTGTTCTTGCTCTCCACCATCTTGACCAACTCCCTAAGGCACCATGTACTGTCCGCATATCCTTTAGAAAAGATTGGTATTGATATCTTTGACTGCTCAATCGCTTGGAGAAGCTGGCTGCCGATCTCTTCCCCGGTCCGGAGCTCTTCATCGTCCTTATATGCCCTGATTCCAGTGCCAATCAAGCTGGTGTAAAGGTAATCAGTAATGTCCTTATGAGTATCTGGTCCTCTGAAGCTCAAAAATACTTCATAATCATATCCTGATGACTTCTCCATTTCTCGATTATCAGAAAAAGCGTTCAACATATTTATTGTTCTCGGTACACGCTCCCCTTGTAAGGCTGCATTAAGTATTAAAGACAAAAAATAGTAGCAACTACTGCCAATGCGAAGTTCAATCACAAAGATTGTTGCAAATTTCCTGTGCAATAAGTATGATGAGGCTGATTTCTATTAGAAGCAAATGTAGAGATAAGTTTTAAGTCATTGTAACTAGGTGTGGTGAGGCTAATTTCTATCAAAAGCAAATGTAGAGATTTGGTTTCAGTAATTATAACGAAGCACTATCCACAAAAGCACATGCTCTTTCATGGCAAATTTTTAGACCCTGTGGAAGCGAAAGTTAGATCTGTCTAAAATCTGCAGGAAGGAAACCGGAAAAAATGCTCAATTATAGGTTGTGGTTCACAAATCACAACTTTTTGTGGTGTTGTTAGCAGATCTCCGTGGAATTTATCTGGGGAGATAATGAGTGTCAATCTCTTCTACGTACAATTCTCCGTTTCTGGTCAACTTTTTTCTTAAATTCTAGGTCAAGTGTGTTTTGCATAGAGATGCTTCTAATGCTTTACTTGTTGCTTCACCATTAGTTTCTTCTGCCAGGAGAGATTGTCTTTTGCAAAAATACTCTTTCACGGCTATCTTGGCCTCTCTCTTTAGTTTCATCAATGAATATTTGACAAATTTCAGAAATCGCAGAAAATAATGTAAAAGTTTCACAATCGAAGATGTTATATTTGATGAACATAAAGCATTGATTAGTGAAATCAAATATCACTTTCAGCGAGCCAATTGCAGAATGGAGCAAATTTTTAGCAATCATGGAAGACCTATCCAACATGTGGCTCGGGTTTGAGTAGGTCGAACATGGATCCGACCAAAATTAATTCATTTAACCCATAATGATCCATTACTATGTAATACAATTATATCGGCCCATCCCAAACCACATTCTTCTTCTTCATCATCTCGTATTGCTCTTCGTCTCCATCTCTTCTTCACCCCCAAAGTCCCCCATACAACTCTCTCCTCCTCACCACCAATGTCGACTATCATCACCCTCCTCTTTTTCACACAAGTAACGTTTTTTGATAAGTAAAACTAATTAGCCGGTTCAAGGGCGAAAGTATGCAATTGTCCAATGAGACAACATCCATCCCTTATAGAACAAAAAAAAAAAAAAATTCCATCCCTTATATATGATTCACAAGCAGAGAAGCCAGCAAATAGGCATTTGTCTAGGCATTGCAATTCTTGAACAAGATGGATAATTATTAAATTGAAACAATAAACTCCCAAAGCATAACCCCTAAACCCTCCCACTTAAATATTTTTCAGAAAGAACATAAGAAAGAAATCATACGGGAACAGACTTAGGATATGTTTGGTTAAAAATTCTAGTCAAGACAAGATTGGATATAATAGGATATGAAATCTAGATATTTTGCTATATCCTATTCATTGTTCGATGAATCATAATAATAAAGCCTTATATATTGTTCGGTAGAAACTGCGTCTCAATGTAAATGGTAAATATACCCTCATGTACTGCCCATGAAATAATACAATTCTTATAATCATAAAAATACCATTCTTATGCACAAATATACTTGAAAACATGCACGATTAATTAAATTTTCAAATCAAGATATTTAACGTCATTATAATCTATTCATTGTGCCCAAAACTGGCAAATATTGCACTTCCTTTTTGTCAATCTGTCTACAAGAATCGTAAATTTCTTTGTTTTCAAACTCGTGTTAGAAATTAATTAAAGAGCCCAAATAGTGATTGCTCATTGTTGAAGAAATAAATTAATATCATAGTTAGATAAATAATATATTGCGATTTTCAACAAGAGGAACTTCTCTATATATGCATACTCAATGATCCAATGCTTATCGATACTAAAGTAAATTAAAGATTGAAATATATTAGAGATTTTACTAGACATTTAACTCCACATCATTGTGGAAAGGCAATATGAATAGATGGTCACTAATAGTCCGGAAGGGTTTTGATTGAATAATGCTACATATTCAATCTCTTTTAACATAGCTTATTTGCTGAGTGATATGTTTGTGCAAAAGAAAAGAACGAAAAAATAAACAGAAAATTGTTGCAAAGAGATTTTTGGCTTATTTGAAATATCTTGTATTTGTGCCGGATAAAATCTATTTCTAATCTTTGAAGTTTGATGTTTGTATTTGTCCTTTCTTTTTTCTAGGTAAGCAAGTGAGTTTTATACAAATAAACAGAGCAGGGGAATCCTACCACAAAGTGACAGAAAGAATTGCAACCAAAATCAACAAATACAGCAACTCAAGTCAAGAGTCTCCAGTTACTACAGATTTGCCTAATCAGAGGTTGAACTAAAGAATTATTGGTTTGATTCTGCCAAGCCTATACAAAACATCACATTTCGCACTGGACTTAATACCACTTCTAGAAACAAGAAAATTATCACCATGAAGCTTTCTATTCCTCTCATATCTGATGTGATAAGAAACAGCACACCATAGCAATCTGGCAAGCAACATTAGCTATACTTTCCCCTTCCAACTAGCACCAACCGACTGCAACTCATCACTCAAAGTCTGCCTAATTCTTTGAATATCACCGCAACTACAAACCAAGCTCCAGACTTCACAAGAAATAGCACATTCAGAAAACAAATGATTCCTAGATTCAGGGAAAGATTCACAGAGAAGGAAAGCATCATCCAAAGAAGGATTCCACTTCTTCAATCTATCTCAAGTAGGCAGCTTATTCAAAATAACAAGCCAGCTCATAAAACTGTGTTTTGGTATGTTTTAAGCAAATCAAACCGGCTTATGCCAGGGCAGTTTAGCAGGTGAAGATCGAAGTTTACCCCAACCACTCCTAACAGTAAAGTTTCCAGCAGAAGGAGGCATCCCAACAATACTATGAGACTGCTCAACATTTGGCTGAGTTCCACATATTCAGATTGAAGAAGAAGTAGGTCCTCAAGCCTAGCAGTAGGCCAATTACATCACACACTTTTGCTGTATCATAGACTACCCGGATAAATCTATTACAAATCTATGACATAATTCACGACTTCACAAAAAAAATATTAAACTATAGCATGTTCTCCTCAATAGATATGGCAGATAGCTATAAGAGCTATAAAATCATTTCAATTCCAGTGAAATGTTTTCAAAACAGAGTGGGTTTGTCCGAAGCAGAGGATTCAAAAGTGTTTAACAAAGTATGAGAATGGTCTGATTATGACCATTCATTATTCCCCATTTCTTCCAAGAAATGAGGTGAAAATCGCTCAAGTCACAAGCAATTTAATCAGATTTGATATAAAACAGGATCAGATAAACATAAGCATCCGAATGAGAGAACATGAATGTCACCAGTCTGTATATATAACATATACAGCAAGAAACGGAAACCCAATTTGGAATAGAAAGGAATGATCATTCTGAAATCACAATCAACGCAAGTAAGACTGTTCATCATGATAATACTGTGAAAATCAATAAAAGAAGGAAAAGAAAAATGAGCAAAGGATCTCATTGCAGATTCGTACTCACTTCTCTCAAACCAAAGTAAGCGAACTCCCAATACCAAGTAGTATGACCTTAGTAAAAATTTTAAAGGACTAAATCTTAAGGAGCAAAGGAGCTTGTTGCAGCATTCGAGAACCACAGAATCGACTACGACAAGAAAGATTAGCAAGAGAATGTTAGATCTAGTAGGAGAGAGCCTGAATACAACATGGATGAAAATAGGATTATTAAAGCTGTGTAAAATCGGAAAAATTTAGAAAGCATGATCATTCACCTTTGCGAGTCCGGGTTGAGATTAGCGTAGGAGCTTCGACTCTGTCGCCGCTGCGTGGTTTGTGAAGCTGCAGACTACAAGACAATTGTTGCTTTGCCGCTATGGTGAGTGAAACAAGAAAGCTGAGGAAAAGGAGGAGGAGGAGGAGGAGATGACTAAAGCAGCTTTTATATTAGGACATGGGAAACACTGTTCACCATCCCACTCTTCAAGTGGGATTTCTTTAATCCAGAGTTTATCCGTGTTCCAGCAATCCACAAGAAAACTACATGAACACTCAACTTCATGTGCATATAGCATAATTTATCACTGAAAAATTCCTTCTTTACACGTTTTGTTGTTATAGTTTCTTATATTTTTCCGTGAATAACTGTCTTAGTGCATATTTAGCACGTCTAGGTTGCATATCTATTTGCATGTCTCACTTTCATTTCATGAAAATCGAGTCCAAAAACAATCATATTTTTCATTTTAGTCATCTTAGATTGCGTATCCACAAAAATTTAAATATATTTAGCATTGCATGTGCTTTTAGGATATTGCATATTTGCGTCATTTATTGTTGATTTAATTTCCTCTTATGCACAATTTGAGAGCAATAAAAAAAAACAAAATTACCATTTTTACATAATAGACTTAGGATAGCATTACCCGTATGATATTAGTTATATTTTATTTTCATATTTAGAAGCTCATTTTAGGTGGGCAATAGTGCGTTGCATACCGTATATTTGTACTTCCTTTCATACATTAGTTCATTTCTATTTACAGTTCAGGGGGTAAATGCTTATACATACATTGTTTGTATTTGGTAACTTCTTAAATGTTTGATTTATTACCGTAAATGCATGGACATGTAAATGCAAGTTAGCAAATAAAAATCACTCAAGATTGGATGAAAATTTTTCCTTCTGGATGTTAGTTTAATCTTTTGGTTCTTAGAGGTAAAGCGCATGCTTTACCGAGCTCCTAGCCTAGTATTGCTGAGTCCATGCGAAGCGTAGACACCACTTGCGAGAGGATTGTTTGCGTCCACCAAATAATCCACTACCTCCATGGGTCACTTTGGGAGTTCGTGACACAAACTGTAAAAAGAAATTCAAAACAATCATTCATCTTGAATCAACCTAATCTGAATAAAAAATTCAAATTTGTTACAGCAATGTATCGGGATTAAACATGACAATGACATCTTACAATCAAAAACAAATATTTCCAAAATCCACAAGAAATTTTTTTACTTAAGTTCATGTACTCCACATGATCAGATTCAAACAGCAGATCAGCTGCGTAACAAAGGAAAAAGTAAAAAATATCAGTCAAAATCGAAAACAAATATTTTCAATTACAACCAAAGGAAAACAGGAATTTTTCCAATAGAAGTACTGAACATTGCCATTCTAGCAAGGAGGATCCGTTCCATAAATGCAACCACACTTCCTAACACGGGATTCACGCATTATATCTATTCTAGAGTCATTCGAACTTTTCTTATCTATGGAACTAGCATACATCTAACATGTCAAGTTGTCAAAGCATCATGTCTGAACCCAAGACACCATCAGCTGACTTTAAAATGTTCTATTGTGTTTTTTAAGACACGTAAGTGCTTAAAATGTAAAAGGGACAAGAAGCAGAAACTCTCAGTAACCAAACCTTTATTTGGAAAATTCAAAAACATGAAGGCTGGAAGATGATAATTACCAATAAAAGAAGAACGATCATTGCCCATCAATCGTGATACACTATCAGCAAAATTGATTAATTTTCCAGAATCAACAACGGATAGAAGAGGCACAAGAACTTGTATATCAGTTCAAAGACGACAAATACTCATGATCACCCAAGAGCTGAAACGATTATCGTAGACTTCAGGTAATAACGGTACTGGCAATAAAATGAAACTAAAGAGAGGGTACAGAGAGATAAAACTTGTTGCGGAAGCCAAGCGATCGAACAATAAATTTGATAGAATTTGAAAATAAATCGGATACCAGATTTACGTGATTCGGTCGCAGTGACCTACATCCACGGGGAGAACAGCACGAAATTTCACTATATATCAAGCAATACAACCGAGATTACAACTACACTCGAGTCATTCAAACACTCTAAAGCTGCGCATGACAACGATTCTGTGCCCGGGAACAGATTCTGCTCAGAAATGATTCTTTTTTATTCTGTGCCCGGAATTGATTCTGAGCATTTTAAGGCGTTTGTTAACGGCCCAAAATTCCATCCCTGGAATAGAAAAAGAGCAGAAATGCATTTGGCAACGTCACAAAATTTCTTTTTATTAATAATATTTTTAAATATTTTAATATTTTAATATTTTTTTCTTTTCTTTTTTTCTTTTCCTCCTTCTTGGCCATGGCCTGCTTGCCGGCCATGACCGGTAAAATAATGTTTCCCAAGCCCCAATTACACCCAATATAGCAAATAATGTTTAGTCCCATAATTCCTTACGAAATAATCTCTCAATCTCACAAAAGAATTGACATAAATTCTTACCACAAGAATTTTCGACTCGAACACAAATGTTGTGAAATTTCCAAAGAAATCAATTGTCTCATGCAACTGACAAAAGAATTCTTTAAGTTTGGCGCAATTTCGACAAGAACTCACGAGAAGAGATCTCTGCACTTCTTGGACACCAAGCACTCTGCACAAATATATATGTAAGTCAATGTAATGCCCCTCGCCGGATCCAACTGAACTTCCGTATCTTTTTTTATTCTTATGTTTCTTTCTTTGTTGGCCGAGTCGGCGCAAGTTCCGTGTCCAACTTTCCTGTTTCAGTGGGCAAAGACTCCGATGCACATTCCACCTTTAATTCGGAAGTTGATTTCGTATATTTTCCTTCGCTAGCTTTCGGACGTCTGTAAATATCCAATTTCAATTCGAAATATTCAAACTTCCACAAATAATATTTAAACCTTGGATTAAGTTTCGTCTACGGGCTTAAACTCGAGACATATTTTAACAAGACCTTTTAAGGAGATGGCGAGAGTGCGAAACATCTCTGCTTGTGACCGTGAGCCGAAGAGGACAAGCATGGCCAGGGAAGGAGGCACCTCACTATGTTTTTTGGACAGAGAGACATGGTCCCGCGTCTCACTCTATTTTTGTGCTTTCCATGATTTTGACTCGCAATGTTTTTGGCACCTCACTAGCGGCTGAGGCTCTGAATTATTGAAAAATATTCAATTTGTTCCTTCGAGTTTTTTTGTGCAATTAGGTTCTGAGATTATATAATATTTTGTTTGAGTTAATCCTTCCATCAAATTTATGCATGGAAATGTTGCTGGTGTATGGTGCTCACTTAAGTGTCAAAATTTTTTTCGCTCACTTAAATGCCACAAATTTGAAAAATTGATCACTTAAGCGCCATCGGCGATTTGCCTTGCCATAAAATCTAACATGGACGCCGGTTGTCCTACGTGGCACCGCCGTGCGCTGACGTGGACAATTTTTGTAATTTTTTTTCTCTCACTTAAGTGCCGCAAATTAAAAAAATCGGATCATTTAAGTGAGTGCCGTACAAAAATAATTGCACTCAAGTGAGCGCCGTATGAAAGTTAGGGCACTCGTACTGTTCTTATCCTAGGTTTAATAATCTCAGTAGGAAAATTTCCTTATGACCAAAACTTTTACCTTGCTTGCACTTCAAAATTAGCTGAAATTGATCTAGTGCTCTTTGGATGATTAAACATTTCTTGATTTATCTGAATTTTCAATCAAACTTGCCTAAGATGAAGGATTAACTTCTCCATTTTTTTTCCTTCAGTCAAATTTGCTCTTTGAATGATTAAACATTTCTTGATTTATCGGAATTTTCAATCAAGCTTGCCTAAGATGAAAAATTAACTTCTCCATTTTTTTTTTCCTTCAGTCAAATTTGCCTCAGATGGAGGATTAAGTTACTATGACAACCACCAAATCCCCTTTGGCCTCACTTTTATGGTATTTCCATATTTTCTTTTTTGTGGTACTTTCATATTTTATTGTCTAGTTATGGCGTATCTCGTATAAAGATGCTTCATGATTGAGATAACAGGTTCCCCGCTCTTGGACCTTCAGTTCAGTGGTGGTGCGAAGTAATTACAATTCAAATCGAACATTTCGTAGCAAGTATGAAATCCTTATTACAAAGTTTGCTAGCAGCTGGTCGAGCTCCCTCATCTTTTGCACTCTCCTATTATAACCCCAAAAGCACTCACAAGATGCTAAACCGTCAAAAGCAATGTTTCCTTCTTATCTCCTACAATAGCACTCCTCCACCATTTCAGTTACCGTAATATCTTTTTTTCAGCTGTCTTCTGCCTCTCATCCCATAATTGTCGTAGGTTTAAGATCATCGTACTTTCTACCTTGAACCTCTGGTCGTCAAAATTCACTAACTCGCTCCATAATGAAACAGAGGTCGACAGTGTGTGGGCGTTGAGAGCTAAAAGGGACTCTTCTGTTATTATCGTGTTAGAGATTATTATTATCATGGAGAAATGGCTTTATAATTCATTTCCAACTCATAATGTGTGTGGGGTCCCTCATGAAAAGTGTGACATTCTGAAATTCGACCCACTTAGGATTTATGAAATGGATGATTTTATGGACGTGCTTGTAGTTAGATCTTGCCCGGAACTGATCATTCCTGGGATACTAACCATTAGGGAATGGCTAATTAGGGATTTAAATTCGCGTGACCAAAGAAACTCAATCGTGAACCGACTTTCGACCATAAAAATTGTCGAGGTGACATTTTGAGCCAATGTAGGCCGATCCAAGGATAGTTAGGGATCAATTCGCCACTGTAATATGAGTGGATCGCGGGTGATTCCGCTTGACCACGAGATGAATTGACGGATGACCCTAAACCTATACCAAACGATCGTGCCCATCGGAACTAGAGATCGATCCTCGCGATTACATGACAACCGAGGTCGTCACGATCCGAGCAAACTTAAACGTGGCTTGATTCAGTATCGACCACGAGTCGAATATGCGAATTTCCCGAAAGTCACCCGTTAGTTTGAGATACGCTCAAGTTGTGTTATTTAAATTTAGTCATCAATTAGAGATCAAGTTTGGATATTGAAAATTTCGAAAGTCACGACAGGATAATTGGACAATGTTGTTATTAGCGTGGTCAGCCTCAGATTTGTCCGGATTCTTCAGAAAATTGAAATTTTTGCAGGAAATGACAAATGACCGTTTTACCCCTAGGACTTTGTTAAGGCCAAGTGTTATGTGAGAAGGGCATTTTGGTCATTTCACACCAACTTTAGAGATAAAAGTTTTTGGACAATTTTGCCATGGGACTTTTTGTGAAATTCCAATTTTGCCCTTGGATATTTTTTGTAAGAGTTGATCTTGGCCGTTAATCTCAAGATAAGATTGAATCATGGCCGTTGATTGGAAAGTAGAGAGGAGGGTAGGATGGTCATTTTGCTAGGGGTAGACACCAATTATTGGTGTAAATAAGCCTTTCTTCTCTCTCTTTCTCTCTTTCACCCTCTCATTTTCTCCCTCACGCCTACCATCTCCCCCACACTCCCTCTCGGCCGATCCCTCTCCCCCTCCTCCCGTGACCGTGGCCAACCGGCAAAGCCAGCCGTCGCCGCCGTTCAGCCACCGTGCATTGCCGCCGCCGCCGCTCACCGGAGTTGCTGCCCTGCCGAGGCCTTTGCTGCTCCTTGTTAGGCTTTTCTTGCTTAGGTTTAAGGCAAGTTTCTCTCTAAATTTTGATTAGGGTGATGGATTGTCGATGGATTGGTTTAGGGGTTGATTGAGGTGATTATAGGTGGATTAGAGGAGAGCTTGATCTTTCATTGTGTTCTTGGATGTTCAAATGGCTGTGGCATGGTAGTTTGAACCTTGTGGAATAAATTTTGAGGGCTGAAGTTCGGTGGTTGTCAACTAGGACTCGGATCCTTGAAGTTTGGGTTGAATCTCGAAATTGTGTTTTCTGTACCCTCCTGGTTTACTATTTTTGTGGAGATTTTTGGAGGCCGAATCAAGGGTGGTGTACTTCACGAAAGTTTTTCCTCACATCCTAAGGTATAACGTATTTTAAATCTGGAATGTTTGGAGGCCATTTGGGTCGCACGAAAATCCATTTTCAGACCGTCTTAAAACTGCCCGGAACACTGTTCATCCCGACCTTATTGTCTTTCCGAATTTTTATAAAATTTTCCAGATATATTTTCAATAAACTTCCTTCACAAAAGTTGTTGGGGACTTTCCTGTCTAGGATAAATAAAAATTTCAAAATCTTTTCAAGGTGATTCGGGTATTGAAATAAATGTATTTTGAGGACAAAACAGTTTATTAGAGCAAACTGATTCTGGTCTGATTTCGAGTGACAAAAAGACATGGTTACAGATTGAACTGGTTTCATGTTCTGCATAAGAAATGTTTATAAATATATTTTTTATGATATATCCAAAATTTAGAATTTTTGGAGTTCGTTTACTATTTATTTTGAAAGGATTTTGGTCACTGTGTAAACTGCCCAGATTTACCCCGATTTTATGGATGTCCATTTTATGAGCGGAATGGTGGGGGTGTCGAGGCTGAATAGTTGCTACCCTCGTGACTGGAATTGATGCTTGAATATGTGTTGTATGTGTTGATTGGAGGGCGGTTGGTGATTACCTAATTGTGACCGTGTTCGTGGAAGGGAATGTGACTGATTCGGCGTGTGTGTGTGGATTGATTTGGTCTCGTGGCTGAATGGTGCTTATGTACATGTGAATTGATATTGAATACTCGGTGTCCATGTTGATTGATGTTGTTAAGACCGAGGATGATTTGGTGGTGATCATGTGTTGTGATTGAGTTGACATGCATTATGTGAGCATGTGGTGTGATTAACACGTGAAGTGAATGTATTGCATGGCATGCGTGATCACTAAAAACCCTAAGGCGTGTAATGTAATGCGGGGTCCAGATAAAATATGGTGTTTTGACGTGTTCGCTTGATCACATAATCCCTGAGGCGTGTACTGTAACGCGGGGAATTGAACCTATCCTGAGGCGTGTACTATAACGTGGGACGATGCCCGGTATTACCGGAAGACCGCCAACCTAATGCGTTTACGCAGGCTGTGCCGTAGGTGGAGGACGTTGAGCCTGATGCGTGATACGCGGGCAAGAGACATAGCCTGAGGTGTGTACTATAATGCGGGTTAAGGAGTGTTGTGAATATGAGACGGTTGTACGTGGACCGTGGATCGAAAGTGGACCTAAGGCGTAATTATGTGGGTCATGAATAATCTGGACACGTGTGCTGGAGTGCATGGATGAATGCGAGGTGTCGAGCTTGAGAATGAAAGTGTTCGGATTTATTGTAAGTGCATGAGCATGGATTGAATGCTTCTTGAGAATGAGTGTGTTCTTGTAATGATTGTCATGTTGTTGTGGTTGGACTAACATGCAGGGCTTGTGTATGTGCCGAAATGAGGTAAGAATGCTTGAGATTGTGTTATGACAGATTTGTTACGGCAGACTTGTATGTTTAGGACAATATGGAGGCAACGTATTCTCCTAAACGAGATTTGGAGAGCTTACTTGCTGAGTTATCTCACCCCCCATGATTAAACATTTTTAGGTTTCGAGTGACGAATAGACGTCACATAAGGATCAGAGATCAGGGGTGATAAGGGCGTGGGATGAACTTTCCGCTTTTGGATGCCTTGCTATAGAGGAGTTTAGATTAATCCGATCCTTTTGTATGTGCAGTTGGTGGCAAGTCGCCCTCAAGTTGGGCTTGTAAATTGTACCGAACTTGGGTTAATAGTGTGTTTATGAAAGTTATTTTGTTGATGTGTATTCCTGTTGTCTCCTTGGCTGCCCCGAGTTATTTGTGATGTTGATAGGGTGTTATAGTTCGCTTCCGCATGCATGCGTATGATCGTTAGTGAATAGATCGGGTCGGCGATGCATCCTGGGACATCGCACCCTTAACGACCGTCGTGGGATGTTCGCATGCTCGCCGGGTTCGGGGCGTGACATCCTCCGTTGACTTGGTATCGGAGCAAGGTCAACCCGATCCAAGATGGTCGAAACCTGGAGTGATAAGGAGCGATGACTTTGGGGTAGATAGTTAGGGAGACCTTAGCAAATCAGAAGAGTGAGTCACGCTACACATGCCTCCAGACTGTTTGTTGTGATTACTGAGTGAATTAAGTGTCCTAACAATTGAGTTACAGGTGCGTCTGGACCTGAGGTAAGTACACGCACCCTGCTGATTGTGATCCTGTACTGCTTGTGATTGATTGCTTACTAAGTGAATTATTGTGGTAATTTACTGCCTAGGACTAGACTGGTATAGTTGGCCTAAGTCTCTAATTCCTGAGTGGAATTATAGCAAGTAGGTGAGTGATAGAAACCTGTAAGGATGAGCTTGAGAGGTAGGGGTACAAGGGGCCAATCAAGTTCTGAGGGCCAAGTAGCAATGGACCCGCGAGTAGATAGGGTCGTGAGGACACTTGAGGAAATTGGTAATCTTATTGGTAGGTAGGCTCAGGAGTGAGCTGCCACTATAGCCCAGGCTGTTGAGGCCGCTGCAGCTGCTGCTAATAGTAATAATGAAAATCATGATTAAGGACAAGTGAATGCGAATAAGCAAATGCACCAGTTAGTTGAGCAGTTCTTGAAGTTGAAACCTCCGAAGTTCGATGGTAAAGGCGATCCCGAGATTGCATCGCTTTGGGTGGAAGAATTAGAAAAGGCCTTTGAGGTACTAGAGTGCACCGAGGAGGAGAATGTGACCCTAGCAGTATACCAGATACAAGGAAATGCAAATGATTGGTGGAAAACCACAAGAGGAAGAGTGTTCCCTGCTGGTACCGCTCAGATTTGGATTGTGTTTGTTGAGGCCTTCAAAGGCAAGTACTTCCCCGAGAGTGCACGAGAACGAAAGTTGGCTGAATTTATGAGGTTCCATCAAGGACAGATGACAGTGGACCTGTATGAAGCTGAGTTGGCTAGGTTATCTAAGTTTGCCCCAAAAATGGTGAAGGACCCATTGTATAGGGCTCGGAGGTTCCGAGATAGATTGAAGCCGGACGTCCATAGTAAGATGATATCGCTGAATCTGAGGGACTATAATGAGATTTATGAACGGGCCTAAGCAATTGAACATGATGTGATAGAAAGGGCTACCGCTTTTGTGATTGGTGATAGGGAAGAAAGGATAGACCTAGCAGTCCTGGCTATGTATGATTTTGACGTGATTGTAGGTATGGATTGGTTAGTTAAGCAGAAAGCCGAAATGTATTGTAGTAGCAGGGTGATCCAATTTAATCCGGTTGGACATCCTAGATTTGAATTTGCGGCAAATCGAGGAGGAACTTCGATCCCTTGGATTTCGTCACTGGAAGTGACTAAGTTATTGGATGAAGGGTGCCAAGGATTCTGGCGACTATGGTTGATTCGATGGCTGAGGAGCCAAGGCTAGAGAACATAGCTGTGGTGTGCAATTTTCCCAATGTCTTTCCTCAGGAATTGCCGGGATTGCCACCTGAAAGAGAAGTAGAGTTTGTAATCGAGTTGGCACCTGGGACAGAGCCAATCTTGAAAGCATCATATAGGATGTCACTATCTGAATTAAAGGAATTGAAGGTTTAGATACAAGAATTGTTAGGTAAAGGTTTCATACGTCCAAGTGCGTCTTCATGGGGAGCACTAGCGTTATTTGTAAGAAAGAAGGATGGGTCGTTGAGGTTGTGTATCGATTATAGGCAGTTAAATCAAGTGACTACTAAGAATAAGTATCCACTACCAAGGATTGATGACATGTTTGATCAGTTACAAGAAGCGTCCGTGTTTTCTAAGATTGATTTAAGGACTGGTTACCACCAATTGAGGATTAAGAAGGAGGACATACCAAAACGGCATTTAGGATAAGGTATGGGCACTATGAGTTTACAGTAATGCCATTTGGGCTAACTAATGCCCCTGCTGCCTTTATGGACTTGATGAACCGTGTGTTTAAAGAGTTCTTGGATCAATTTATTATAGTTTTTATAGATGATATATTGGTGTACTCGAAGAGCCCGGAGGAGCATGAATTCCATCTAAGTAAAGTTCTGCAAACCTTAAGGGAACACGCACTTTACGTCAAGTTTAGTAAGTGCGAGTTCTGGCTCAATCGAGTGGCGTTCCTTGGACATGTGATTTCTGGGAATGGAATCTCAGTAGATTCGGCAAAGATTGAAGCCGTGGTAAAGTGGCAGAGACGACAACGGTATTAGAGGTCCGTAGTTTCTTGGGGTTGGTAGGGTATTATCGACTTTTTGTGAAAGGGTTTTCGAAGATAGCAACACCGTTGACACGTCTGCTAAAGAAGAAAATGAAATTTGAATGGACTAACAAGTGTGAAAGGAGCTTCCAGAAACTTAAGCATTGATTAATGATGGTGCCAGTATTGACTATTCCATCAGGATCTGGAGGTTTTGAGATCTATAGTGACGCGTCGTTGAAAGGATTAGGATGAGTGCTTATGCAACATGGTCGAGTAGTGGCATACGCATCAAGGCAATTGAGGCCGCATGAGTTAAATTACCAACGCATGATTTGGAATTGACCACAATTATTTTCGTCCTTAACATCTGGAGACATTACCTGTGCGGGGAAAGATTTCAGATTTATAGAGGTCATCAAAGCCTCAAGTATTTATTTTCTCAAAATGAGTTAAATATGAGGCAGCGTCATTGGATGGAATTGCTGAAGGACTATAATTGTGATAATTTATACCACCCTAGAAAGGGTAACCGGGTAGCGGATGCATTGAGTCAAAAGTCGAGCATCGCGCACATGATGGTCAAAGAATGGACATTATTGGAAGGAGTAAGAGACTCAGAGTTTAAGTTCGAGATAGGTCAAGTCTCGAATTTGCTCGCTACATTAAGGATAGAACCAGAAATCCAGACTAGGATTAAGGCCTTGCAATCTATGGACCAAGAGATTCAAAGATTCTGGAAATTGACGCTACCAAGAGAAAAACGAACTTTCAAGTATCCGAGGATGGGATCTTGAAGTGTCGTGGACGGTTGTACATGCTCGACGATGCAGAACTTAAGGAAGAAATTTTGTCAAAAGCACATTGTAGTAATTATAGTATCCATCTGGGGAGTACGAAAATATATCAGAACTTGAGACAGTATTATTGGTGGAATGGCATGAAGGCTGACATAACCAAGCACGTAGCTAAGCGTTTGATATGCCAGCAGGTAAAAGCGCAACATTGTAAGCCCGGAGGATTGTTGCAACCATTAGAAATTCCAGAATGGAAATGGGAGCACGTGACTATGGATTTTGTAATGGGATTACCAAGGAGCCAAAAGGGCCATGATTCCATTTGGGTGATCATGGATAGATTAACAAAATAAGTGCACTTTTTGGCAGTGCGAAAGGACTTCGCAATAGAAAGGTATGCTGAGCTGTATATGCATCAAATAGTTCGTTTGCATGGGGTGCCAGTAACGATCACTTCAAATCGTGATCCTAGGTTTACCGCCAACTTTTGGAAAAGTCTGCTGACGGCATTAGGATCAAAGCTGCAGTTTAGTATAGCTTACTATCCACAAACGGATGGCCAATTTGAGAGGACAATTCAGAATCTAGAAGGCATGCTTCGGGCATGTGTATTGGACTTTCAAGGTAAATGGGAAGAACAGTTACCCTTGACGGAATTCGCGTACAATAATAGTTTTCAACAGAGCATCGGGATGGCGCCATTTGAAGTGCTGTATGGCAGGGTCTGCAAAAAGCTCGTATGTTGGGATGAAGTTGGAGAAAGGAGTATAACCGGGCCAGAATTAGTTCAACAGTCAGTTGAGGCGGTTAAAATCATTCGTGAAAGGTTGAAAACAGCTCAAAGCCGTCAAAAGAGTTATGCAGACAAAAGGCGAAGACCTTTGGAATTTCAAGTAAGAGATCACGTATTCCTCAAGGTATCGCCCATGAGAGGATTATCCCGATTTGGCAAGAAAGGTAAGTTGAGTCCGAGGTACGTGGGACCCTTCGAGATTTTGGAAAGGATTGGAGATTTAGCTTATTGCCTTGCATTACCGTCAAATTTGTCGCAAGTGCATGATATATTTCACGTGTCGATGTTGAGAAAGTATGAACCGGACCCGACTCATGTGTTGAACTATGAAGAGATAGAAGTTGACGACAGGGTGTTGTATGTCGAAAGGCCAATAAGGATAGAAGATCGGAAAGAACGAGTTTTAAGGAATAAGACGATCCCGATGGTCATGGTTATTTGGGAACATCACGGGACAGAAGGCGCTACTTAGGAAAGTGAAGAGCTAATGCAACGTCAATACCCCCACTTGTTTGAGTAGTTGGGTTGAATTGTAAATTTCGAGAACGAAAAATTTATAAAGGGGGAAGAGTTATGACATTCTGAAATTCGACCTACTTGGGATTTATGAAATGGATGATTTTATGGAAGTGCTTATAGTTAGATCTTGCCCAAAATTGATTACTCCTGTGATACTAATCATTAGCGAATGGCTAATTAAGGATTTAAATTCACGTGACCAAAGAAACTCAATCGTGAACAGACTTTCGACCATAAAAATTATCGAGGTGACATTTTGAGCCAATGTAGGCCGATCCAAGGATAGTTAGGGATCAATTTGCCGTTGTCATACGAGTGGATCGCGGGTGATTCTGCTTGACCAAGAGATGAATTGATGGATGACCCTAAATCTATACCAAACGATCGTGCCCGTTGGAATTAGCGATCGATCCTCGCAATTACATGACAACCGAGGTTGTCGCGATCCGAGTGAACTTAAACGTGGCTTGATTCAGTATCGACCACGGGTTGAATATGCGAATTTCCCGAAAGCCACCCGTTAGTTTGAGATACACTCAAGTTGAGTTATTTAAATTTAGTCATTAATTAGATACCAAGTTTGGGTATTGAAAATTTCGAAAGTCACGACAGGATAATTGGACGACGTTGTTATTAGCGTGGTCAGGCTTAGATTTGTCCGGATTCTTCAGAAAATTGGAATTTTGGCAGGAAATGACAAATGACCTTTTTGCCCCTAGGACTTTGTTAAGGCCAAGTGTTATGTGAGAAGGGCATTTTGGTCATTTCACACCAACTTTAGAGATAAAAGTTTTTTGGATAATTTTACTCTTGGACTTTTTGTGAAATTCCAATTTTGCTCTTGGATATTTTTGGTAAGAGTTGATCTTGGCCGTTGATCTCAAGATAAGATTGAATCGTGGCCGTTGATTGGAAAGTAGAGAGGAGGGTAGGATGGTCATTTTGCTAGGGGTATACACCAATTATTGGTGTAAATAAGCCTTTCTTCTCTCTCTTTCTCTCTCTCACCCTCTCATTTTCTCCCTCACGCCTACCCTCACGCCTTCCCTCTCCCCCTCACTCCCTCTCGGCTGATCCCCCTCCCCCTCCTCCCGTGACCGTGGCCAACCGGCCAATCCAGCCGCCGCCGCCGTTCAGCTGCCATGCGTTGCCGCCGTCGCCGCTCGCCGGAGTTGCTGCCTTGCCGAGGCCTTTGCTGCTGCTTGTTGGGCTTTTCTTGCTTAGGTTTAAGGCAAGTTTCTCTCTAAACCGTGATTAGGGTGATGGGTTGTCGATGGATTGGTTTAGGGGTTGATTAAGGTGATTATAGGTAGATTAGAGGAGAGCTTGATCTTTCATTGTGTTCTTCGATGTTCAAATGGCTATGACATGGTAGTTTGAACCTTGTGGAATGAATTTTGAGGGCTGAAGTTCGGTGGTTGTCAACTAGGACTCGGATCCTTGAAGTTTGGGTTGAATCTCGAAATTGTGTTTTCTGTACCCTCCCGGTTTACTATTTTTGTGGAGATTTTTGGAGGCCGAATCAAGGGTGGTGTCCTTCACAAAAGTTTTTCCTCACATTCTGAGGTATAACATATTTTAAATCTGGAATTTTTGGAGGCCATTTGGGTCGCACAAAAACCCATTTTCAGACCGTCTTAAAACTGCCCGGAACACTGTTCATCCCGACCTTATTGTCTTTCCGAATTTTTATCCAGATCTATTTTTAATAAAACATCTTCACAAAATTTGTTGGGGACTTTCCTGCCTAGCATATATAAAAATTTCAAAACTTTTCAAGGTGATTCGGGTATTGAAATAATGTATTTTGAGGACAAAATAGTTTGTTAGAGCAAACTGATTCTGGTCCGATTTCGAGTAACAAAAAGACATGATTACAGATTGAACTGGGTTTCATGTTCTGCATAAGAAATGTTTATCAAGATGTTTTTTATGATATCCAAAATTTAGAATTTTTGGAGTTCGTTTACTATTTATTTTGAAAGGATTTCGGTCACTGTGTAAACTGCCCAAATGTACCCCGATTTTATGGATGTCCATTTTTATTGCCGAAATGGTGGGGGTGTCGAGGTTGAATAGTTGCTACCCTCGTGACTGGAATTGATGCTTGAATATGTGTTGTATGTGTTAACTCGAGGGCGGTTGGTGATTACCTAATTGTGACCGTGTGCGTGGAAGGGAATGTGGCTGATTCGGCGTGTGTGTGTGGATTGATTTGGTCTCGTGGCTGAATGGTGCTTATGTATGTGTGAATTGATGTTGAATACTCGGTGTCCATGTTGATTGATGTTGTTGAGACAGAGGATGATTTGGTGGTGATCATGTGTTGTGATTGAATTGACATGCATTATGTGAGCATGTGGTGTGATTAACACGCGAAGTGAATGCATTGCATGGCATGCGTGATCACTAAAAATCCTGAGGCGTGTAATGTAACGTGGGGTCCAGATAAAATATGGTGTGTTGACGTGCTTGCTTGATCACATAATCCCTGAGGCGTGTACTGTAACGCGGGACGATGCCCGGTATTATCGGAAGACCGCCAACCTGATGCGTTTACGCGGGTTGTGCCGTAGGTAGAGGATGTTGAGCCTGAGGCGTGATACGCGGGCAATAGACATAGCCTGAGGCGTGTACTGTAACGCGGGTTAAGGAGTGTTGTGAATATGAGACGGTTGTACGTGGACCGTGGATCGAAAGCGGACCTGAGGTGTAATTACGCGGGTCATGAATAATCTGGACACGTGTGCTGGAGTGCATGGATGAATGCGAGGTGTCGAGCTTGAGAATGAAAGTGTTCGGATTTATTGTAAGTTCATGAGCATGGATTGAATGCTTCTTGAGAATGAGTATGTTCTTGTAATGATTGTCATGTTGTTGTGGTTGGACTAACATGCAGGGCTTGTGTATGTGCCGAAATGAGGTAAGAATGCCTGAGATTGTGTTATGACACGTTTGTTACGGCAGACTTGTATGTTTAGGACAATATGGAGGCAACGTATTCTCCTAAACGAGGTTTGGGGAGTTTACTTGCTGAGTTATCTCACCCCCCGTGATTAAACATTTTCAGATTTGGGATGACGAATAGACGTCACATAAGGATCGGAGATCAGGGGTGATAAGGGCGTGGGATGAACTTTCCGCTTTTGGATGCCTTGCTATAGAGGAGTTTAGATTAATCCGATCCTTCTGTATGTGCAGTTGGTGGCAAGTCGCCCTCAGGTTGGGCTTGTAAATTGTACCGAACTTGGGTTAATAGTGTGTTTATGAAAGTTGTTTTGTTGATGTGTATTCCTGTTGTCTCCTTGGCTGCCCCGAGTTATCTGTGATGTTGATAGGGTGTTATAGTTCGCTTCCACATGCATGCGTATGATCGTTAGTGAATCGATCGGGTCGGCGATGCGTCATGGGACATCGCACTCTTAACGACCGCCGTGGGATGTTCGCGTGCTCGCCGGGTTCGGGGCATGACAAAAAGAACAGTGATAAATAGTTTGAAATAATCACTTAATCTAAAATCCAAATCAAACTTCAGTAGCCAATTAAAATCAGCTACTATTTCAAGCTTTAGGTTTGATTTATTTTGCAATAAAATGAATAATTTGAAAAATGTATTCCTAAATATGATTACTTCCCTTGTATTACTTAAAATAATTAGTCAATGAAATTTTTTTCATTATAGATAATAATTTATGTTTAAATATTTTCAGGGATGATGAAAATATTTTTTGCCCTTTTATTTTTGTAAACGATACTAGCGATCATTTTTAGAAAAATATTTTTTAAATCATTATTTTTCGCAAAATAAATGGAGCTTTAGCGTTCAACTCTATTCTTCTAAAAGAAAAGCATAATCCCATGATTACTTAGATCTCTGATGTTAACAAGCATAAGCGAAAAATACAGAATAAGGGACAACATCAAACTACGGCAGAATGGAATAGGTGGATAAAATATCAAATTTGACGGTGCTGAGTCTGAATAGGATCAGATTGCAAGATGAGAAGCAGAGTTCTAGTATTTCCGTAGCAGATCACGGTCACTTAGTCCGTGATTAGGAAAATTAAACATGTATTCATTCTCATTGTACGTTAAGCGGAGAACGTGGGGAACAAAAAGACGAACCCCTTTCTTATTTCAACACAAAAGAAAGACTTTTTACATTCTTTTGTAGACATGGATCAGTTCCAGGAATCCAAACTTTGAGATTCTTGAAGCTAGATCGCTTAGGAAGCTTTTGCAGATTTGAACAGTTCACAATGTGAAGTATCTCCAACGATTCTGGACCACCTCGAATCTCAAAAAGCTTAGGGCAATCATTCAAATGAATTTTCTTGAGCTTACTCAAGTTAGTCAGATCAGGCACCTTCGACAATGATGGAAGTTCCACGAGCTCTAATGTTCTCAGGTTTTCCAAACTTTCGAGGCCTCGAATATCTGTTAACTCATCACAACCAACAACCAAATCTGATAACGCTTTCAAATTTGAAAGGTCGTTCGTCGTTTTAATTCTTTGGCAAAGCTTGATACCTAAGTACGACAAATTTGTCGGAAGCTTAGGTAGGCATTGCAAATTACGGCACTGGAGCTTGAGTTTCTTCAGTTGAGAAAGGAGAACGAGATCGGAAGATATGGTTGCAATATAAGGAGAAGACAAGTTCAAGAACTCGGGCATGCATAGTGTTCCAATCCACCGAGCACTTGGAACTGCTTCAAGTTTAGAAGGACCCTCCATATTAAACCATAAAGTCAACCTCAAATTTCTCAAACTTAATAGGTTCGAGAAGTTCGCCAAAGTCTCCATCGAGGTGGTTTTACAACATAGATTGACTAGACTTTCTGGAAGCCGAGGCACCGCCACAATACTAGGGCTACCCAATAATAGAATATTCAGAACTGGTAGATTCCCAATATTAATAGGAATTTCTGCAAAAGTACCCCAAGCCTCTAGCACTTCGAGTTTCTCCAACATTCCAACGGCGCTAGGTAGTTTTCTCAAGGGGCATCTCATCTTTAATACTTTCAAATTATTCACGTTCCCAATTACTTCAGGTAACTCCTGCATATTCAAACTCGATACATTCAACTGAATTAGTGAATTGAAATTTTCGATCGACTTAGGCGGTTGAGTCGAGTGGCTATCCACTAATGAAAGATTCACCACTGATGGTGTGCAACCAACGAAATTGAACTTATTCAGTAATGTACACTTGACCAAGCTGAGAACTTCCAGTTTCTTCATCCTTCTCCATTCAAGGATCTCTTCTATAGCTCTAGAGTCAAGAAGAAGTTCCCCCAAAGATTCCAGTGCCCCCATCTCATCTGGTAGCTCTCGGAGATTACAACAATCCTTCAAGCTCACGAAGACTAACTTCTTAAGTCGACTAATCGATGGATCAATTTGAACCAAACTCTCACAACTTTCAAGAATCAGTCGCTCTAAATTCACATGAAAAGACAAGTCCGGGGTTTTACGCAATTTTATGCATCCAGTCAGATTTAGGACCTTCAAAGTCTTAGCCAGCTGAAAAGAAGACAACATTGGTCTTCAAAATAAATTAAAATTACATACAACAAAACAACTCACACTGATTTGAACTGAAATCATACCTTGATGTGGCTCCATCCTTCCCATTTTTCCGTGATTTTACTCATTGACAAATCAAGGATTAGTATCTTCCTCATGGAGAAATTGGTCAGCGTAAAAACCTTAGGAAAGTAATTCCATGAAAGCCATCTCAACTCTTCTGGAAGGATAAATGGGCCAAATGTGGTATGAACAAAATTTGAGCACTGGTAACATAGGAAATCACCCACTTGAGTAAGGATAGACTTTGTTCTTCCATCAAAGTCTTTGTTATCCACTTGAAGGAACCTTAAATTTGAAAGACTAGCTAGGCATTGTTTTATCAAGGAGTATTGAGATATTTCAACAAGCTTGAGACATATTGCTTCGATATTTCCAATTCCATGAACATCATCTCCTATCTGCCAAAATAGAAACAGAAAATGAAAGTTAGAAAAAAAAATGATTTACTAAGTTAATCTTCTTCAAGGGGAAAATAACGGGGGAAGAACAGCATTGGTGCCAAAACTTGTGTACGGAGGCCACTTTGGTGCCAAAACTTTCAATCGGATCACTTAAGTGCTAAAAGTTGTGAAAAACGATCACTTAAGTGACACTTCATCGGAAATCCGACGTGGCATTTTTTTATTAATTTCTCAAACTGATGTGGCTCGTTGGAGGCTGATGTGGCTCGCCGGAGGCTGATGTGGTATTTCTTTTCTTTTCTTTTTCCTTTTCTTTCTTTTCTTTTTTTTTTTCTTTTCTTTCTTCTTATTTCCGATGGCCGGCGTCCGGCCACCGGCCATGGCCGGCCTCGCCGGGCGTCACCTTCCTCCGGGCGAGGCCCGGCGAGGCCGCCGTGGCCTCGGCGAGGGCCGGCCTCGGCGAGGCCAGCCTCGCCGGATCTGGCCTAGGCGAGCCCTCGCGGGGCTCGCCCGCCCAAGCGACCTCGACCCTCGCACAGGCGGGACGAGCCCCCGGCAAGGGCCGTGGCCTCGTCGAGGGCCGGCCTCGCCGGATCCGGCGAGGCGAGCCCTCGCGGGGCTCGCCCCGCCCGGGCGAGGGTCGAGGTCACCTGGGCAGGGCGAGCCCCGGGGAGGGCTCGCCTCGCCAGATCCGGCGAGGCCGGGCCTCGCCCGGAGGAAGGCGACGCCCGGCGAGGCCGCCCATGGCCGGTGGCCTGACGCCGGCCATCAGAAATAAGAAGAAAGAAAAGAAAAAAAAAAAGAAAAGAAAGAAAAGAAAAAAAAGAAAAGAAAGAAAAAAATCAGAAAAAAATATTTAAAAAATTGAATTATACACGTGGAAATGCCATGTGTCATTAAAATTTAAATATAAAAGCCACGTATTAAATTTGGTCGGAATTTCTCGCCGTTGGCACTTAAGTGATCGTTTTTTCTCCGATTTGGCACTTAAGTGATCGCCGGCGTAAACTTTTGGCACTAAAGTGATCCAAATGGAAGTTTTGGCACCAAAGTGGCCTCCGTACACAAGTTTTGGCACCAATGCTGTTCTTCCCCCGGAAAATAACTATATCTTTTGTCCTAATGTTGAAAATAATTGATAAACAACTTATGTAAGTGCGCAGGAAATAAATCAATTTTGATAAAAACTAAATCAAAATGAATATGTTCTGATCAATATCCTTCAAAGGAATGAAGTTGTACGATTTTACCTGCATTTTCTCCAAAATCTCCAATGCTTGTGCGTGATTCCACACCCATTGTTGATTCTCAGGTTTCTTACCGCTTCCTTGTTGTATAAAATTTCTTCCAATATCTCTTAACCAATCATGCATCCACAGTCGGTTATCTTCTCTAATCTTTATCAAAGATCTTTGCTGGAGGGTGTTAAGAGATTGTTGAGGAAGAAACTTACAGCTTTCCCACATGTAAATCACAATTCTTTTATCAATCCCAATGAAAAAACAAGCCACATCCAGAAATATCTTTCTTTGGTCTTCATTTAAAGCCTTCAAGCTGATCATCAACTTCCTTTGAACATCCTCATGGGGAAATTCTTCTAGCTCCTTTAATGTGGCATCCCACTCCTCTATGCTTTTTCCAGATAAAAGAGAACCTATAACTTCAAGAGCTAAAGGAAGACCGCCACAGATATTTACTGCTCTTTCGGAGTGAAAGATGTATTGCTCTATGGGATAATCTCTTCTAAAGGCATGTTTGCTAAAAAGTTGAAGAGAATGATCAAAATCCATACTGGTAAGTTCATAAGTCCAATCAACAAGTGTAGGCACATTGAGAATTCCTTGATCTCTAGTTGTAATGATAATCTTGCTTCCCTTGCCAAACCACTCACGCTTCTGCACGAGCGCATCAAGTTGACTTGCTTCGTCAACATCATCAAGTAGAAGAAGCACCATTTTAGAGCATAACCTTTCCTTGATCACCTTTTTTCCTTCCATGATATTGTTGATATCAGGCCATCTTATTTTCAGAATGTTTGATATGAGCTGATTCTGCAAGCACGTAATCTCTGTTTCTCATATGTTAGAAAGGAAGCAACAATTAGAAAAATCATTAGAAAACTGATTGTACACTATTGGGCAAGAGTCGTCTTTCCCATGCCACCGATACCATGAATTCCAACAATCTTTGTTTCATGGTCGTGTGTATGTATCATCCTCATGATTTCATCCACATGATTTGTCACGCCCCGAACCCCATCGAGCACGCGACATCCCGCTCTGGTCGAATGGTTGCGACGTCCCAGGAACATCGCTGACCCAACCCAAACATCATAAACACATGTGGAAGTGAATACAAAAAAAAAAACCCTGACTATAAAGACGACGATGGGGTAGCACAACAACAACATTCGTTTATATACAATGCCATTACACCTAGCATACAAATATCATAATACAAACGTACTATTCAAGCCAGCATTCGAGACTACCGACATAACAAAAAGGATCAGGCGGCTTGGTTAACTTAACTTCACTATAGGTCGACCTATTCTGCGCAACCCCTAAAATACCCTAGGGGGAAACTACTGGTCGCCCTCTTCCAATTCGCTCCTGAATCTTCTGGCTTCTACTCCGAAGGATCACCTGCAACTCCACTGGACACCATGGGCGGCTCTTCAAACTTCAAAAAGAGGAGGCGGGCCTCCTGGGTCTAAGGCTGGGGGTCTGAAATTGTAGATTATACAACTATGAGACGAATCTCAATAAGTGTATAACCCTAAACCCCACATAGACTTTCACGTACCGCCAGACGGAACACACACAACACACAACAATTAACCAGACTAACAATCACATGCGCTCCTACCTGGAACCCATCATGCACGTTCCTGCACATTAGATAACAACACAGCCAACATACCACAGTAATACATCACAGTCGTGCGTACGCCCCGATTATAAGGCAAAACCTACTTGAGCACGTCCCATACCATGCTTAGCAGATTTTACCCCATAATCGAGCACTACAATACACGATACAACCACACTCGTACACGAACTCACACCACCACACATCAGCATTCACCATCCTCACACGTCTTGCCAAATCCCACTCATTCTCAACCTTTCCACCACTACCGCGCCCGCGTAAAACACATCAGGCCAACGGTCTTCTGACCTCGTCAAGCATCGTCACCCCGTCAGACCGGGCATCGTCACCTCGTCAGGGACAACATCGTCCCGCATAAACGAACACGCCTCAGGACGGAATCCTACACTCAACTTTCCTTCTACCGCACCCGCGTAAAATGCATCAGGCCAACGGTCTTTTGACCTCGTTGGGCATCGTCACCCTATCGGGTCGGGCATCGTCACCTCGTCAGGGACGGCATCGTCCCGCGTAAACGAACATGCCTCAGGATGGACTCACCCCGCGTAAACGAACACGCCTCAGGGTATCACCTTCCCAACCGATCCTACATTCTCGTACCTTCGTTCCAGTCATACCACACATACCACACGGCCACATATACACATGGCCACACACAATCGCACACTTCACATATACCTCACAAATACACATTCTCGCCTCATGAACACCACAAGATCACCCGTGCTTGGCACGCGAACTCAATGCGCAATCACACCATCACGCCTCATGGCCACACACTCTCGGCACACAATCACGCCACATTTAGCCCAAGACACAATCCATAATCAACCAACAATCACAAACCATACAATCGTATATACGAACTCCAAAAATTCTAAATTTTGGATATATCATAAAAAACATCTTGATAAAAATTTCTTATGAAGAACACAAAATCAGTTTCAATCTACAACCATGCCTTTTTGTTCCTCGAAATCAGACCAAAATCAGTTCGCTCTAACAGACTGTTTTGTCCTCAAAATACATTTCTTTCAACACACAAATCACCTTGAAAAGCTTTGAACTTTTTATATGTTATAGAAAAGAAAGTAGCCAACAACTTTTGTGAAGGAAGTTTGTTGAAAATAAATCTGGAAAATTTTATAAAAATTCGATCAGACAAGAAGGTCGGGATAAACAGTGTTCCGGGCGGTTTCAATACGGTCTGAAAATGGGTTTTCGTACGACCCAAATGGCCTCCAAAAATTCCAAATTTAAAATATGTTATAATTCAAGATGTGAGGAAAAACTTTCGTGAAGGACACCACCCATGATTCGGCCTCCAAAAATCTCTACAAAAATAGCAAACCGGGAGGGTACAGAAAACACAATTTCGAGGTTCACCCAAACTTCAAGGATCCGAGTCCTTGTTGATACCCACCGAACTTCAGCCCTCAAAATTCATTCCACAAGGTTCAAACTACCATACTACAACGATCACGGCATTACACGGCAATTTCACACAATTAATTGCCGAATCAAACTATCCAATCTACGCGCCGAACAGAAAATCACAGCCCTTATCAGAGCCCCAAAACAGCCGCTTAAACTACCCAAACCGAGCCATAAACATGTCTAACAATACCCGAGGTTCTAGGGAGAGTTTGGGGAAGTCACTTACCCTAAAAAGGCGGGACAAACTAGCTAGATGGGTGGCTGGAACGGGCGGAACAGCAGCAGCAGCAGCAGTAGCAAAGCCGGCGGTGATGGCGTCCGAACAGCTAAGGAGGAGAAGAACGCGGGAGAGAGAGAAGGGAATGGAGTTGTGGCCGGTGAAGGAGAGAGGAGGAGAGAGAGAGTGAAGAGCTGGTCAAAGGGTCTCTAGTGGGGATCCATGTGTCCAAAATCTAGCCCACTTGACCATCTTGCCCCTTATCCAATGGTTGACACTAATTCTTATCCAATAATTAATGGGCATAATGGTCTTTTAGCTCAATTATTGTGGCTGACCATATTAATATAATTAAAACCTTAATTTAATCCCAAAAATTTGTTTCAAAATTCGGAATACCCCAAATTAGGCCTATGGGCAATATGGTAATTTTCCAATTTCGGACCGAAATTCCAATTTTCGGCTATAACAACCTCAAATATATGTGGCCACTCAAAAATGGTGTCGGCCTCGCAAAATAGTCACTTACGACCTCAAAAATCGGCATTGAAGTCTTGAGGGGCAAAATGGTAATTTTTCCGGTCCCGAACCGAAATCCATTTTTTTTGCAAAAATGGGTGGCCCCAAGGTTGGTCAAGCCAAAAACGTCATCAGCCGCTCAAAATTGTCAGTTTCAAAATTCTCGATTCCCGGGTCCGAATTCCAAGAAATGACTAGGATCGAACAATCGCGACTTTAGCTTATCTCTTGCTAACGGGTGGTTCATTGGGATTACGGGCTCTCGACCCGTGATCAACACTAAGTCAAATCACGTTTAAGTTTGCTCGAACCAAGGCGACCTCGATTGTCATGTAATTGCGAGAGTCTGTCGCTAGTTCCCTTCGGACACAATTAATCAAATAGATCGCTCTCTGTTGGCCCAAAACATTTCCTCGACAATCCTTATGGTCGAAGGTCGAACTAAGGTCGAGTTCTTTGGTCGTACGAACTCAATCCCGTAACGGCCTTACCCGTAAGGTTAGCATCCCGAGAATGCGCGGTTCTGGGTGAGATCTCACTATAAGTGCATTGGCCAACTATTCATTTCATAAATCCCGGGAAAGGATCGAAAATTCAGACTGTTACATGATTGTCTATTTCGACTAAGCAATCGGATACTTCCCAGTAGGTGGTTTTCAACTCAGTCAAAACTTTATTGACAACTTCTTTTACAAATTCACCTTTGCCTCTGATAGTATTAGAGGAAAAAGCATCAAGACATTATGTATAGCAAAACAGGATAATGCATCTCGAACAACTAGACCGTACATAATATAATTCAATACCTGTATGGCATACTTTGGAGGTCCCATCCCTTTAGTGCTCCAACCTCATTGAGAGCGGCCTTCCACTTGCAGATAGTCTCATCATCAAACTGCTTCTTGTTTGCATGAGAAACAATGGCCTTGCCATAGCGCTCAGTCTGGTTTTTTACCTCGGATGGTGTGACATCATAGAAAACGGGCATGATCTTATGTCTCCTTGTGTTCTTGCTCTCCAACATCTTGACCAACTCCCTAAGGCACCATGTACTATCAGCATATCCTTAAGAAAAGATTGGTATTGAGATCTTTGACTGCTCAATCGCTTGGAGAAGCTCATTACCGATCTCCTCCCCGATGCGGAGCTCTTCATCGTCTCTATATATCCGAATTCTAGCATCAGTCATGCTGGTGTAAAGGTAATCAGTAATGTCCCTACGGGTATCTGGTCTTCTAAAGCTCAAAAATGCTTCGTAATCATATCCCGATGACTTCTCCATTTCCTGATTACTAGAAGAGACGTTCGGCATATTCATTTGTTCTTTGTACACGCTCCCCTTGTAAGGCTGCATTTAGTACAAAAGACTAAAAACATAAGCAACTACTGTCAGATGCGAAGTTCAACCACAAAGGTTGGTGCAAATTCTCTGTTCAACAAGGATTAGAAAAGCTGCCCGAAAATGATACCCACGTGCAGGAGGATGAGGCTAATTTCTATTAGAAGAAAATGTAGACAGAAGTTTTAAGTCATTGTTACAAAACCTTATCCACAAATGCACACGCTCATATCGAACATCATGGCGGTGTCGGCACCATCATCAAGCTCATTGTTGCTGGAGGTATGCGATCTTGTGCGTGTATAGTTCGCTATTCAAGCGACACGACGATCATCAACCACACATCCGTTACTGATCTTCGTTTACCCCAACAGCTTTCTCCTATAAAGAGAAGTTCACAAAAGTCGACCATGAATGCTGTGTGAAAGAAGTTGGGCTCATCTCGGTTCAGTCGTTGAAGCGGCCGACAAGGCTTCCGTGCAACGAGGATTTGAAATGCTACCCGAAAATGACGACCACGTGCAGGTTGATGAGACTAACTTCTACTAGAAGCAAATATAGAGATAAGTTGGAAGTCATTGTAACAAGGTGTGGTGAGGCTAATATCTATCGAAAGCTTGATATTAAAATAAAATAAAAAAGCACCTACTGAGGGAATAATATTTTGGGTCTTTTGCTCAAGTCATGACATTTTTCTATGTCCAACTAAACCCAGCTTCACTAATGCGGTATCTCCATGTTGAACTAACAATAATGCTGATAATTGGCACACAAACAACAGTCATTGATAGAAATTACTTGAACATGAATAATTTACTTAATGCAATCATTTGCAGACATTTACATAACAATTAATTTTATAAACTGATCCAATCATAACATAGTATCAAGATAATCGCCACGATGAAGTCACTGAAAATTGTAATCTCGAACGGCCTTCCTCTTGGCAGTGGAAGTAGAAGAAAATACAATGATTAGTTTCAAACAGTTTGTTACGTTCGCTTTTTCTCTCATTTCAGGAATTTGTATTAAAGATATCTAGTTACATTGATCAATGCCTGTACAATGCACGATAGCAATGTGCTTATATGAATAAAATTATGTTAAATATCTTATGTTGGAGATATGATTTGATATTATTGGAGATTCCGATTATGAATTATGATCTTATTTGCAGACTCATTGATTTAGCCAATCGATGATTGATTTGATAAATAGGATGTTCTAATCTCTTGTATTCTATTTTTCTTCTCATTTGTACACCATAAATAGACCATGTACATATATACAAAACATCAATACAATACAATCAGAAATTCTCCAATTCTTTCAATTTATGTCATGGTATCAGAGCCATCTTTCCTGGCCTAGCTTCCGCGATTTTGATATTGCCTCTGGTTTTGTCTCGGATTTGTTGTTACAATCCTAACCTTGCAAAACAAATTAGCCACTCAGGTAGGAATTCAATTTTCTTTTGATACCATGTCAGGAAATCCGATTGCAAATGAGGAAGCCCCAACTCACCTCAAAATCAAACTCCAACACCATCAGATCAAATTAATCCGATTGATGATGGGTGGTCTTCTATTTAGCACACCGACTGTATTCGGCATTCAGCTAGATTTACACTTGCTCCAGTCCAGGCTTCCGGCCCATTTCAGTGGCCTCTAGTTCATTTGTACACCGTCCAAGGCCAATGGGCCACCGGACCAAGACAGGCGTGGGCCCAATAGTATCAACATGGTCCACCTAGAGAAGAAAGCGTACTTGGGCTAATAACTCAGCCCAATGGAGATGGGCCAGTTCACGCTTCACACGAGACCAACCCGGATGGCGGATCGGGTTGGACAATTCCAAGTCGTGGACTTGGACCCACCCTACCGGGTCTAGGGACGGATCCCTACCCAATTCTTCAACTTGGATACCTACCCTATGCGTTTCCAATTGGCAGTGGCGGCCGGCCCGGGCCCAGCGATCCACTCTACACCTCGCCGGCCAATGGAAGAGAGTGACGACTCATTAGCTTGCAACTCACCGACTCGAAGAACTATAACACTTAGCTTTGGGACTTTCGGTGAGCCCTTGTCACTAACGACAAGGATGGCTTCCTTGACGGAGCCATTCCCTTTTCGGCTGATGAACGATTTTAGAGGCACTAGCGCAAGTGCAACCAATTAGTTCGCACTTGGATCGGAAACTGTCTACCTACCGACGTCACGACTGGCATCCCACCCACTGAAGACACAAAGAAACTACGGGAGAACATCCGTGAGATGTATGGACAGCTGGATCAGGCAAGGCTACTCACAATCAGCCAAGCTTTGTCGGAGTTGAAGTAAGGGAACCTTTCGGTTGCCGCTTGCTTCAATCGGCAATCGGCTATCGGCTTTGTGGAATGAGCTCGAGGCGGCCGAGGAACGTCTCGAGGGACCTGAGACCACACTCTGACAGTACCGAGAAATAAAAGAAAGGGAAAATGCCACGAGATTCTTACTGACACTCAACAAGTCGTACTTGTCCTTCTGGTCGCAAGTTCTTGCGATGGAATCGGCACCTCCACTCGGTCGGATCTACCAATTGGCAGTCTAGGAGGAGAGCCAATGGCTAGCCACGACCGAACATGCAAAGGTGGGTGAAGGAATCAGCCTTACTACCTTCCCATTTGGCTTTGTTGCAGCGGAGATGACGATCGGAGGATAGGAAGCTCTCGGGAACGTTGGGACTAGAAGTATTGCTGCAGCGTCAAAGGAAAATGAGGGATGCCTTAGGGTTTCTCGCACGGACAGGTGGGATTCACGCATGGAATCAGACGGCTCACCTTATTCCATCATTCGGGCAGAATTTAATGGCCATCAGCAAGCCACGTCAGCACCAGCTTATAAAGGATCCTTTGGCTCACGAAGTTCCACGTCATCGGGAAAGGTTCGTGGACAAAATTCAAAATCCAAAAATAAATATTGTGAATTTTGCAAGCGACCACACCATACTATTGACACATGCTGGAAACTACATGGGAGACCAAATGATAAAGACAAAAAGGAAAAGATATTTTTGGCTTATCAGGTTTCTGCGCAAAAAATTGATGGAACACATCAAACAATTACTCAAGAGTAATATCAAAATATTATGAAAGCTTTGAGTCAATTGAAGACCAGTGACAAGAATGCAAGTTTCTTAGGTATCTTACTTTATAAGATGAATTCAATCTCAGTTGATGCATGGATAGTCGATTCAGGAGCCAGTGATCATATAATTTGCAATGAGCATTTATTTTCCCAAATTTACAATGATTCACAATCCTCTGTCTCTGTACTTCTTCCAATTGGGAATGTCACCTATGTTACTAAAATTGGCATTGTTTATCTTGGTCCCAGTTTATCCTAAAATATGTCCTATATATTCATGATTTTGAATTTAACCTCCTTTCTGTCTCAAAAGTGTGCGGGAACAATTCTTGTCGTGCCATATTCAGTTCGGAAAATTGTTTCTTTCAGGACCATTCGACTGGGAAAATGATGGACTTGGGTAGTATTGCATAGGGACTTTAGATTTACTAAATAAATGCATTTCTTGTAATGCAACAATAAAAATTTCCTTTTTCATCAACGCTTGGGTCATAGTGTGCATATCCCTCATCCAAAATGTCAAATATGCCCTTTGGCTAAACAATCTCGGACATCTTTTCCAATCAGTACATCACGAGCAAATAGTGCTTTTTCCTTATTACATGTGGACATCTGGGGTCACTATCATACCCATCATCGTGATAGGTCTCATTTCTTCCTCACAATAGTTGATGATTATACCCGTGCTACTTGGGTCTTCCTTATGCACTTTAAGAGTCAAAACTTTTCTTATCTGTCGAATTTCCTTTCTTTGGTTAGAAATCAATTCGATAAATCTGTCCAATGAATTTTTATAGACAAGGGACGTGAATTCTTCACTTCTGATTGTGTATCGTTTCTATCTTCCCATGGAATTATTCATGAAAGTTCTTGTACTTACACTCCTCAACAAAATGGAGTTGTTGAACGCAAGCGTAGACATCTCTTAGAAGTAGCTCGAGGACTACAATATCAAGCTTCAATCCGTGAGACTTTTTAGGGAGATTGTATGGTCATGACAGCCTATTTAATTAATCGCATGCCAACTCGAATTCTTAATGGCCGAACTCCCTTTGAAATGCTTTATGGAAAGGAGCCAGATATTGATCACCTTCGAGTATCTGGCTGTTTATGCTATGCGACGACTGTGGGGCCTCGGGATAAAATGGGTCCTCGAGCCACTCAATGTATTTTCATGGGATATCCCCCTCTTCAGAAAGGATATAGGGTTATGGAAATATCCACAAGGCATTTCTTTATAAGCAGGGATGTTGTATTTCACAATGATGTTTTTCCATTCCAGGAGATGGCATCTTCATTCGACTCATCTTTATCATTATCAAACCACCGTCAATTCTTATTAGATGAGAATTTATCTATGGCTCCCCAATATGTCCTTATTACACCAGAACAACCTGTACAAATTATGAGAGATTCTCGAAGACAAGTAGTTGAATTACCAGACCACTATCTACGGAGAATCATTCATCCGCATCACCCATGGTGGCCTCATCTCCACCACAGCTTATCCAATAATACTCTTCACAAGTACCAGAGCAACTACTAGTTGAGCAACCTCAACGCTCTAAATCGCATATTCGTCCACCTACATGGACAAAGAATTACATATGTTCTGCATTGAGTTCTCTAGGTACTCAATATCTTGTATCGTCATATGTCTCTTTTAGTCGACTATCACCAGAGCATATGTGTTGTATTAGTCGAATTAAGAAGAACATGAGTCATCTTCATATAATGAAGCAGCACGTGATTTTCGATGGCAAAAAGCCATGGCATTTGAATTTAATGCCCTCATGGAAAATCACACTTGGGATATTGTTCCATTACCCCTGCATCAAAGCCAATTGGCTGTAAATGGATATACATAATCAAATT